CTCTGCTCTATATGTCAAGGTCATCCATCTCTTCCACTGGATAGTGGTACTTTGACAAGACAGGAGCGCTCTTGGGGGCTTTAGGGCGAGTCTTAGAGCGGGTCTCCTCCGAGTGCATGCTAATGTACGCCTCAGTGGGTATTCCTTTCCCTGGCTTGATATAGCTCCATGAGAACCCGCGAGCACCCATCACAAGCTTTGTTTCCAGATACCCGCGCCCCACCAGCCAACGAACAGTTCGAGACAGTATGTCTTTTGTTTTTCGAGAGTGCGACCGCATTTCTGTTACAAGCTGTCCCTCTGTCACAAGCTTGGCCCTGCCCACCAGCTCTATTATCTGCAGCGCCTCTTCTATGCAGTCTATCTGCTGCAAAGTCCCTTCCCGCTGGCAGTTATCGCATCCATCGCCGCAGCACTTTTTAAAGGTTTCCCCAAAGTAGTGCAAAAGGAGGTATCTCCTGCACTCTGCCTTATTCTCGCAGTAGGATATTACTTCCTGAAGATGTCTGCGCTGCCGCGCCTTGGCCTCCGGCGAAGAGCCTGTGTTTTTGTCTATCATAAAGTCTATTTTCTTTTTGTCTCCATACGCATAGTACAGCACACACTCTGAGTCCATTTGGTCTCTTCCTGCACGCCCTGTTTCCTGATAGTACCCTTCGAGAGACTTGGGCAGCGAGTAGTGTATGACATACCTCACGTCTTTTTTGTCTATCCCCATCCCAAACGCTATCGTTGCAACAATCACGCGAATGCGCGATAAGTCCCAGTCCCGGGCCCGCTCTGTCCTTTCTTTTGTTGAAAGCCCTGCGTGGTAGTATCCTGCTGCTATTCCGTGCTCTTTCTGCAGCACCTCAGCCAGCCACTCGCAGTCTCTCTTGGAAAGACAGTATATAATGCCAGAGTCCTCTGGGTAGTACGTTTCTATAAAGCTTACTATCGCGGGTATTGGGTTCTTTACCTTTGGAAGCACTTTGTATTTCAGGTTGGGCCGATTGAAGCTTTGTGAAAACACTTTGCAGTTGCGCAGGCGCAGAGCTTCAGCTACGTCCTTCTGCACGGCCTGGGTTGCTGTTGCTGTGAGCGCGGTGATCGGCACTGTCGGGTACCGCTGTCTCAAAAGAAACAGCTGGGTGTAGTCTGGCCTAAAGTCGTGCCCCCACTGAGATACACAGTGCGCCTCGTCTATGACAAATCTTGCTAGCCGCCCATGCGCCAGAAGGCTTTCTAGCGACCGGTTAAACGTTCTGCTTTCCACAAGAAGCTCGGGCGTGGCGTACACAATCTTCACAACTGGCATGCGTTGTTCTGGAGGAAGCTCCCTATCTTTTTCAATCCCGTGGAGGAGAAGCATGTTGTACGCAGTATCGCGCTCTGTTTTTGTGAGAGAAGAGTTGATGGCCACTGCAGGGATTCCGCGCAAGAGAAGGTTTTTTATCTGGTCCTGGATAAGCGCAAGAAGCGGGCTTATAACAACCGTTACGCCAGCTGAAATAACTGCAGGCAGCTGGAAAGTCAAGGACTTGCCGCCTCCCGTAGGCATCAGCACAAACACATCATGGCCGCTGAGCACAGAGCTTACGATATTCAGCTGGTTGTGCCGGAAATCGTGCAGCTTGAAAACCTTTCTGAGACATGCGTATGCCTGCATCTTTTGAAATGTAAGCACGCCCCCACCAGTACCTTGATTTTCACATGTCTGGCTCGAGAAGGCAGTGCTATCTGCACTTTTTACACTTGGGGGGCTTATGTTCTTCTGCAGGCTCTCCATGGGAATTCTAGACACGCTGTGCATCTCAGAAGAAGAGTTCACGTTGTTGTTTGAAAAAGACTCTTTTATACGCATAACGTCATATGGCTCCTGTTTTGGGCCCTTTGCTTCCTGCACATCTATTTCAGCAATGCAAGAAAGGTCTTGCACGGGGTCCAGTTTTTGCATTTCTTCATAGGGCCAGTCCCGAGCTGGATAGGTAGAGGCATTTACAGCAGACCCGGTATTTGGATATACAGTCTTCTGCACAGGCCTTTCCAGCTCTTCTGTTCTTCTTGAGCTCATGCAAATATACCCATCTCCCTGAGAGCGTGCTTTCTTTAGAACGGAAGATATCAGCATATTTCTTTTTTCCAGGAGCACATACACCTCGCGCATGCTTCTTTCCATGGCCTCGCATATGGAGTGGCTTAGATCATTTATTCTCTCTTTTTCATCCAGCTGTGCATACCGCATCCACTCCCGCCCCTCTGGGCTGGGCTTAGCCGCGTGCTCTGTGCTGTTAGAGCTTAGAAAGGCTGCGCGTTCTCCTGCATGCTCTTTTCCCAAAACTCTAGAGACATTTACAGACTTTGCCGGCTCGCTTTCCATTGTATTTTCTGTGGTTAAGTCGTATATCTGGTTTGCTGTGCTTTCAGCGAGCACAGTGCTTCCTTGCATAGATTCAGTGTTCCCCAAAAACTCTATCCCGCTGTCACTGTCGCTGATGTTCTCGTCAGGCTGCTCCAGCGCATACTGCAGCATGGGATCTACTTCTGTCTGGAATTTCTTCATTGCAAAAATAATCTACTCACGCAAAGAACATTCGCAGGCCTGCAGCCATTTGCACTTAAATTTTTTCAAATAACTTCCTAGCTAGAACACAGCCACGGCTTTAAAGATCCTGTGCATAGAGCGCACAGATTAGCTTCTTTCTCTCTGAAAATATCTACTATCTTTTTGGCATACCTTTTCTATATTTTTATGTTTATGTCGCAATAAAAAGAAGAATGTGTAGCTCTTATAGTATTATTTATAAACTATATAGAGAAATAAAAATTTACAAAAGACTTTAATAATTAGTTATTTCCAGGCTGTATTCTAAACAAAGAGCATTTGACAAAGAAAGGAAAGAAAAATGCATAGCATTGAGTATTTATTAGATTAAACTAAGAAGCTAAGAGGCTAGTGTAGTAGACATTGCGGGTGGTGTGGGAGTTAGATTTGCATTGAATTGAGGGTCTTCATTGATCTCCTCAGCAGAGCTATCAGCAGTGCCATCAATAGGCTCATAGCAAACTTAACAGCAGAATATCCAGAGAGCTCATCAAAGCAAATAGAGTAGTTATTTAGTTTTAGTTTTCTCTTTCTTGCAAGGAGCCACAGTTCTCCAATGGATAGAAATAGCTCGCTCAAAGACTCAGTTATTTTAACTATACACAATCTTATTCTCACTAGTATTTGTGCTCTAGATGGTGCTGGTTTGAAAGAGCGTCTATCCCAAGGTCCTGTCCTGGAAGGCTTTCTTCGTGGGTCAGCTTCTCAAAGTACTCCTTCAGACTCTCAAAAGACTCCAGAAACTTTTCTGTTTCTTGGGCAGGCTCTTCTTTTTGAGAGAGCTTATGCAGAATTTCAGACAGTGCTTCTGTTATGTTATGGAGAGAAGTAAGCGCATCTCTTTCTGGATTACTCATGTGCTAGTATTAATTCAATAAAAGTATTTTGCATTTTTATTTTCAATTGCTCTGTGTAAGCTTTCAATCCACAGAGCTCTTTTTCCAAAAAACAAAAGGACACATCTTCTACTATGTGAACTAGGAGATCTTTATAGGACTGTCTGCACACATCACATCAGTCTGTTCTATTGTGTTAGCCATCATGGGTCAAAGCACAATCAGCTAGCTAGCATGTAAATAATAAAACATCGGCCTAGCTGCTTATTAAATGAATAGAGACAATATGTGCTTTAAATACACTCTTCAAAGAAACTTTTCTTTATTTTCAGATCGTATGCTCGATGTTTAATAGACTATTTTTACAATATACCACCTATGTAGAAATGTATCTGTTGTTAGCATGCACTAGTGCTTCAATAGATTTTTTTCTGTCTTATAAAGAGTAAAGAAGCACAGGAACAGGAAGTATACAGCACAGAGCAGACTGAAAGTGAGCTTCTTTGTGCTCTTTCCGTTGCCACTTCCTTTCTTCTCGCCATTTAGAAGCCTGTCCATGTAGGCTCCTACGCATACAACAAAGGGTAGATATAGCAGAGCAATGCATACTACGCAGCAAAAGCTCTGGTTTACATCAACGGGATTCACAGCATCTGCGATTTTTACTCCTATAAAGAGACATGCCAAAAGAATAAGATACATCCCCACAGAAACTGCCATCCTGTGCTTTCTGATAGTCTTATTTATGTGGAGAGCTACTGCCAAATGCACCATACCGCTCAGCACTAAGCCCATCACTCCAACGGCAAATGTAGCATAGAATATTTTTATTCTGCTTGGACTGTATAAATTGCCTCCATGCTCAAAAATCATCCTATATGCCAGCATGCTTGAGAACATGCATATCCCAGACTGCACAGAAACAATCAGACTGAAAATGACATTCAGCAGCGGACTATCATTGAAAGCAGCACTGCCTGGCATAGAGACAGCTTTAAAGGATATTTTATCGATAGCTGCACTGTGATGGTAATCTTGGTACTCCTTTTTGGAAAGTAGAGCATCTGTCTGTGAGGTAATATCCTTCTGTTCTTCCTTTATGCTACTTATGATGCTCTCTTCGTGTGCGGTATTCTGAGATTCAGTTTTGCCATTTACATCTTCCTCTGAGCACGTTGTATAGCCTGAACTTAAGCTTTCAGTGCTTGCTGAACTGTAAGTAGCTTGAGTGCTAGGCTTTTCTGCTGTGTCGGGCCTCTCTAGTAGGAAAGCGCTTTCAGCATCACCTTCTTTCAAAGTATAGTTAGTGGCTGGGCTAGATAAAAGATCACTCTCAATCACTGGAGTATTGTCCTCTATTTCTTGATGCGTATCTGGTTGTAAGTCTTCACTCAGGCTGTCCTGAGGCTGGTTTTCTTCCAACTCCACATTCTCTTCTACAGATTCTTCTCCTGCAGATGCTGGCAGATTGTACGGGACAGTGTGCGCTTTTTCAAATACATTAACATTTTCTTTAAATGGCTGGCTGTTGCTTGTTTCTACCCTGTACCCCCACTGGTCCTGAACAAGCTCATCCACCACCTCGTCTGAAATAACAAAAGAGTCCCTTCTGTTCACACTTATCTCTGGCTTGGAGTCATTTGGTTTTGCCTCAAACGGCTTGTGCACCTCTTCAACCACGTACTCTTCTATAGCGCACATACTCTTTTCGTCCAAGCTGTACTCAGACTCCGGCGAAAACATCACATCTTTTATTTTGGCAGCTATGCCAGCCTCAGCCGTGATAAACTTTCTGAGGTTCGAGTATATCCGCATAAGATACTGCTTGGCATTGCTATTCTTCTGCAGCTCTGCATTATTATCTAGCAGCAGATTCAGATGGTCTTGCATGTGGTAGCCTAGGTATTTCAGGACTTTCCTATGAAGCAGCTCCAGGCTCTTTGGATTGCTTTTGTCCAGCTGGTAGAATGCAGGCCACAGGTCATTGCAGAAGAAAAACTCTCGAATTGCTGCCTCTGCGCACACAATGCCCTCCCAGTTTGCCAGCACGCTCTTTAAAGACGCCAAGAGCTTGACTATCTTTGGGTCTAGCTCATACATCTCGCCTTTTTCCAGAACGTGTCTTTTTCTATCAATCTCTGAGCTAAATGCGCTGTGCATCTTCTTCAGGATGGACTTAATGTTGATCTCTGTGTCTGTCTCTTCAAATATGCTTTCCAAGGGAGCGTCTGCAATAGACTCTTCTTTTATTTCAGCTATTCTGCACATGTTATGAAAGTACTTCTGCAGCACACTTTTAGAGTACCAGTACTCATTGGAGTCCCTTATGAATATTATTTCGTACAGAAGAGCCATATATGCACTCTGTATATTTCTATTCAGCAGGGCGTTTTTGTCCAGCTCGCCGCTCTCTTCTCTGTTTGCAGAGGCACTCTGGCTTCCTTTCATGGCAAAGTGTTTTAGCCCGCGCTTTAAATCGCTCCACGACTTCTTTGGCTTGATAAGCCTTATGGCACAAGCCACATCAGCCCAGTGTGTTATCCTTGCACCGGCCGCCTCAAAAAACGCTGCAATCCTGTCCTCCGCTGAAGAGTTTTCTGCGTTCAGCTGGCCCAATAGATTTTTGTTGTTCTGCATCATGCACAGAAAGTGGAGTATTTCATCGTCGCGCTCCACAAGCCACTCGATGGTAAATAGATTCTCTATTTTGTCGCTGTTCGTGATATTTTCTGTTTTTTTTGGACATTCCACAGTGATCATATCTTTTAGCAGGTGCACGTCTTTTTTGATCCTTTCTATGGACTTGTAGACCATATCTTCTGCCTGCAGCTCGTCGTTCCCAAATATCTCAAGCAGATCTTCCCTCAGCTCTTTCTCGGGCTCTGTGAGATCGCATGGAAACCTGATTCTTGTTTTTTGTGTGCCAGTCATTTATGAAAAAAAATCTTCAGGGTGGCACATTTATATGTTAATAAAGCTATTTGTCTGTTTAAGGAAATGCCTAATTAAAATATAAATAAGTCGTAATTGCTGCAAGATGCGCAGTGCCTATCCCTAGCAGAGAGCTGTATGGCCTGTGCATGCACCTTTTGTCCATGTGTATCAAGTTGTAGCTATAATTGCAGCGCACTAAATAATGCCAAAAATAGCCTGAGAATTGAATGCATCTACTAAAAATAATTGAAGTAACAAGAATATTGCACTGTGTCATGTAGGGCGCGCCGCTCTTACCTGCAGAGCCATGCTATAGTCCCTTTTACATTAAAAATAGATAGAGAACTCAGCTCTTCTCTTTGTGCTTAGCAAATATCCATCTAGCCGTCTGATTCAGAGATATTTAAGCCACTTTGAAAGCCATAGCAGAATATTATTGCGCTGAAATGCAGTGTACATAGGAACAGCAGGACTGGAAAAGAACAAACTCTGTCTGTTATTTTCTGCACATAAAAGACAGCCATGCAAGAAAAACAAGACCTGGGCTTAGATCAGTATTTAGCTCGTCTCATTTTAGAGCAATTTATTTATTTTTGCAAATATTTTACAAAACAGCCATTCTGTTCTATACATGCAAATAAATGTTCTGCTGCTTCTCCAGCCAATTCTCAATTTATAACTGCATACTGTGCCAATTTATTGCCAAAGCTCACACACATCCTCTCTGAAGTAGCTATGCGTATAGTCCTGTGCTGGCGCAGCTGTTCATATTTGCTGAATTCTTCTTTTATTTTTTCGTCTGGAGTATAGAATTATTTTTATTTTTAGGACCCCAGCATGGTAGCAGAACAGAATCCAGAAACCAAACAGGCAGAAATGACAAAAACAGACAGGCAGGACAAGGAGCAGCGAAGAGCTCCAAGAAAGCCAAGAGAAGAGAAGAAATGGGTGCCAAAGACCAACCTCGGCAAGCTTGTTCTAATGGGCAAAATGACACTGAACGATATCTACACAAACAGTTTAAAGATACAAGAGCCAGAAATAGTAGACTTTCTAGTGGGATCCAAGCTGAAGGACGACGTGCTTTGCATCAAGTCCATCCAGAAACAGACCAAGGCAGGACAGAGAACCAGAATCAAGGCTGTGGTTATAGTCGGAGACGGCAACGGAAGCATTGGAATCGGGATCAAGTCCGCAAAGGAGGCTAGATCCGCAATAGAAAAGGCCACAGAAGACGCAAAGTGCCAGATGCAGCCCATCGACTTTGGATGGTGGGACAGAGAGGTAGGCGAGCCACACACAGTGAAAGTAAAGGGATCCGGAAAGTGCGGGAGCGTCAACATCACTCTGACTCCCGCCCCAAAGGGAACAGGAATAGTTGCAGCCACTCTTCCAAAGAAGATCTTCCAGATGGCAGGAATCAAGGACATCTTCACTGCATCAGCAGGACGTACATGCGCAAGTGAAAACTTTGCAAAGGCAACTGTTGCTGCTCTACAGAAATGCAACACTTTCTACTCACCCAAGAACTGGGAAACTCCCGAGCCAATCCCATCACCCCTCCAGGTCTACTCTGAGCTTATTTCAAACTTCAACAAAAAACTAGCATTATAATACTGCAATCTCTAGCTAATAAAGCCTAGTTTATATCTACATCCTTTTACCGTTAATACACCACTTCACACACTCTATCTTCTGTCTTATCAAAATCAGCAAATATCGAAGCTATGTGCCTTTGTGCATTTCTTAAGTCCTATTTATGTTTAATATCCAACTATTTCTGCATATAAATATGCTTTCATGCCTACTCTTCTGTGCTCTCATTTCTATACAGTCTATGCATACACAATGCACACACACTAACTATAGCAATTATAGAAATTTTAGTAGTCTTAGAAGCTGTTCACATTTCTCCAGCCATTTAATTAGATATGAGATGAATACACAATCTGTTCTGTCCTCTGAACAATACATCTGGGCTCTTTGGCTCTTCTGTGCTGCTGCCAGCACTATATTATGGGTTTGCGAAATAAAGTTTAAATAACGAAACACAGCAGCGCGCATGAAGTTCAGAGCGAAAAAAAGCCAGGAAGAGGAGCAGCCCCCAGGATTTGACCTGGCCATGAAAAACACCGAGCTGAAGGAGGAGATAAAAGAGCTGAAAGAAAAACAGAACTCTCTTCTAAGAGAGTCTCTTAAACACCAGTATCTGTGCTATAGAATGAAGACAGAGTCAGAGAAAATACTCCAGGAGCAGAAGGCGTCTCTCTCCTCCATCCTGGAAAAAGTAGAGCAGGGCTTAAAGCTTCTGAAGGAAGAAGAGAGCGGAGACACCAAGGCTCCTAAAACACGAATGACCGTGCTCAAGGAAAATCCAAAACAAAAGAATAAACTCCACACGGAATAATTTTATTTGGCATGGAGTGGGAAGAAGCAGTCAGAAGAATCACTGAAAAAGCAAACGAGATAGAAAGCGCTCTATCGCACAGCACCCGGGTGGAAACACTGGACGGACTGCTCTCAGACCTTCATAGAGAAATGCAAATGTACAAAGCCACAATCCTCAGAGCAGCAAACGGAGCCAGCGTCTTCGCACAGCTTGAAACCAGAATGCGCGCTCTGAACAGAAGAGTAAACATCATAAAAATGTCGTACGAGTCAGAAGATGCAAAAACAAAACTCAGAGAGCACAGACAGGACTGCCATCTCACACGAAACACAGAGAAGCTCAACCAGTACATCAAAATAGCATCGCACTCAATCAGCTCGATAGAGAAGCAAAGAAACATTCTGAAAGGAAGCAGACAGAAGCTGGAAGATGGGCTGGAATACCTTGGGCTCTCTGACCGCGTGATAGATCAAATATCGAACAGATACCTCACAGACTACCGCATATTCAAGGCGCTCACTGCTATCTTTATTCTGCTCTTCATATATATTTTTATTCTCCGCAGATAGACTTATTCATGCATCCGCACAACTGATGTACAACCACTCACTAAATTTGGTTTATCATTTTAACGTGGTATATGCTAGTGTGCGATAATCGCACCCTTAGACAACATATATCTGCCATTAGCATGCTATTCTTGGAATATATTTGAACTATTCAGCAGACTATTACTTCTGCTCGCAGTATACGCGTATGCAGAACAAAATTTAAATAGAACAATTAAATAATTCAGACAGCAACCTCTACAATAAATGTACACACATTTTAATAAAAACACGTTTTGTTTATTATTTACCAGGAGCATAAAAATAAATTCATAAGTGGTTTTGCTGAAACAGACAAACTGCACGCTGTTTCTACAGCACACCATAATAGCTGCACTAAATAGTATATTCCTTCTACTCCTTTAAGATAACACGAGGAGCGATCTTCATTGCCATCAGCTCCTGGAAAAGCAGCTTGCATGCATATGGCATTTGTATCTTCTGCACTGTTGCTTTCTTGCACCCTGTGCACCCTGCCGGGCTGATGATCAGTTTGCACCCGCTGCATATGTGCGCCATAAACTTATCTGATGAGACCACAAGCCGCTCTATAAGAATCTCTGACGCGCCGTACCCGATCAGACAGTCTCTCTCCATTTCTCCAAGCCTAAACCCTCCGTCTCTGCATCGTCCTTCTGTGGGCTGCCGGGTGAGCACTGCCCTCGGTCCTCTTGCACGCGCGTGCATTTTGTCTGTGACCATGTGTTTCAGCCTCTGGTAGAACACCGGCCCAAAGAATATGCGCACAGGGATCTGCTCCCCGGATGTTCCGCATGTAAGAGTCTCTTTCCCCGTCTCACTGTACCCCAGTGCAGCCAGCTCTTCTGCAATGTCCTTTGCCTGAACGCCTCCAAACGCTGTTGCTGCAAACTGGTCCAGCCTTTTAGACCCCAGGGATATGGACTTTCCCGTGACCAGCTCCAGAATCTTTCCCACCGTCATTCTCGAGGGAAACCCGTGCGGGTTCATGACCAAGTCCGGCGATATTCCCATCTCGTTAAACGGCATGTCCTCCTGCGGAAGAATCAGGCCAACTACGCCCTTCTGCCCGTGCCGACTGCTGAACTTGTCGCCTATTCTGGGGATCCTGTGCTCTTTCAGCACACTTTTTATCGTTATTAAGTCATCGCCTGTTCGCATAATAGCTGTCTTATCGACTGATGCGCCGTCCAGCCCTCTGTAGATAGCCCCAGCCTTTCCGCCCATCGGAGTTCTCCTGTCTATAAAGGTCATTCCCTCGCTTACCTTCATTCCTGGCGATGGAATGCCGTCTCCTACAATTGTGTCTGCTGTTCCGCCTGGATACGCTCGAAGCGAGATGGCGTGTGTTTTGAAAAGGAGAGCTCTTCCCACGCCCCTGTCAATCGAAGCTTTGTTCAGAACCAGCGCATCTTCTATGTCGTATCCGGACATGCTCATAACAGCAACTGTTAAATTCTGTCCTGCTGGAAGATCGTTGTACTTGATCAGCTCCATGCCGCGTGTGGCTGCAAGCGGCTTCTGCGGGTTCACCATGAAGAAGTTTGCGCCGTCCATTCGCCTTCTCTGGTCCACGCCTGTTACTCCCACGCCCTGCTTCCCCATAGCGCACTGGTACGTATTTCTTGGCGACTGGTTGTGGTGTGGGTACGGGATGACTCCTGCAACATGCCCAAGTATTGCCGAGGGGTCTATTTCCAGATGCGTGGTTTCTTCTGTTATCTCCCTGTCCCACAGAGCAATTAGAGAGTTTTTGGCTTCATTCTGGTCTATGTACTCTATCAGGCCCTCGCGCAATAGATCGCTGACAGTCTTATACCCCTCGTGAAGAAGCCTCAGGTCCTGCGGTGTCAGCATGGGTCTGCCCTCTTCCACGATAATCAGCGGCCGAGTGAGCCGCCCTGTCTCTGTAGAGATAAATAGGTCGTCTGACACCCAGATGCCAACTGTGCTCGGAATAACCCCCTGTCTTCGCAGTCTTCTCATTTCCCTCGCTGCCCAGTTGGGGTTTCTGCACGTTCCCACGGGCACGCCGTTCACCCAGCACTTTGTCCTCTCGAGCTCTGCTGATGAAATTGCAGAAATGTCTTCCACTCCCAGGAAAGACAGCGCGGTGATCACCTCTGTTTCTTCCTCGTTTGGCGTTATTTCTGTGAGCATTGCCAGACTCTTGACAAGCCCACACGCCTCGCCTTCTGGTGTGTCTGCAGGACAAAACACGCCCCACTGCGAGCAGTGCAGAGCACGCGGCCCAGAGACCTTCCGTGTTTTCTCAAACTGCGAGGAAACCCGGGAGCACATGCCAATTGCCGACAGTCTGCTCAGCCTTGTAAGCACCTGCGTGATGCCTGCCCTCTCCATACGAAAACGCTTAAGAGACCACGACCCAGTGGAAATGGCTCGAAGGAGGCCGGTAGTCATCATTCCTCTGTTCATCACTAGAAAGTGCAGCGCATCGAGCTCCTGTGCCCTTGCTCTCTTGCATAGCACTCTGTCCAGCGCCTTCTTTATCTCGCTGTTAAGTCTCTTCAGAAGATCTTCAAAGAGAAGGGAAAGCATCTGCCCTGCAAGCTCTATTCTTTTGTTCCCCACAAAGTCTTTGTCGTTCTGCAGGTCGTCTGACTTTCCATTGCTGCTATCCAGGAGCATGCGCGCCATGATCGAGAGATACTCTGCCTTTCGGCGCATGTCGGTCCCTGTCCCTGGGATGTGCGCGAGAATAATGTCGCACAGAAGAAGCCTGGCCTCATCTATCCCGCCCTGTCTTGTTTTTATTCTGCTTCCTATCCAGGCAAGGGCTTCCAGCGCCGTGCGGATGTGTGCTACTGCCGGCGTGGGCTGTCCTATTAATATTTCAATCTCTAGGTCTGTGGTAACCCCCATGCCCTTCATGACTATATTTAGCGGTATGTCTTCTGTGAGGGAGTTGTGGGCTAGATAGAGGAGCTTTTTCTTCAGCACCACCTTTGTCTTACTTTTTCTCTCAAGCGATGAACTGGTGACAACTGCGCACAGGTCCCCTCTGAAGTCTGTTTCTATCAGTATTCTGTTCTTTGCCAGCTGCTCCTGCATGAGAAGAACCCTCTCCATGCCTTTGCATATGAAGTATCCTCCAATGTCGTACGGACACTCGCTTTTAGGCCTCGCGTGTATAGGGTTGGTTATTCTCTGGAGGTTGTGCGTGTTTACTCCGATTTCCTTTTCCAGGAAGTCTTTTTGTCTGAGAGACAGCCTGCTCCCCAGCATGATGGGCATCTTCCCCACTATAACGTTCTTTGAAGAGACCACGTCCTTTCCCCTGGTGTACTCTACGTCCACCACTATGTCTCCCGAGTACGTTAGGTTTCTTATTCTGCACTCTTCAGGAGTGACGTACCTTTTTACCATGTTCTCTTCTACTGATGGCGGCTCCACTCGAATGTCTGTGTATTTCAGATAGAACGACGGGTCCACATCAGAGTCTATGAAACTGTTTGTTTGCAAAACCGTTTTTATTTCTTTTTCCACAAAGTAATTAAAAGACCCAACGTGGTGTCTGTTGAGGCCTTTTTCATCAAGAAACCTCTTTGTGAATATGTGATACGGCAGTGCGCCCTTCTTGTGCAAATTATTCTTATTGCTGTTTCTTTCACCGTGGGCGTGCATTATTTTTAGAAAGAAAAGAAATTTTAAAACAACAATATTTTATCCAGCGCTCTCCAACTGCTTTAGAGATATCTGCGCTGAATGCCCTCTCTGAGTGAAATATAAACTACTACAGAGATCTGCACTTTCTAAAACTCTAGTGAAAGATAGAGTGCTTTTGTGCATATAGCCTGAGAAAAGAGCCTTCTAGCTATGATAGAGCATTCAGTTATCTATCTGTTGTTTATCCAGATGGTGTTCTATAGACTGTGGTAATAAAAGAGCTTCAGTAATTCTGCACCACTTACCACTGATTGAATACTGGCTGAATCCAAGTGTCTTATACTCTTACAGGCTTTTACAAGATAAACAGTCTATGCGCGAAGCCATCTATATCATATTTATACCATGCAGATACACTGATAAAAATAGAATACTATAATTTATTTTATTATAAGGTCAGTGCGCCAGGCCTTTAAAGCTATTAACAAAATCATCTGGCTTTGCATAGACTTTCCCGCTGAAGTAGAGCCCTTTCTCCACTACGTGCAGGAGTATCTCTGCAGCCTCCTCTCTACTGCGCATGTAGACAAAGGATACACTCCCCAGCGATGTCTTTGAGATTGACAGAGCATACTTGTCTGCGATATTGTCCTGTTTGCTGGACACAAGTCTCTTCTTGATCGACTCCACAGGCTCTGTGGTGAACTTCCTATGGCCCATAACACGCTTCAGAGTCTTCAGATAGTTTGGCACGTACGTCTCTGCGATGCTCTCTATGTCTTTAAACAGCCGGCCCTCCAGCTCGTACCCCTCCTTCACCTCTTTGATTCGGATGTGCGAACAGTAGCACTTTTCTGGGTGCTCTGTTATTCGAATTGTGAGGATTATCGAGTCTGGGTGCGTGGCAGAAGCTCTCAGAACGAAAGCTCCGAAGCTCTTGTCCTTTAGCATGCGGTTTGCAGCCTTTGCAGGCATATTCTTTACTCTCCAGTGCGCGTGTGCTCTGAGCAGGCTTTTCTCATCTTTCCTCTCTTCCTGGACAATCACCCTGCTCTGCTGCATGTCTACTTCTACCACGCGAAACAGCAGCCTCTGTCCATCCACAAGGCCTTCTCTCGCCTTCTGTGCAAGCACTGCAGACACGCCATTAGCCAGCCGAATGTGTGTCTCATTGCTGTTGATACAGGAGATGGCTCCCTCAAGCACCCGCCCCTCCATTGCTATCTTTATGCCTGAAAAGAGACTCCACGATGTCTGCAGAGATAATAGCTCTTCTTCTGTTGTGTTGTTGAATATAAGGAACTTTTCTCTCGCGTCAAGCGCTCCCATCCCCGCCACCTCAGACTGGTTTCTAAGCTTATTTATGCAGTGTCTATACGCCTTTCTAAACAGGCCGTTTTCTATAACGGGCTCGTTCTCTGCCCTTAGCCAGCCCGTGTGGGGCACTGCTGTTTCTTTTATTGCGCTGCGGATCTCTTCGCATCTTGAGTATCTATCCACTGCCACGCCCGCAGGATCGCCTCCGCTCTTTACAAACTCCAGCAGCTCCCTCTTCAGATGGACATAGTCGTATGTCTGGCACACCTGCGCCTCTGCTCTTTTGTACGCCACAGCGTATTCAAACACGCTCATTGCCACCTGGTGCTGGAGCATCTCTTGCAGTGGAGTTATGATGGGAAGATGCTTCTCTGCGCTTATCACATTTTCAGCTGCAGGGAGCGGAGATCGCACTATCTTGCATAGGAGACTGGACAGGTCTTTTGTCTCCTCCATAAGGCTCAGCAGGCTCTCGTCAATGTACATTTTGTTTTTGTACTTCATAAATGGCTTCAGCTTATATCCTTTCCCTGTCATAGCGATTACACCCATGTGAGCTGACAGATCCAAGCCCTCTTTATTGTGAGCTATCCCGCTGGATATCACTGCTCCCTTGTGGTCTGTCTTATGGTATCGCAGCCTTCCTTTGTCCAGCCACACGCCAACTACACTCTCTCTCCCAGGCTTTACGCTGAGCATTTCTTCTACCTTTTTGAAGAGCGATATTTTCACGTACTCTTCTGAGATCAGCGCAAGCTCTCTTTCTATCCCTCTGCTCACCTCTTCTGCAGACTTCTCTATAAAGTATGCAATGGCATCTCTCAGCCTCTCTTTACTCTGCACACTGCCTTCCAGCTTCTGTGCTATTTTCTCTACTGTCTCTTCTTTTTTCAAAATAATTCTGTACGAGACGCCTCTTCTCTTGAGAGACTGCAGGATGTACATGTCCGTGTGTGCTATTTTGTTCGCCAATACTCTCACGGTCTCTTTTCCCTGGATTTCAATCTCGGATATGTCCATGCCCACCTCCACTGCCATTCTGAATATCCACGGGTTGTAAAGAAGACCCTTCTGCTGCACCGGCCCTGTTTGTATCTGTTCATTTGCCAAACTGGCTTTTTTGTCCTCCAGATCTTTTTCCATCTGCTGGCCATCACTCTCTATTTCTGCATGGTCTGTGTGGTATATCGAAACGTTTGCTATTTTCTGTGTGACCTCTGCAGCCATCTCTCTGTCTTCGTCTGCACACACATTTGACTGCAGCCTGTAGACATACTGTATCAGCTGTGTGTACTCCTCCGGGGTTTTTAGCGTGTGCGCACAGGAGATTACCGTCTTCACCCTCTTATCCACTGTCTTGGGAAGCTGTGCGAGTATTTTGTCTTTTTCTCTGTACAAAGAGACAAGACGCATGGCCTGCAGAACAACCATGTGGTTCTCTGGGCCGTCAAGGCAGTGGAACGACTCTGAAATGATTTTGACCAGACTTTTATCATCAACAATATTTGCAACCAGTATCTCGATCTCTTTTTTGGGAAAGGAAGAAACAGTTTCCAAAAGAGCCTCTGTTACTTTGCCTACTATCTCCTCCCTATCTACCGTGCTGAAGGCCTCTGCTTTCACGGCTATCTCCTGCTCCTGCTTCTCTTTCTGCTCGTGGCTGTTCTGCCGGGCATAGTGCTCAAGCACGTGCAGATAGTCGGTTCCGTCTCCAAATATCTCCAGAAGAATCCCCGCTGCTGCCCCGCCTGATATCCCCCATGCGTCCATTTCTTCGCTTCTTTCCTCCACCGTATTTTCTGATGAAACCTCCTCAAAAAGATCTTCTATCTCGTCTTTTGCGTCTTTGTCTTGTCTGTGAACTTTTCTTCTTCTTTCAAATATTTCATCGTCACTTTCTTCCTCCCTCGTTCTCTTCATTTAAAAATAGAAAAGAAAATTAACTAAAATACGCACGTCTTTGCTGTGCTTCGAACCCACCAGCCTTAGCGAGCTATTTCAGAGGGACAGCTTCTTCTTAATGCAACTCGTCTGTGCTGAAAATAAAAATATATTGGGCATACTTGCATACAAGAACAAGCCAAACATAAAGACCTAGAAGTAAACAAGATAGAAAAGTAGATGCTCAGAGTGCAAATGCACTGGCATAGAAAGTGGTGGAAGATATGTAAATATTGCTATCTCTTTTATTTTATATTTTGTGTTGTGCCTCTACTGGACAGGTTGTAGCTGCTAGCAGAGGTGTCTCTGTGAGTCATGTATAGTGTTTGTTCGAGTGGTTTTAAATAGCCTCTTGTCCTATCTACACAAGGGCTCCTCTTACTATCTCTGTAAAGTCATCGTATTTTGTCTGGATGACGTTGAAGTAGCCCTGGAGTGACTTGTTGTAGACGAGCGACCGGACGCACCCTGTAGCCACATTCTTAATCCCCACCACGTAGTTGTACCCGTGCAAAAAGCTTGAATGCAGTTTTTCATACAGGCCAGCAGCCGACTCTTTCATTCTGGACATAAACATCATAAACGTCACAAAGACAATGATGCTATTTACCAGCTCAACTATAGCCTGCACCTTGCCAGACGTCCACTTTTTAAGCGGTATGAAAAACTTGTACTTGATCAGGCGCACAATGTGCATTATTCTCTGCAGAAGGCCTATGGAGGGGTTTACTACGATCTTCTTCCCTGCAAAAATTATTTCTTTATTTTCCAGCTGCTCGAGCGTGGATTTGGCAGGAATCGAGTTTTTGCACTTGTACAGCTTGTCTATTTTGAGAAGAAAAGAGCACAGCCGTGTTTTTAGCGTATGGTATATATTTGGAGTGGTAAAGTTTCTAAAGTTCAGCAGAAAGCTGACGATCTTTTCGGGGTCCACAAAGCAAAGAAAAGACTTTTTCTCGATAACGACGTCAAAGAGCTCAAAGAAACCGTTGACTGAGGGCCAGCTGTGAGAGCCCGACAAGGGAAACAGAATGTTGAAGTTCTCTATGTTGAACGAGCTGTTAAAGTTTGCTTCTATGTATTCTATGCTCTTCCAGTTGTGGTGCATGCCCATCAGAATATTCACAAGGGTCGCGTCCTCAGCGCTCAGCATGCTAAATATTGAAATGTCACCATTGATCCTCTGTATAAGACTGCGTAGGCCCACTGGGTGCTCTATAATCAGCCTCAGCCCTATGTCTATGAACCGCTCTCCGTTATACTTGTTTGTGTAGAGGTCTTCCAATGTAACCAGCTTAAGCTGCTTTTCAAAAGTAATGTGGTCCTGCGGATAGTTGAACAAAAAGGAGTTGAGCCTCTGCCACGCGAGATGTCTGCTTTTGTCAGACTGCATTGCCAGAATTACTCTGTACTCAGACTCCAGGGCCAAATACTTCTCGAAGTCCATGCCGCAGCTGCCCACAATGTCATTAAGCCACGTGTCGCAGTTTGTGAGCAGAATTTTGTATATACCCTCCAGCTTCATGTGTATAGTCTCTACAATCCCGTTGTATGCCGGGTCCTTGCTGCTTTCCACAGAAAAAAGCTCGAACATCGTTTTATTTAGAAGCTCATCGTCTATCTCTATGATGTAGCGCCACAGAATGTTTCTCAGAGCCTGCTCGGTCAGGACAGAATAGCCTGTCAGATCATCAAACTTAAAAGTTGTTTTTTCCAAAATGCTGTCCACCAAATAGGTAAACCAGTCTTCTTTATATTTTTTTGTTGTGTTTTCGTAAATATAGCTCTTGCACAATAAATCTAGGTCCTCTTTTGTGATTCCTATGTACTCTATGCTCGGCAGCGGGTTATCATTATGCACTTTATTCATTTGATACATAAGAAAATAAAATCTTTAATATACATAAGTAAAAATAATCCAAAAATCAAATAAAAAAATAAAATTAGCTTGTTCCCTCTCTCACTCCTACACTCAACACATAGAGTGTATAAATCTGATCAAAAAGCATTTTTCTTAGTTTATGCACAGACAGGTAAAATGCAATACAAAAAAGATGAAAACCTTCCTACAATATCTGTACTATGCTTTATTCAGAATTAACGGACCATAAATAGCTGCTAGAAGAACTCTTTCATCTTCTGTCTTCTCAGACCTTGTTCCAAAGCATAACAGGAAGCTTGCTCCTAATCTTCATCAATCTAAAAAAGAAATCAGCTTCTGTCTATATAAGACATACTTCTTCGGGTTGTATGAATTTTATTTTTTACATATACTCTATTACCATAGGCCTATTTGTTTTACTGGCTTTCAGTATAAACCCTTCCACACAATTTATACCGAGCGGCAGAAATAAAACAGCAGAAGAACACAGCCTAAACTTCCAGAAGATTACAGACTCAATCTACAAAAATAACAAGTATCTAGAAAACTTAGAAGAAAGGCCAAATACTATACACCCGTACACAGTCCCTCTAATGCCGATGCTCCAAGCAAAACTAGAAAGAATAAAGCACCAATACAAGCTGCCGTACTCCTCAAATCCAATAAACAGCTCCTCTCTGCTACTCGATACCCTCGGTGAAAATAGTAGCACAATAGACACAAATACTTATGTGCATAGAAATGATACCTTTCCTGCACTGAATTGTACCTCAATGAGCCCAGATAGAGTAAAAGTTTCTGGCTTTAATCTGACTCTACCAAATACTCGTCCATTTGAGATAAACTCCCTCGGCCCTTCCCTCTTTAAATTCAACCACACAGACTCTAGTACAGTTTATTCTTTCTACTCAAAGCCGAGCTCAGCCCAAAACTATCTATTTGATGTAGTATACTGCATCAAGTACAACGAGGATAAAAATGCCAGTATTCCGCTGAAAACCACAGAAACAAATGTTACACAGATCAGTTTTAGCAAAAACAGCACAAACATAGAGTTTATTGCAGGAGAAAGACTAAGAGCATTCAACAATACTAAACTAAACGATCTGCTAGATATGGCGCAGAAAAACAGCAAAAGACTTCAGACATCTGGTATAACCCAAGAAGAGATATATATTGCTAGGGTTGTACGAACAGATGATAAGAGCAACTTGGCCAGTATAGTTATCCACACCACCATTAGCTTCAAATACAATAAAATAGTCCTCCTCAAAGACACAGAGAGCCCATACACCACCTATTTCGTCAGGGTGGGCGATAGTGCAAAAAAAGAGATTCTATCAGTCTGCATGGCAAAGACATACTGCCGCAAAAAAAATAGAAAAACAGTGCCCATACAGGTGGGCTACAATGAAAAAAAAGAAAAAATAGTTACACTGGGCATTAAACAGCTTCTAGAGGATAGAATCACCCAAGAAACCTCAGATGCACTGGGAACAAAATGGACAGAGATTGAGGCCTACATGGCAGAGATATACTTCCCTTTGTTTGAAATAAACGCAGAAAACTACCCAGTGTCAAACAGCCTGCAGGCGGTGGTGATAAAAGAGCCCAGCCTAACATCTTTGGAAAACAAGAAAAGCTACAACCTTTTTTCTCGGTACAGCAATCAGCTCGTATGCGGTCTTTTTGGAGTCACGCAGGCAAAGAGTCTAAGCGAGCCCATCGTCAATGCGCACACAGCCCTGCACAACAATAGAACTCTAGAAAACCATCTAAGAGCAATTTCAACACTGCTCGGGAGCAAGTACAAAGTTGATCTGTCCAAAGTAAATACCCAGTCATCGATTGACTTCAGCCTAGAGTTTCCTCTTCCAATCAGCCCGTATTCACTGGACAGCTATTTGAGCTTCATAAACACCTCCGAGTACAACTCTAACTACTATCTAGACGGCTGCCTTCCCATCCACATAGACAGAGCGTTTCTCTTTTTCTTGGAGTACGATGTGGAGCTAAATAACCACAATAGCCTCATGAAGATCATGTACTACAACAAGCCATTCCAGCTCACGCAGAGCTCTAGACAGATGACTGCCTCAGAGGAAAACAAGGCCGACATATTCACGGAAAGAACAACCTATCTTGCGCTGCTAAATATCGCAATCAGCCTTAAAACAGAGCTCATCCTGCAGCAGATAAAAAATCTGCAAGAATACAGGCTGACATACAGATCTTTTTCAGAGCTCGCATCGAGCAGTATACTGTCCCGCAGCAAAGGATCTCTCCGCGCATACATCTCATACACGATGAGCATCTTCAAAAACAGCATTCACTTGAAGTGGAAAGAGTTTTCTGCTCTGAAAGAGTCTATAAAGGAAACACTGAAGAAATACGACTTCTCGCATCTGACTCAGTTTCTGAGAGAGCATAACAAGGCAGGGAACCGTGTCTTTGATGGCAACCTAGTCTTTCTGAAGCAATATCCAGACTCGCAGAAAATCCAGCAGGATGTATTTATGCTGGAAAAGCTTTCAGAAATGGTTGCAGCATCTATAAATATCAGTATTGATTTCTACGAGAAAAACCTGAAGGATCTCATGCTGTTCTTAAGCAATCCTGTCTCTCGCCAGTACCAGCTGAACATACTCGATCTAACCGAAATCAGAGACTTTGTAAAAGAAGACATGTGGTATGCGTATCTGCTTAAAGCAAATGAAGGCAGAATAGGCCTGTCTCTGGAGGCTCTTCTCGTTGACAGAATCTTCGTCGCATACGACAACTTTCTAATACTCATAAACCACTACATGGATCTCTTGGCTGCTAAAGCGTATGAGGATGCCAACAACTATAGCACGGATGCAGAAGCTGCCAAGGCAATGGAAAGATTCATTGTCTACATCGACAGCTATTTAGACAACATGCTGGAAGATAAAATCAAGGCACACGCGCTGCAAAATGACTATTTTGTTGCTCTCAGTTCAAAGCTAGAGGTAAAGGACATCTCCCTGCTCAAGAAAAGGCTGTCCAGTGTCATTAGCGAATTTAGCCAAATAGTGCAAGATCCCAGCAGCCGTTACAGTAGATTCTCTGACTGGATGCCGCCTCATATACAAAAAATAACCATTGGAGAGCTTTACAAAGGAAACAGCACAAACAATTTCCAAAGCTCAAGAAGCACTCGATCCACCCCACAGACATATGAGAGACTGCGCCCAAAATGCAGCTCGCGAATGAAGTCCATAATGCTTGACATTGTCCAAAAGCAAACAGCGTGTACTAACTACACTAAACTAGTTACAGAAAAGAGCCTAGAGAACAGAGTGCTAGACCATGACATAAAGTTCATTGAAAACACTAAGTGGTTTGTGCTTAACAAAGTGCTAGATGATATGTTTGCAAGTGTTGCTGCCAGTGCACATTTAAACACAACTGAAAAGTCGGAAATGTGCGATAGCTTCCTGCTCTCTACAAAGAGCTCAAAGATTGCAGAAGCATTGTACACCATTGCAAGAATATCCGATGCCCAGACCGAGAAGGAAGAAAAAATGAAAAAAGGCATCGACCATATCCACCCTGAGAAAAGAGCAACCGAGCTTGCAGTAAGACGGGCTGCAGGCATGATCTCACACATCGTTTCCAAAAGACTAGGCATCAAGGACAATGACATAAAAGTGCTCAAGCACAAACTAAAGAAAATGTTCACTTCTGTATACAACAGCTACGAAAGTGAGTTAAGAGAGCTGAAAATAAAAAGCCACAAAAACTTTTTGGACAAATGCAACATAGAGAAGGGAAGCCCGGAGTACCATAGCATCCAGACGGGACAGAATCAGATTCTAGAGTCTCTAAGGAACGCCGAGGTTTTTATCGATCGGCTTGCAAGATCAATGAATAGCAAGAACACAGAGAAAAAACAGCCTGGGGAAGCTATAGAGTATTTTGCCGAGAGCATGGATGCAATCCAAGCAAAAGCGCCAAGCCAGAAAAAAAATACCGATCTAGCTGCTGACTATGACTGGAAAGTTGGCGCTAAAGAAATACACAGAATCTTGGAGAGCATTCAAATAAAAGGTGTGCTGTTGGCTAGTGAAATTGAAAACATCCTCTACAACTTACGAACGTGCAACGAGAATATGGCCCTTTTGAATGAGGAAATAAACATCGCTGAAATGGAAAATGAGAACTATAATAGCGATGAACTAGATGAAGATGAGTCTGCAGAAGCTAAAACAGCAGAAGATAGAGCTGATGCACAGGATGACAACATTCCCAGGTCCATGAAAATAAAAGTAGACCCTGACAATAGCATTGATATCCCTGATAATAGTATAAATGAAGAAGAATATGAAATGTACAATCCAACAGCACCTGATTTTGACGATGACTCTGATGATTACTCTGACGATGATTCTGAGAAAGTAGCGAATTATGATGATATGTAGTATGCAGCACCATTACCATCCTTAGCATTAGCTAAACATACAGTATATGCTGATATCATCTGGCAATGACAACAAATAAAGCATCTGTTCTAAGTTAAGCTATTTTCCTAAGCGCACAACCTTTATTGCACCAATGTGTACGAATAGAACATTATGTCTGTCTGCAACCCGCTAAATGCGCCTAGGCAAGTTCTCTTTGTGTATATGGCTTCCACTTGGTTTGCTGTAACTTTTATTTTATTTCAGAGCACCACAAAATACAAAGTGAACAGGATTAAAAGCCATACAGAAACTTTTAAATTTGTTTTGCGAAATAAAAATGAAAGAGTTTTCTCTAAGAGCCTAAACACACAACAACACAAAGTAGAAAGAGGTCAATAAATCTATGGAGATATTAACATACTCGCACTGCTAAAATGTAACTTGTTTTTGTCTTATCTTTATTTAAATTAGTCACGCATAATCTAGCAATATCCTCCGCTTGATCCTCTGTCATTTCCTCGGGTTATTTTGAGCCCGAATAGAAGCTGTTTATCTCATCAAATGGTTTATTATCTATATGAGCATGCGCAGTGTGTTATTTGAAGAATAGCTGAATGATTCTCTTTGCTCTGTCAGCTAGAAAGTGCAGTAAATGAGACCATCTTCTGTGCTGCTCACAGTAGAGAAAGAACACTAGAATGCTTCAAATGTGTTGTTTTATAGTGCCTACTGCTTTTTCTCAGTTGTATTCTAGTAGTAGCTCTTCAGTGCTCATGAACTGATACTCTGGCTGCATTTTCTGTTTCTGCATAAACGCACTCGATATTCTCCCCAGCCTCTTTTTGAACGTAAGAGACTTTCCCTCTTTTATTTCCATTGTCAAGGCAATGATGTGTCTCTTCAGCTGCTGGAATATTCCCTGAACTCCCTCCATGTTCCCTGGAGACTCTTCTATGGTCTGGTGCAGCATTGCCTCCAGGTCGTAAAAAACTTTCCTCTGTTTTTCCCATCTTGAAAATATGCTCTTGTGTGTTGCTATTACCTCTCTCATCTTTTCAACCTCCATCAAAATCTGTTCTATATCTTCTCTCCACTTCTGGTCCTTCTTCTTCTCGTGCGATGGCTTTGCCCGCGGGCTCTCCATCGGATCGTTTGAAACAGGAGAGTCTATCTTCTCTGTTTTGTCCCGAGCCCTCGCTTTTTCTTCTATTTTTATTTCTACTGGTTTTATTTCATGCACCCCTGCCATTGACAGATTGGCCTTAGACGCCCTGTCAAGCGAGTGCATTCTGTTGCTGTTGTTCAGCTTTGTTGCTGTGTTAGTGCTTCCTGCTGACCCTGACCTGTGCAGCGTGGGCCCGAGGGAGATTCCTCCCATTCCCAGGCTTATTCCCTGCATGTCCCCCATGTGGTCATCCAGCCCGCGCATTCTGTTGAAGCTGTTGATCTCCTCCACTGATCCAAATCCGCCTAGAGACACAAAGGGCTCCATTCTTCCCATTGTCTGCCCAATGAATCCATCTTTCTTTGCTTTCTCTCCCGCTAGATCTCGAGGCGTTTTCATCTCTTTCACTTCAACTGTCTTCACTTCGCTGCGGTTTGTGCGAGGACTTTGCATGTGTCCTAGGTCAGTAATTGGATCTAGTTTGATGATGTTGGGGACAGGATTGTATCCTCTTGCTGCGCTTGATGATCCACCTGTGCATCCATTGATTGATCCTGCAAACATTCCTGAGCTATTCATTGCAGAAGCACCCATTCCAGAGCCTCCATGCGGCCGCGAGTTAAAGCCTCCTCCCATTGCGCCAGTGTGCAGCCCCACACCCGTGCCAAGGCCTGACACTCCATGAGAGCTCATCATCATGTGTCCATTAAGGCTGTTGCTCTGCGGTGCAAACATTTCTTGCTTCTGGCTTTGGTGCGTCTTGTTTATTCCCATCAAATTGTGCTGGTATGCCTGCACACCCCCTGCATTGCCCATTTGCATTCCCATGATGCCAGAGCCAGACACTCCGCCCATTCCCGCGTGGCTGTTTGGCTTATTGTTGATAGGCCTAATGCGGGGCATCCTAGAGTCATCAGGGATGAAGGAGAAGTTGATGCCGCGCCCTTGTGGGTTGGAGGTGAGAGAGACAAACTCCTGGCCTGTCTTCTTCTGGGAGTGCATGGAGTACTCGTCCATCTCTGGCTGGTGCGGCTTTCCCATTGGGTCTCTGAACATTCCCATGGCGCCATTTACTGGGATGGGCTCTGGCTTTATTTGAGACGACTTGTTCCCCATTTCTCTGAGTATTTCTTCAGAGTTCATCACATAGCTTTTTTCTATTTTTGCCAGCTTTGTGTGCATGGCCTGCATGTACTCTTGCTTTGTGAACGAGCGATCAAAAGTTAGCTGCTCAGACTTTATGGCTGAGTCGCGAATATGCTCTACAGAGTAGTGCGTAAACATTGGAGACTGCCTCAGCGCGTGGTAGATTTTTTTCAAAATCGCCTTTCTTTCCTCCGGCCCGACTGGTGCTTGTTTCATTGCATGTAAATAAAAAAATAGATATATTATGTGAAATCTTTTAAAAGAATTTACTAAGAGCAGTTACAGCAGCTGCACACACAATATCTTCTTTCTCTTCTAGAGCACTCCATCCTACAAACGCACAGCACAAAAATGCGAGCATCTTGCAGCGTATTTTACTCTGTTTGCTGTTTTTATCCAAAACGCAGCATTTGGGCATTCAATATTCAATATTTGGACTAATGTTAATGTAATAGATTAAATTGCAGTAATTAAAAATGTGCATTGCCTGAAGAAGCTGCTGCAAATATGCACAGTGAGGATGTACTCATGCACACTCTCTACCACGCACGGGAATAAGAAACAATTGCACGCCCATTAAAATGTGCATTCTCGGTTTGAGTAAAGATCACAACACTTACCTGTTTATTGAGACATCTGAAAAAATAAAGAATAAAATCCTGTTTGCATGGCTAGCAAGCTAGTAGTGTTATCTTATGCTGCCCTTCTGTATACTAGTTGTAATCGAGCATGAAGCACGAGACAGATAAATCCAATAAAATATTATTTATGCACGCTCTGTTCTGAATGTCTTTATATTTTTTATTAAATTTGCGGATAGAATGATCTGCAGACTAGCAAATTATTTCTCAGATTGCCTGCTCTCGAGCAACAGAGCAATCTAAAAACGTTTTCGTGTTTAACGCAGAAAGTTGCACAGGCTGTCTGAGTCTCAGGCCCTGGGAGCACACCTCCAAAAATACTCTTTTTTTTAATTGTCCTTATTTGTACGGTCTTTCCATATTAGTACAGAGTGGTTTTCAGCTGTTTTTTTCTTTTTCTTTTAAATTTAATTTGTTAATTAGGTTTTGCTTTTGTTTTATTTGTTTTTTCACGAGCGCAATAACCCGCTCCTGCGCCTCTTTCTCCCTGTACCCGGCTATCACCGAGTTTGCCTCCTCGTACAAATTTTCTATTTTCTTCACTTCTGCTTTTATGTCTCGGACTTTCTTGATGCTCGTCGAGTTGGACGCTGACTCCGTGAATATCTCCACGATATCAGATAGCACAGCGCCCAGACTCCTCAGGGAGCGCTCTTTTTTCTCCTTGCCTATCGTCCTTTGGAAGGCCTCAACCGTTTTTGGAATGCGCGGCGGCTCTTGCGTCCTCTTCCCCAGCGGAGGCTCCGGCCATATTTCTTTGATGTGCATGAAAAATCACAAAGAAAATATATTTGTAATTTTGAAAATTTAAACTAATAGCCATTTTCCTGTTTTAGAAAAATATATTTACTAATTTTATGTACCCCTGTAAATGGTAGAATCGAGGGATTCAAGAGATGATACTTCACCTGGCCTGGGCGCGTCCTACGACAGAAATGAGCGGCGGGGGCACAAGAGCTATCGCACCGCTCCAGACGAAAAATACTACAGAAGCCCGCAGTCTTTCAGAGGTTATCAAGAAAAGCTCGAGTACGATGATAGGCCAGACAACGAATATATATACAGCCAGAACAAAGAGTATGGATACCCACGAAGCGAGGAGTATCCCCCCATTCCATACGACAGAGCATCCTCCGCCGAAAGGTCCCCAAGAGAGTCGCAGTCTCCTCCGCACTCGCTGAAAGAGAACGCCTCGCGAGAGGGCGGGAGAATGTACGCCCAGCCCTTCGCAGGAAGACAGTTCCGAAGCAACAGCATATCAGGCATATCTCTCCTATCGCTGGGGCAGGAGGCAGAAAGAGAAAAGATGCTGGGCTTCCACTCGCCGCACTCCCACATGGGGCAGGTTTCTCCCAGGATGGCGGTTCCTCCGCCAATGGAGGGCAGCTCTTCGTCTTTCCACCAGAAACAGGGCGGATCGCCAATGTCCAGTCTGCGCTTCTTCAGGAAAGAGAACATGGACGACTCTGCAGAAAGCGAAGACGAAGGGTCCAGAGCGAGCAAAGGAAGGAAGAAGATAAAAATGGAGTTCATCAAAGATAAAGGAAGGAGAGGCGTCACATTCAGCAAGAGAAAGAAGGGCATCATGAAGAAGGCGTACGAGCTGAATGTCCTGACCAAATGTGAGATACTGCTTGTGGTTGCATCTGAAACAGGACATGTATATACATTTGCTACACCGAAACTGCAGCCCATCATAAAGCAGCACGAAAACCTCATCCAGCAATACTTGAACACACCATACATCAACGACGTGAACCGAATATACGACACGTCGGAGCGCTTCGCACCGGACACGCCTGGCTATTATAAAAACACCGACTCGTACGGGTACGACAGGATACTCCGGGGGCAGGGATACTCTTCTGGCTACTACCACAGCGGATACGACACAGACAGCTCTCCGGGGAACAACAATGGCTCTCGTCAGTAGGATTTATTTGTACTTTTTGATTTTTTGCATGCAAGAGACAGAAGAGAAGCGAAACTACCAGTGCTCAGAATGTAATAAAATAGTAGAGCTTGGGTCTAAAGATCCTGTAAGATGCCAGCAGTGCGGCCACAGGATACTCTATAAAATCAGATCGAACCAATGGACACAGTACGAGGCGTTATAATCAAAATAAAAACATTCAAGAGTTGAATATCTTTGCCATTCTTTGGATGGTTATTTATTACATGTTGCAGCGTGCACTGTGCTCGAGCAGTGCGCCCTGCGCGGGACGGGCAGCACACGCCGCGGAAATCGCCAATGGGCAGCAGCAGAAAAAGCGGGGAAAAATTTGCAAGTAGAGTTGAAAGAGCATCATGCCATAAGAAGCATGATTAAAAAGCACTTGCAGAACAGAAGGAATAAGTGCAGATCACTAGAGAATGCCTTCTCTGGCGCTGAGTCTAGCTAAGATGTAAAACACAGATTATTGGATAATTAATAATTTCTGGATTATTTTTGCAAATTCAATGGGCAGTGGAGAACAGAACACTGCGCAAACATCAGAGAAAATGCAGGAATGATCGGTCTATGAATGCAGTAGATAGAGAAGGTATAGCAGTCGCATCACACTTCTTTTTGGACATTCTAGAAGGCAAAGAAAGCATTTATCCGTCTAAACTCAAAGCCAGTAGTAATTTATTTAATTCGATTCTAAACTCCTTCTTCTCTTCCTCTTTCTGCTGCCGTGTCTATTGATGCCTGCACTGCTCTTTCTTTTTATATTTATTGTCAGTTGGACTTGTTTTTCTAATTTAACCTAGTATGTTAGTAAGTATCTTGCATTGCTCTTTTTCTATCTGCAGCGCAGTCTTTTCTCTCACATACCTGCAATATATACCTATAATGACGATGAGCGTGTATGGACAGTAAATAATGCATATTCTGTTAGCATATGCACATCTCTGTGCTAAGACTGTTTTGTTCGTTGATTGTCTAGGATATCTTGCTTTTAGCTGATAAAAATTTGTAAGCTGGAGTGGACAGCAGACAATAAAATGCAAATTTTTTAGAAATTTAAATATGGAGGAATACATAGCAGACTATTTGTATACGGAAAGCATTTCCTGCATTGGAGAGAGCTCTTCTGTCTCAGCACGGTTTGGGGACAGGAAGCTCGTAACAAGCGCATACGAAAAAATAATGATCTGGAACATCGACACTCTCTCTGTTGAAAATACGATTTTGCACGCAGAAAGCAGCCCTGTAACAGCCATGGCGTGCACAGGAAGCGAAGAAGACCTGCTTCTGCTGGTTGGACACGAGAAAGGAAGTGTAAAGTGCATAGACACAAAAGGAAATGAGGTGTTTGGGTTCAGAGAGCACATAAAGAAGATAATTGGAGTGTGCGTGCTAGAGGACATTGCGGTGGTGTACACTACGTCAGCTTTTACCCTCGTTGACTTGAGAACTGAAAGCGCCATCTGCTCTGTGCCCCTGGACATACAGATTTCATCGGTCAGAATATTCAGCAGAACCGTTGTGGTGGGAACAGTTCGCGGAATAGTGCACAAGTACGAAGTAAGCGACCTTTTGAACGGTGTCCAGGAGGCCACTATGCTGCCTCTCGCTGGAAACCAGATCTTTGACTTTCTTGAAATAGATGAAGCGCTCTATGCAGTGCTTCCCGAGTGCGTTGTCAATATAGCCACAAAAGACGAGATGCCGATAAAGCACAGAATATCCTTCGTCAGCACTCTCGGAGCGTCTATGTTCACTAAAGACACAAAAGGAAAGTACCACTGGATGAGCATTAGAGAGGGAAAGATCGAAGAAAAGGCGGTGTTTAAAAACACTAGACCCATTGCATCACTCCAGGTCTACGATAGCAAGGCAGTGGCTGTATTTGCAGACAACGGAATATCAGTCCACAGATCGCAGGACTTCATCACATCAGTAGAGGGGGGAAGGGAGAACCTTCTGGCTCTAGTGAACAACAACAGAACAATCCTTGGAATAACAGAAACAGAAGGGAAAGTATTTGCTACGGCAGCTGATAAAGATGTCCTCAATAACGAAACTATATCCAATGTTCTCTTTGAAGACGAAGGAATGCAGTGCATAGCTGTGCACAGCGGAAAGTACTACATTGGAAAGAAAGATGGGTCATTGAGCGTCAGAGACGCACAGGGGAATGAAATTGAAAACATAGCTCTGTCAAATAGTCCCATCGCATCACTAGACGTAAAGGACAGGATTATAGCAGTGGGAACAGAGTCAAAGGTGATTTTACTGGAGGGAGCCGAGAGAGACGAGCTGGAGTACGATGAAGACATTGTCTGTGTAAGGCTCTCTGCGGATGGATCTCTTGTGGTTGCTTCGCTCACAGACAACACTGTGAAGATACACAAAATAGATGGAACCCGAGTCCTGTCTCTCTATGGCCACTCTGTGCCAGTTGTTGACATTTGCATTTGCCAGGAGAAAGGGCTGATTTACACGCTGGGAGGCGATAAGCTCGTAAAAGTGTGGGGAATGAGCCATGGAGACTGCAGAAAGACAATCAACCCCATTGACCCCGCAGGAATACTATTACACGACAACTTGCTAATTGTATCCACAGCATACGGAATGATCTACTATCTGAAAGACACATTCGAGAAAGTGAAGAAAATAGAATACAGAACGGGGAAAAAAAGAGCAGTGCCTGGAGAAAATAGAATGGCTGTTGTAGATTGCTATCTTCTCGCAATAAGAGAAAGAGCAGTGTCTCTTTTCACAGAAGAAGAGTACGGAACCACTCTGATAGAACAGAAGGTGCTGGAGGAAAGAGCACAGGAAACAGAAGAAATATCAAAGGAAAACAGAATATACAAAATAAGTGCAGTAGAGGAGCTGGAAACAGCCCTGGATGAGAATAGCACGGAAAGAGTGTACGAGTCTCTGAAAAAGCTGTCACAGAATGACCTTGAAAAAACCATCGACATTATGAACACAGAAACACAGAACAAGCTGCTAGACATGCTATCTAAGCTGCCGCACAGCGACTGCAATCCTCTGACGCTCGCATGGTCTCTCGGCCGCCTTGCCAAGAAAAATCTGCACAACGAGAATCTCGAGGGAAGTATCGAGAAAATACGCGCAGAGCTAAGAAAGCAGGCACGAACAACAATGGCAAATAGAGCAGCACTACTGTGGAGCATAAAGGAGAATGCAGACATCATAGAATAAACTAGAAGTACTATTACTAATCATCACTCATTTTTTACGTCCAAAGAAAGTCTGCTGTTAAAGATAAAACAGTAGAGTCATATAGCACAGAATAACCAGAGGTCTAAACATACTATCATTAAGTTAGTATTTACTGTCTTTTATTACTTTTTAATTACCTTTTCCTTGCTTATTTATTTGTAGGACATAGCCCGAGAATTGCACATTCAATCTATTGGCAGTGGTATAATATGCAATCAAAAATGTACTAATTGCATCAGAGACTAGGATACAATCACCCTTGAATCACTCACTGCCAGGCACCTACTCTATATCTATACAGCTGTCTATAATATGTCAGTTATTTCTGCTTTGTACACAGTGGGTCCTTCGCTCTTTCCTTGCTTCAGCTTCCACACATTGTGTTTCCTTATTATTCTGTCGTTCATCTCATCGTACAGACTTACATCGAATGTTGCTGTGCTGCTTCTACTTTCAAAACCAACTGTTCCTACCCCCAGCAGCTCTCCAGCGGAGTATCCTGCTTTTATGTTCTGCCATGTATACGGTGCATACATTTCGATTAGATCGTCGTATTTAGCCACCTCCACCGCAGAGTGTACAAATTCGCTTGCCTCCTTCTGAGTCCTAGGCATCTTCTTCATTGGTTTAATGTGCTGCTCTATGTTGACTTGTCTTCTGTACGGAGTGCCCTCCCAGAAGACTCTGCCTGCTCTTAAAACTGTCCTATGAAACACCTCCTCTGCAATGAGAGCAGGCAGCTCTGCCACTTTCTCTGCTATTTTCAGAGTTTTACTGACGGCTTCTTCTGCGATTGCATCGACTATTTTTACTCCCGTGTGCCCGGCCTTCACTGCGCCTCTGCTGCTTCTATACGTAGCTGACAGAGCGGGAGTGATGAGCGATTTGAACACATGCATACTTCCCAAATGGGAAATAGCGTCTACTATTTGCTGAAATTCGCGTGTATTGAAAACTTCTCTCTGCAAGTGCTTATGAAACACCGAAAGAATTCCTTTATTTCGCATTTGTTTTATGCAAAAAATGGAAGAGTCAAATAAAAAGAGCATTTTTGATATTTTACTCCTGACCGTGGGCCTGTCGGTTGTCTCGCTGATTGTTCTCTACACGTACATACACAGTGCAATAAAGCCCGCAAAGAAAAACTTCGGAAAAGTGGTCCTGGGAAAGAAAGCCAAAAAAAAGGCCAAAAGAAACACTGATGTGATGAGCAGCAAAAACTCCTCAGTAAGCATTGAAATTAGCACAGCCGAAATGGACTAGCGCTCTGCACTTAGCCACACACTCTCTAAGAGCCTCTGGATGGCATTTGAGTCAAAATATCACCAGAATTCTCCATGGTTGGATTTTAATAAACAAGGTTATGCACTCATTCTACAATAAAATCCAAACAGTTAAATATTTTACGAATTTAAACAGAATACTTCTGTAATATAGCAGATACATCCCAGTATAGAAATAACAGAAGATACACAGTGGTATTTTACTATTTATTGAAGCATATAGATGATTATAGCTTATCTTTAATAACTGATCACTATTATGCTTTATTTCTATTCCTTTGAGCTAACTGTGCAATAGTAGAACACAAAGTAAGATAAATGGCGTAGACAATGACTGATTATCACAGATAACGTGTGTGGCTTGTGTATGCAATGATTTATTATTTGTAAACTATCCATGGTTTTATTTATTAAATTTTAATTTATACTCAACATGCCCCCGGCAAGACAGAGGTCATTCTGTCTTCCTTCTATTTCTCTTTTACACCCCCCCATTTTGATATCCTTGTTGTTATTCTCTTCCTCTTCCTTCAGCCTCCATGTTTCCAATGGCTTCCGTATCTCTGGCAGCCCTTTTATTTCCTTATATGTCTTCTTCTTAATCTTCCCACTTTCGTCTTTCACTAAATACGTATCATTCCCACATCTCTTTACTATTACTCCATCATTGTATATGCTCCCAGTCTTTGTGGCTGTGTTCCAATTTGTTCGAGTCGCCCCCATGTAAACTATCCATGGTTTTATTTATTAAATTTTAATTTATACTCAACATTATTTAAACGGTGTAAACTGCACTTAAGAGTCTATGATACTGTTGCTCAGAAAGACACCTTCTTCTTTTTTCTTTCTGCACAGTGGATGAATCTAGTGCATCAGATGGAAATGGATGATTTTCTGTAGAACACTGGGGGCTATTGCGCCCTGCTCCATTTCAACTCTTGTGATGCTCTCTCCGCTGGAAGTGATGGTCACAACGGCATCAGAGGCGCTTCTCTCTTGGAGTATCGGAGAGATGTAAAAACTTTCCTCAACCGATCCATACGTTGCTGTTTTTGTGTTCTGATTTCTCTTTGTTTCCATCTGTCTGAAAATATCGTATGAGACTGATTTTTTAGTCCCAAATAGCTTCTTTACGTCGGGCACTGACATTTTCTGCTGGGCCACAGATAGACAAGCCTGGATGATCTCCTGCACTGACCCTGTGTCCCTGATAACTGCAGCAGATACATCCACTGAGCACCTTTCCCCTTCTAGCACCAGATCTGTCTGTTCTGCACGTTCGCTCTCTTCTTTTGGATGTTCATTCTGCTTTAGATGAATCTTTATGCTGACAATGGCAACTGTCCCGTTCTTTTCAGCTTTTATGGTAAAGTCTCCGTAGTTTTCTATTATGTCGCTTATTTTCACGCTCTCTTCCTTCTCATAGAACCCATTCTCATCCACCAGCCCGCGAAAGAACATCTTTTCGCTCTTTCCTATGGCATTTTGCACTCTGCTGTCTTCTCTATACGAAAGTTTCATAAAATTCTTTTTTCTTTCCACGGTTCAACCCATATAGCTATGCAAACTTGTGCACATTCTCGTCCTAAAAATAGATAAAAGTGCAGAGTGTCTCTGGCAGCACAAGAATCTCTCTGTGCTTGTAAAATGAAAGCTATCAGCTTTCAGCTAAATTTACATCAACACGTAAATGACCATAGAAAATATAAACAATATTTGTAAAACTAACAAGAGTGTAAAGAATGCATGTAAATACAATAGTGTAGAAAGTGCACGTATTTTAAATATCAGTTTATTTGCTAATTAAAGCTACAATAAGACCATACCCATTGAAAGACCAAAAGTTGAACTATGGCTAGCTCTGGTGCTTGGTAAACACTCTGCTTATTCTGCACCTTTTATAATAACTAGCTCAGCCATATCATCGATAAAGCGCTCTCTAGCCAACAGGCGGATAGCTATTGTACAGTAGATACACTCCCCTTACGTTTCCAAACATAGTTCGGATTAAAAGGTTTCTGTCCAAGTTCCCGTCTATATCCAGACACTTTCCTATTGTCTCTTTTATGTAGTGAATTATCACGGTGTATGCACACTTGGCTGTTTCTATCGAGATTTTCTCGTTCAGCTTGTACTCAAAGGACCCTTTCTTCAGCCTGTTGTGCAGGTCTTTGATGCTCAGTATTTTCTTGATCTTGCAGCACAGCACATTGTAGTTAGCAGAAAAAAGAGAAATAAGCTGTGGCCTGCTGCTCACTACACTCGACAGGTCTTCTGGGGTTCTTTTGAAAAAAGAGTACTGCTGCTGTGTTTTTGTTATATATGAAGAGTCTTCCATGTCTTTCTTTATCTCAAGGAGGAACTGCTCCTTCAGCGCTCCTTTTAGGTTTAGTGTTCTGCACTCTTCTTCATGCTTTACATCGTATGGCTTCTTATTTGTTTCTCTGTTGGCAGTGGATATAACCCGCAGAATAAAGGCGTTGTACGCATGCACATCTATTTCTGCTCTCTGCAGACACTCTACTACTTCTTCTTTGTGTATTTTTTTGTTGACTATGTCCTTCAGAAGATTTCTAACTATTTCTGCCTTCTCTTCTGAGAAATACGCAGAAATAATAGAGCCCAATGATACTTTCTTCCTTTCGCACTTATCCTCGTCTTCATGCAGGGCATAGGCCAAAGGACTGCCAGAAAGATGGGAGCTCTCTATGTTGCTTTTCTCCAGATAGCTCTCGTCTCCCTCAGCGCCCTCGGAAGCATCTTTTTCAATATTCATTCAAAACAAAAATTAAACTGTCTGTGTTATATTCTCGGTGTACTTCTTTTTATAAATTTATACACTATTAAAATAAATTAGCACTTATATCTACATGTACAATAACTACATCTACTGCTAGAATGCATCGCTGTATAGGCCATCCTATTAGTTAATTGATTAATATAGCAATCTAATTTAATTTTCCCTTGTGCCACAGGCTATGCACCGCAAGCCACCACAGAATATTACCGTATGCACAATATATATTACACCCGCATGAAAAAGTAGCGGTTGTACTACATAAAGCTAACCAGCCATTATATAGTGTGCAGTGTGTCTAAACTATCTTATAAACAATAAACAGTCAGTAATAGAATGTGCTATTTGCTATCTTGTTTTTACCCAGTTGCATCGATAGACACACATTGTATCCACCGGGATGAATAACACACCTCTGCACGTCTGCTTATTCTGAGATGGACTCCACCCTCTGAGACTGTCTGTGCATCTTTTCTTTTGCTTCGAGAGTGTAAACAAATCCAAGCACCCCAGATTGCAAAAGCCAGGGGATTGCACACAGATCGAAGCGGCTTATTTAATATGGGGGAGAGTGTCTTCATAATTGCAGGGAGTCTTAGAATATAAAAAGTTCATTCCTTTTTCACAAATTGCAGAAATCCCTTCAACACAAAAAGAGACTGATTAAATCCTGTGTATATTAAAGGTTCTATTTCAAAAAGAAGCAAAATGAAGGTTCTGAAGGCAGCATCGCAGTCGACTGAGTTTATCGACAAGCTGTACAGCATGCTAGAAGATGCCCAGAATCAAATGTACATCCAGTGGACAGGCTCTGGCACGAGCTTCCTCATCATAAACCCGACAGAGTTTGGGAAGTGCATGCTCAACAAACACTTCAAACACGGAAACCTGAGCTCCTTTGTGCGGCAGCTGAACAAGTACGACTTCCACAAGATAAAGAGCTGCGAAAGCATCCTCAAGCAGTTTGGCCTGCAGGTCTGGGAGTTCAAGCACAGCTACTTCCAGAAGGGCCGCACAGACATGCTGAAGCACATCGTTAGAAAAAAGAGCAATGCAGACAAAAGATTTAAAACATCAAGAGAAATGAGCTCAGACAGCCTCGAAGCGTCGAACAGAATCCAGTCCCAGATCATTGGAACGCTGAAGATGCTGACTGTGCACTTCCAGGTTCTTGTCGAAGAGGTGAACGATCTGAAGAGAAATCTGAGCAGAAAAGACACACTATTTAAAGAAAACGTAAATGCTCTCGTAGCCGAAGACAACGTCACATGCAGCTCGTACGCAGGAGCAATTCTCCGAAAGATGGGGTGCTCTCCCGACATTGTGGAGCAGGAGAAAGAGATTCTCCAGAAGCTCTCGGAGACAAAGTACGACGTGGTCTTCCTGAGCGCACAGATCCCCAGCATACAGAAAATTCTAACGACCTTCAGACAGTACGATGAGGTAACGCCTGTAATCATCACAGTTGATGGGCTGGCGCAGGAGGAGTACATCTCTGTGCTCGGCACCGATGCAAACGATGTCCTTGTAAAGCCGTACCACCAGGATGCAATGGTGCAGCTTATGATCAAGTACTGCTACAACCCGAGAGCGAATGGAAACATCCATGTAAAGCATGCGCACGGCCTTTCTGCGTGGTAGATCCAACCACACCTATAAATACAAATATATCAAATTCAGTTATTTTTATTTTATCAAAGAGTTTGTAACTGTGTTTTTACTTCCACCAGCTGCTGTCATGCTTTAATGAAAAATACCACAGGAATTTAATCTATGCAGTGACAGATCATCACTCTGTCTAATACACTGCCTAATAGGCTAACCAAACAGCAATATGCCAGTTCGTTATAGCCCATGCTCTCACTGAACACTGTTGTGCGGGCAATTGAATTGTAAATGTATTTTATTTTTCATTATACCTCCTAATATTACTGTAAAAGTAAAAGTTTGTATTATAATCTAAATAGCAGCCCAGACAGCACAGGATTATTGCACTCCCTCGTCAGCCTGCTAGTATTATACATTGCACAAATAATACTGGCATAATAAGCCATCTAGTTGCCCCAGCACTAAATATTTGTTCCCATCTTGCCCCCTGCACAAACACAGCACTCAGAGCGCGCCCATACCTGCTCTTCCACGAAAATATCCTGCACAAATTAAAAGGGCCTGTAGACTAAACAATGACAACAAAAGTACTTTATTTTACACTACATTCAAAAATGAATGATAAAGAGTCTTTTAAGCAGCAGCTACTGCAGGGGCTTTGTTAAGCTTTATATTTGAAGCAAGGAACTGTTCTGGTTCTTCTTCTTCCTCATCATCGTCTTCCTCGTCTTCGTCGTCGTTGCCTTCTTCCTCCTCTTCTCCTTCCTCTTCTGGGGCTGCAGTGGTCTCGGTGGCTGCAACTATCACGATTTCTGGGTCGTAGATGTTGATCAGTCCGCTGCCGTTTGGAATGACAGCGTATGCCTTCAGCTCAGCCTTTGTTGCAGGGAAGGGGAAGACATTCAGCATGAATCTGGAGAAAGGCGTGTCAATTAGGCCACCCTGCTCCATTCTGCTGTACGATGGGTTTATCAAGGGCCCTGGGAGTATCTTCCAGATGAGGCCTGTTTGGTTTGTGTACACCTCGGATACGTTAGACTCTGAGGATGCATCGTCGAAGACAAGCTGGAATGATCTAATCTTCAGAGAGTCAGCGTTGGAGCTAGTTTGGAAGTCCATGCCTTCTAGTGCCTCTTCCTCCTCCAGGTTGATCTCAAACTTAGTCTCCAGATACGGCCCTGAGCCCATGGGCATTCCCATAAGGGCTGGGTGTGCAGAGAGGGTTCTCAGAGCAGTACCAATGCTCTTTCCTTTGGACTCAACTGCGTACTTGTCTACGATTTCTGTGTTGCTCACTGTTCTTCCAGTGAATGTCATGTTTCCGTACTGCACGGTCATGTTTCCTGCGGGGCCTGACTCAAGGACAATGGCCTGTGGGGCCAGAGAGAACTGTCCTCCGAACAGACTCTCCTGTATGTAGTTCACTGCAAGGACCTGCGATGCAATCATAGCAATAAGAGTGATGAATTTCATTAGAAAATTAAGGCATTCGTATATTTATACTTTTAATCCGGTTCTGGGTCGATCCATTTCTCTTATTGCATTATTTAATCAGCTTGAAAGGAGTAATATTGCGGGGTCATCGGGGGCCTAGACGAGGCCATTAATAAAAAATGATTAAAATATTCACTACACCCAGAAGAAGCTAAGAAAGCCTGGTGGGTGCAGCACAGTGCAGGGCTAGCACTGGGCCAAAGAAGAGCGAGAGTGCATGCAAATAACTGTCTTATCTGCTGTATTAACCGCTGAGGATTAACACACGAGAATTATTGCACATATATCGGTAAATATAAGCATGCAGATAAGACAGAGTGATTAATATGCAATGTACACTGGCAGTTAGTGATTGCACAAACAGCTGAAGATGCAGATTGTTTTTCTCTGCTCTTCTGGGCCTAGAATACTTCTGTGGGCGGATGGCAGCTTAAGCACGGTCTAATAACAAACAGAAACTATTTAACTTTGGTGATACTCTTATTTATACTCTTTATTAGTGATAGCTGTGTGGTAGATAGATCTTCAGCAGGGATATTGTCTGTTCTACAGTATGTCATTGTTTGGGTCAATGGCCACCTGTGCGTCGTGCATGGCTATAAGAACCTCTGTTGGCAGTTTGTTTGTTTTTTTGAAATACTCGATGGTCTTCTCGAGATCGTCTTGGTCTGTTGTTCTTTTTGTTTTTATATCCAGCATCTTGTACGCTATCTGCGACTCTGAGCCTGTGTCATCTATCTGGTTTAGGAGCTCGTATGCATCTTTTGTTTTCTCTAGTATTATCCCGCACAGGACTCCAAGAAATAGAAAGCTCGTTTTTTCTAGGACGTGGCTTATTTCTGACTTGTCATTTGAAAGCGTTTTGTACAGCTCCAGCGCCTTTTCGTAGTTTTTGAATCTTATCTCGGCAGCGGCACACTGCATGAGGATGTTTCTTCTGTTGATGTGCATTTTTGATCTTCCGTACACCTCCGCTGCCTTGTAGAAGTACCGCAGCGCTTCCTGCTCCTGGTTTACCTCCTGCAGCAGCCCTCCGATCTTTGCTGTAAGCGATGCAACAACTGAGCTGTCTTCCGAGTTTATTGATATCTCGTTCAGGGCCTTTTTATAGACAGATATCGCCATCTCTTTCTTATCATCTGCCAGGAAAGCCTCTGCGCTTTTTTCTAAATACGAGAATATTTCGTACTTGTTGCTTTCTTCTTTTGTTTCTATGAGAATGTTGGCGGATGCGGTGTAGAGCTCTGCTGCTTTTTCGTGGTTTCCATCCCTGGAGTATGCATGGGCTGCCTGCCCGTACAAAGTGGCTGCTTTGTCTGCATCGTATCTCATTATCATTTTAATCAGAAAATTGCTTCTCTTTCTTGTGTACTGGTCTGCTTCTCGTTCTAATTCTTCTGGTAATGCGTGCATATATTTACAAGAAAAATAAAACAAAAGATATAGCACAAGGAATTAGAATGTTTCAGATGTCTCCCAGCGATCTACGAGATTATCGGAAGGCAAGAAGATAGAGAGAATGTGCGCTTAAAATATACTATGATTGTGGTTTTATTCACTGTGCGAGATGCAAACGAACAAGTTTGCTAGATATTTCTATATTTTTATCTATTTAGATTACTTCACTAGATAGCGAGTAATTAACGGACTTTTCCTTTTTAAGCATCTGGAAGAGTGCACTTTTATTTGCCCTTCAGCCTATTCATTCAAGAGCAATGGATCTATTGCTAATTTATACTTGTTTATATCCAACTGACCACATAGTATCTTAAATAACTCTCAGACTATGGTAATATTACACTAATAGAGCAATTTACTATAAGATGGACTCAATGAATGAATGGGAAATTAATATGGTCCTTAAATAACCACTTCAGTATATCTGTATTGGTACAATTCTCTTTGTAGAGTAGTTATCTGAGTATTTTGATGGTAAGACGGTTTGTGTCTGATAATATGACAAAAATAGATTCGATTGATCAAAGAAATGGAGAGTTTTTCCTTATTGAGCTATCTACACATGGCATACCCTGTAACTCAAGAGAAAAACAAATACAGTGTATTATTTACACTATTCGCAAAAATAGTCTGATATCACCTCGTCTTCCAGATCTTCTAGGTCTACTTCAGAGTCAGAGTGCGATTTTCTAAACGCATTGGGTATTTTTACCTTAGCCCCTTTTATGTTTATGGTTCCTGTCATTTCTGAGCCTTTTTCTATCTTATACGTCTTTATTCTTCTCTTCACTCTTTTTCTTTCTTCTTCTGTTTTAACTCTTTTGCTGGGCTCTGTTGGAATAACCCACTCTTTTTCCATCTGTTTCTCTTCCACAGCATTCTTCATTATTCCCTGGTCCCTTGCCGTTTGCTCCAGCTCTCTAACCACTCTGCGCTCCAGAACAACCTGCAGTGTTTCTGTGTCTGCGGGGTTATTTTCAAAATACTTTAGAAGCTCTTCTTTTTTTATCAGCGGATTCATCTGTATGTATGTTCTCTCCAGGATCCCAGAGTTAAGCCCTTTCATAGACAGGAACTTTTCCAGCTTCTTGATGTCCTTTATGTCTTCTGCTGTTTTAATGTATGCCAGGTTGTTGTAGTCTGCAACTGCCAGCAGTCTGTGGATAGCAACGCTATCTGACTCCATAAGCACCTCCACCAAAACTCTATATGCAAGAATAAACACAGAAAAGTCAAACTTATTCTTCAGGTGCTCGTATGCCCTCTTTACCAGCCACTCTTTGCAGCCTGACAGACTTCTGCTCTCAAAATGCATGTGCCCCTCTATTAGGACAGAAAGAGAGCGCAGTAACTCTCTTGGACACTCTTCTACATCTTTATACTCATTAACAATCTCCAGTGCTCTTGTTTTTTGGTTGACTTTCAGAGACACAGCAATGTTCACCAAAATGTACTTAACTGTGTGGATTGAAAGGAATCCTTTTATGCCCACACACTCCAGCAGCTCGCTGTAGCACTTGTTTTGGTACAGTGCAGACGCTGCAATTTCTCTGCTCCATTTGCACATCGCCTTGGCCATCTTGCCCTTCCCGTAGCTCAGCCCACCTAGAGCCGCAAGATGGTGCACAAACATCTTCTTCTTCTCTTCTCTTTTTTTGAACATTTTCTCAGAGTTTTTCCATTTGCAATTATAGCCATTATTTATTTTAATTCTTTGTTTTACTTTTTGCAATGGGACAGCAGCAATCTTCACCAGGAGGGTCTTCACAGCCTCCAAAAGACCCGCAAGAGAAGAACTTGAATCTAAAGAAAAAGAAGAGACTTAGAGGCCCTGAAACGCTTTCCAAGTTACCCCAGGTACTCCCGCAAACCAAATGCATGCTCAGACAGTTGAAGCTAGAGAAAATAAGAAACTATCTTGTGCTGGAAGACGGCATACTCTCGTACCAGGCAGCCACGAACAAAGAAGGCGAAGGCACTTTTACTTCTGAAAGAGCCGCAGTCGACAAATTCAGAGGGTATCCCATGAACTTAGGAACTCTTGAAGAGTTCATTGATGAATCACACGCCATTGTCAGCACAAGCTCAGGCCAGGAGTACTATGTGCCCATTTACTCGTTCGTAGATAAGGACTCTCTTGAGCCAGGATGCACTGTCCTGTTAAACCACAGAGAAAGCGGGGTAGTAGGCGTGCTGGAAGGAGAAACTGATCCTCTGGTTAGTGTGATGAAGTTGGAGAAAGCCCCAGTGGAGACATACGCAGACATTGGAGGACTAGAAGTGCAGATACAGGAAATAAAAGAGGCCGTTGAGCTGCCGCTGACTAACCCCGAGCTGTATGATGAAATGGGAATAAAGCCGCCAAAGGGCGTAATTCTGTACGGGGAGCCGGGAACAGGGAAGACTTTGCTCGCTAAGGCAGTGGCTAACCAGACATCAGCGACCTTTTTGAGAATAGTTGGCTCAGAGCTGATACAGAAATATCTGGGAGAGGGTCCCAAGCTCGTTAGAGAGCTGTTCAAGGCAGCAGAGATGTACGCCCCTACGATAATATTCATTGATGAAATAGACGCGATCGGAGCGAAGAGATACGACACTAACTCCAACGGAGAGAAAGAGATAGAAAGAACTATGCTGGAGCTACTTAATCAGCTGGATGGATTTGACACGTCGTCTGATATTAAGGTGATCATGGCTACTAACAGGATAGAAAGCCTGGATCCTGCGTTGATCAGACCGGGCCGTATTGATAGAAAAATAGAGTTCCCTGTGCCTGATATCCAGACAAAGAGAAAGATATTTGGCATACACACAACGAGAATGACTCTTTCGAGTGATGTTGTGCTAGACGACATGATAGGCACGAATGAAGACCTAAGCGGGGCAGACATCAAAGCCATCTGCACGGAAGCAGGCATGCTGGCTCTGAGAGAGAGAAGGAAACAGGTTACCATGCAGGACTTTGCAAAGGCCAAGGAAAAGGTGCAGGCAACCAAGCTCGAAACCATTCCCACGTCGTTATACGCATAGTCTCTGCTCTTATCAATAAATCATGTCAATTAAAATTGCTGCAATTACATAGATATTCTAATTATTTGTGCTCTCTTTCCTGCTTACGTTTTATGTGCGATAACCTAAACTGTTTCTGTCTGCGATTTGCAAAATTAAAATTAATTTAATTTAAAAATAAAAAGGAATACACTTACAATCTCTACACTTTTGTTCTGAAAAGTAGCCCTGTGGAATAAAACAGGAAAAGCCAGGCAGAGTTTAGGAAAGTAGAAATAATATTCAAAACTTGAATATAATCACAGTCCGATTTAGGTTGTGCGCTATCCTTCATTGAGCAAGCATAAACATTCTAATTTTTTTTGCTGGATGCACTCGCATGAAAAAAGAATAGTAAAAGAAGTGCTTTCTTGGAAGCGAACCATACACATGGTGTACAACGGCGCGCGGGTAGGGGTTATTCTCAAGGAAATAATAAGAAAAACAGACGAGACCCTTGTGGTCATTGGTGCTCCAAGGAAGTACATCGAAGTAATCAGCAAATCACGAAAAAATAAAGGAGATAAAAGCAGCACAGAAAAGATAAAAGCGTGCAGAATAGACACAAAAACAAGCACAAAACAGCGCAAAGCCATCTACACAGGCAACGGGTGTGTCTTTGTGTCAGAGCACATATTCCTATCAGACATTCTGAAAGACAACACGCCCTCCAGCAAAATGAGGCTGCTGTATCTCCTGGGCAGTGGGGCTATGCATCCCTCCAAAACCATTATGGACTTTATTCTCTTTGCCCTGAAGGCATCTGTCAGCATTTTATTCTCGTGGAGCCCAGAGTATTCATTTCCCGAGCTGGTCAGCAAAGGATACTTCCCGTCTGCAGGAATATTCCTGTATCCTTCATTCAGAAAGTCAGTTGCGCAGTCCATGGGAGACTTTGAAATAAACGAAATAACCATTTCGGGAGGAAATGAGAGAGAGCTGATCCAGCACGAGATTCTGGAGGTTATTAAGAAGGTCGAAAACATCCTGGGAAAAAGCGCACTAGAGGGATACATCCAGTGCACAGCCAAGCTGCTGCAGATGTCTCTATCCATTCTATACAACGCATCAATAGACAAGTTTATAGAGTTTTTTGGTGAAATAACAGATGTAAATAACAATATGAAAGTGCTGGTAAAACAGCTGGGAGTGCCTGACTCTATGCACGCCAGGAACACAGTGTATAGTAGCGCCCTGGGCTGGATGGTGCTCTCGCAGATCGAAGAAATCAAACAGACAGCGCTCCACATAAAAGAAAAAGAGAAAATATCTCCGAAAGAAAACGTTCTCATGCGCGTGCTCCAGAAAGAGAAAGATAAAAACATAGCCATCATTGCGCATAAGCTGCCTAAAGAGCTATTTTCCAGCAGCCTTCCCGTGCAGTCGAGTAAGAAGATTATTTCGATAATCAGAAACCTTGTGAAAACAGAGTCACCGCATGTAGTATTTCTCAACTACTCAATTGATCTCCTGAGAAAGTTTAAGCTGTGCAGAGAAAGATGGAGGAAAAGGGGCATAGAGATAGAGCTTACCGTTATAACAATAAAGAACTCCGTTGAAGAGGTAAATCTATTTGAGAGCATGCACAGAGAAAAAGACCACTTTGTGTCAGCCATAGGGATAAAACAAAATAGGCCCAAAATGATAGATAGAAAAGTTTTCACCAAAACCCCAGACGACCCAAAGGCACCTGTTATACAAATAGATATGAGAGAGCTGCGGTCTAAGCTGCCCCTGCACCTAGCCCAGCACTTCACAAACACTTTTAGGCTTGAGTTTGAAATGCTGAAAATAGGCGACTATGTGCTTAACTCCACATATTACATTGAAAGAAAAAGAATAGACGACTTTGTCAGCTCGCTAGGCAGCGGGCGGCTGTTCAAACAGCTGCAGGCCCTTGAATTCTCGCACGGCTCTTCGTATCTTCTGATTGAATTTCCTGATACAAACAAGATAAGCTTTTTAAACTACACGAACAGAATGCACGAGATGGACCTCACTGTGAAAATAGTAAAGCTACTGTTGTCTATAAAGAGTATGTACATTTTCTACTCCTCCACTGAAAGACACTCTACTGCTCTGATAAATGCCCTGGCACGCAAGCCGCCACGAGAGATACAGAAGAAAACAAAAGCATATTCTCCATCAATCACTGAGTCTCTGCTGGCTATCCCTGGCATAGACCACAGGAACATAGAAATCATCCTAAACAACTTTGCTTCACTCTACGACCTCATAACATCAGAAGAAAGTAGGCTTATAGGCGTACTGGGAAACGAGCTAGGACAAAAAACATTTTCATTTTTCAATAGCATAGGATAAAGAATAAAAGTACACAATAGATTTTAATAGAAAAATTTAATACTATTTGCAAATAAAATATGTCTCTCTAGACAAGCAGTAAAAGTGTAACTTATTGTCTCATTTGTCCATACAACAAAAATAAATTATTTCAATTTTATTTTCAATTTTATTCTCTCATTTTCACTGTGGATACACCATCACTCACGGTCATTAATTCCCTGTTTGCTCTCTATTATCTGAGAATGTATTTATAACAGATTCACACAGTAGATCATAATCGATTATTATTATTATTATTAAATATCTAGCATAAATTACTATCTGTGAACTGAAACTGTCTCTAGTCTATTTCTGCTGTGTTAACAGTTGTTGTATCTGACACTTAATAGTATTACAATGTTCTACAGACTGCTATCATCTAATGCTAGCTCTGTTCATATTCTCCAGTTATATTCATAGAATGAATCTAAAAATGAATATTTCATAAAAGAAATACACCCATCAGAAACAGAGGGCTCTTGCAATGGAGTTGTCTTCTGCTGGGCTGAACACAGAAGCTAGCTCGCTCATGTACTGTGCCAGCCAATATTTAGCTTTTTTGTCTTTTATTTCTCCATGCTCAAGAATCCACAGGACCAGACACATCTTGGAAGGAGAGAACAGCGGCACAGGCACTTTGTCTACAACCGATAGAACGTTAATTATTGCCGTGCAGTGCAAAGTAACAGCGCCTTCAGGCTCTATCTCCACCAGCTCAAGTATGCTGCCCGCCTGTTTCTCAACTATTTTCTTCACTCCCAGCAAGTCTCCGTCCAGCAAAATATTGCAAAGAGTGCTCAATCCGTACAGGGAAATTGCTTTCTGTTTTTTTGATGTTTTTGCTGATGAGATCGTGGACATAAAATACTTTGCAGATTGCGACGTGAGTCTTTGCGAGGCAACAGAGGCCACGCCTTTGATGCTTGGGCTGCTGCTTGTTTTGCATGCTTTAATTACCCCCAGGTACACTTTGAACAGATTTACGTTCTCCAGGCTGTCGCTTGATAAGGTGTTTTGCACACTCGAGTAAAACATAGCCCCCAGCACAAAAAGTATTTCTTTTTCGTACGTCCCATTGTCTATTTGCTGCGACAGATTCTGCAGGTGCCATGCAGTCACCCACTCTACTCCTCTTAGATCACCGCACCCTTCGCACCAGTTCATCAGTGATTTGTGCACCACTTCGTACTCGTCTTGAAATGCAAATATTTTGTCGTACACCTTCGTTGTTATTTCTGGCTCTATTCTGAAATACTTCGGCATAAAGTAGGATGGGTCTCTTCTGTGCACAAGGACTGAGCTCATGCTAAAGACGGATTCTTCTACCAGAGTCCTGTATGGCATACTCTCAGATCTTTTGTTGTTTTTCTTATCTTTTTCATGGTTTACCATGCCAGACAGCAGACTAGAGTACATTTTCAGCAGGTAAGAGCTGCTCCAAACATTGATTAGAAGGAATATTCCCGCTTCCTCCATAGAAGTTAGCATGGTGTCTTTTTCGCTCTGTGTTAATTTACCAAACACAGCCGTGAATATTTCCAAGATAGTTGCTGTGTGCGGTGGAGGAGTGCTGCTTTCTCTTTGCATGTTCTCCTGTATATCTGCTCTAAGTATTTCCGAGACTCTGAACATAAATCTGACACTGCTCATCAGCTGTGCTGTCTCTCCTTTCTGCTCTAAACTGTCTAAGTTGAGCACAAGTAGCTGCATGGCTAGAACTTTTGAAGGTGGTAGAGGTCTGTTGTTCTCTATTATCTGCACCAGAATCTCTGGTACTATCGACACTTCCTGTTTCCTGCAGATGCTCAGCCTTTGGAAGAGGCTCTCCAAGTTTCCCTCCAAGTCAGCTACAATATTCTTGGCAAGACTGTATGAGTCTTCGGTCATTCGAAGTTTGAAAATATTTTGAATATTATAGAAACAATGAGCACAGAAAATAGCGCCCAACTCTACCCCCTCCTGCTCCCACTGATAAACAGACTGATTACAACCTCATCCATACTTTACACAGTTTATACAGTAGAATCCATTCCTTATCTGTTCTTGTCCATATCTTTTCATTTTTTCTTGGATTATTCTTTTTATTTTGTGCCACTATTAGCTATACTGCAAGTCCATATGAATAAATTTTATTCCTATCTTGCCATCTACTTCTTTTGTCTCTATCAGGAGTACTTCTGCCCTCAGCACTAGCTCTGCCACTGTTTTCCATCTACTCCCTCTAATTTCTAACTTGTGTCTTAGCTCGCAGTCAGACACTTGATCAGAGCATCTCACAGGCTGTAGGCTGCACAGATACGTTTAACTGCGCATAGATCGCTCGTTCTTATCTTTTTGTTTGCTCTCGTATCTACTGAGTGATTTATTGCCCGGACATTTTCCCGCCGGCGCCTTTTTAAAAGTATAAATAGAAGAACAATTTTTGAGAGCATGGCAGAGAATATTTATCCAAATGAAATAGAAACAACACGAAGAGCAGAGGCTGCAAAGACTGTGGCAGAAGCACCTATGCACGAGCCCTTGCTTGAGGAGTCGAACAATCGCTTTGTCATTTTCCCCATAGAGCACCACGACATCTGGGCTCTGTACAAAGACGCAATGGCTGTGTTCTGGACTGCAGAGGAGGTTGATTTGTCTGGAGACCAGGCAGACTGGGAGAAGCTCACTCCAAACGAAAGACACTTTATTTCATACGTATTGGCATTCTTTGCTGCATCCGATGGAATTGTCAATGAAAATTTAGTCGAAAGATTTGCCTCCGAAGTCCAAATAAGCGAGGCGCGGTGCTTCTACGGCTTCCAGATCATGATAGAAAACGTCCATGCGGAGATGTACAGTCTGCTGATCGACACATACATAAAAGACACAGCAGAAAAGAACTTCCTCTTCCAGGCAATGGAGAACATTCCCGTCATAAAGAAAAAAGCCGACTGGGCGCTCAGATGGATCTCAGACAAAGAGTCCAGCTTTGCAGACAGACTAGTGGCATTTGCGTGCGTTGAGGGAATCTTCTTCTCGGGCTCGTTTGCCTCCATCTTCTGGCTCAAGAAAAGAGGCCTTATGCCCGGGCTCACATTCTCCAACGAGCTTATAAGCAGAGACGAAGGGCTGCACTGCGACTTTGCGTGTCTCCTGCACTCGCACCTGAACAACAAGTGCAAGAACATCAAGAAAATAGTGGCAGAGGCTGTGGAAATAGAGAAAGAGTTCCTGACAGACGCTCTGCCCGTTTCTTTGATCGGAATAAACTCAGACTCCATGTGCCAGTACATCGAGTTTGTAGCGGACAGGCTGCTTCTGGCCCTGAACGAAGAAAAAATATACAACGCACAGAATCCGTTTGACTTTATGGAGCTGATATCTCTCAGAAGAAAAGCAAACTTCTTTGAAATGCGCGTTGGCGAGTACAAGAGAGCAGCAGTTGGTCCTCCACAGGCACAGGGCTTTGCCATGGACGACGACTTCTAAGTGTTAATGATAATAAATTTAATAAGATAGTATTCTCTGGCGGTGATTATTTTTTATTTTCCCAACTGCCAACTGCCATTGAAAACTTTTTCAGAGAGTTGCAGAGATAATCATGAATGCCACAATCATTGAAAGATAGATAGAAATATAAGAACTTCTATCTCTTTAGAGACTATCTGCACTGTCTTTTTTCGCTAGTTCGTCTCCAAATACGTAGTATATCCACTGAGCCACTCCATTACTCCATCCAAAGCCTTCCTGCACAGAGTACTCCCCTGTTCCTTTGTCTGTATACTCTATCTTCTCTGGAAGACTGCCGTGGCTGCTGTAGTGTGTGCTCATGCACTCCATATAGCTAACAGATACATCAAGAGCCTTTTTTATGTTCTTCGATCTGACCAAATATTCTATTGTTAGCTGCACCAAAGGAGGTCAGATATTATGCCCATCCCACTGGTCTTTTTTCTCATGCTCCTTCTGAAATAGATCAACCTCTGTTTTTGTGCTTGTGTCCTGTTGCAGCGGATTATTTTCTGCTGCTGTGCCGGCAATGTTGCTGCTTGTACACGGCAGAGTTATTCCATCGCGCGATAGCCACATCATATTTTTATGTGCTTCTAGTATTTTGTTTTCCGGATCGCTTGCTATGTCCATGTACAGCGGATGCAGATCACTGTGGTAGAATGCTTTATCTTTTTTCCTTGCAAAGGTGTAGAGCGCTTCTGAGCTGCTATTGCTCCCTTTTTCTTCTTTCTTCGATATTATCACATCTCTCCATCGTTTACTCTCTTTATCCCACAGGATGGCATCGATGGCTCTGGCTCTTTCGTCTGCCAAGTTCTTGTAGTGTTCTGCCTTGTCTTTATCTCCGGTATTCTCAAAGCATTTTGAGAGAATTCGAGCATTCTTCACTAGGATGCTATTTAGGTCTACGGGTATTATATTGTTCGTCTGCAGAAATCCGTACTTTTTTATTTTATCGTCAAACCTTCTCCATCTTTTTGAAAAGTCCCATCCTGACTCTGTGCTTGAAACTATGTGTCTGTAGTACTCACTGTCTTCTTCTTCTTTGTTGTAGAAAGTTATGTAGTTCTCATGGGCTTTTAGGTCTTCTAGCAGCATTTCTCCTCTCGGCTGTTTGGTTTCTGAGCTGTATCTAGAGAGTCTGTGCTTTGTTCCTTTCTGTGGCCCGTCTGTTACCTCGACTGTAACTGTTCTTTTTGTGTCCCAAAACTCGAACTCTTTCTCTGCTGACTCCAGCTCAGCCTTTTCCAGCTGTGCAGTTATTTCGTTTGCTGTCTCTGATACGTGTGATGCAGTCAGTGGCTGTTCTATTTCATCCTTTATTTTTTTATTTTCGCTTTCTTCGATGCTGTCTCTTTTGTACTTTTCCATCTGTTCTTTCACGCTTTCTTTTAGTCTCTGCATGGCCTCCATTGAGTCTACGAGAATCTGCATGAAGTATGGAGGCTGTGATCTGTTGGAATAGTACCACCTTGTGCCATTGGGGATGAATCCGAACGACTTATCTATCAGGTCTTGGAAGTTCTTTTTCATTCCTTCTATCTCTTCTGTTCGACCGCTTATGTGCAGACCCTTTGCCATCCAGTAGAAGTCCCAGTAATACGCCTCTTGGAACCGCCCTCCTGGAACAACTACTTTGTTGTTCTGTGTGATTGTACTCTGCAGAGTGCCATTATCCTCTGCTGTGATGTCTTTTATAAGCTTCTTCCATATACTTCTTATGCCTCTCTCCATTCTAGCATATTTACTTTCTCCACTATTTTCGTTCTCTTTGTCCTCTGAGGCGTCATCTGAGTATTTCTCGTGTGTTTCCTTTATGAAGTATTTATCATAGAACTGCACTACTCTTGTCTTCAGTGTTTCCTTACTGCTTGCATTATTTTTAATTTTCTTGTACTTTTCCACCAGCTCTTCCACGCTGATGTTTGATCGAGAGTCTACTATCGACTTTTGGTCTTTTTTCTCTGTGAACCACAGTAGATCCACAAACATCTCCCATATCTCTCTGGTGGTCTTCTGTTTGTACAGGTTAGGATACTCTTCCATGGCGTATGCCTTTGTGTACAGTCTTGTATCTCTCCTATCTTTATCTCTACTTTCTCTACTATCTCTATATAAACTGTCTTTCTTCTTTGAACTTAAACTATGCTCGAGTGTGTGCTCTACAGAAGTACTTTCTGCACTGCACAGAACACTGTCAAACACACTCCCAATCCATAAGATAGCAACAGTCCAGATACGCGCTTTATAGAGCATTATAATTTTTAAAACAAATGAAGTATAAATACGTGATCTCTGTTTTGTTTTATTTCATTAAATACTTCATAAGCTCTATTGTATTTACTTCCTAGTTACCCGGCCAGCCAAAGAGACCGCCAGATTGTAAATACTCATCAATATCAATAATTATTGACAGCCCATAAGAGTGTTGGCACATTCATTGATTCATACTCAACACTGCTATCTCTGCTAGACATTTACTCATTTTAATTGCATCTTTTTATTTTTAGCATTAGAATAACCATAGTAAAAAATCAATTATACCGCCCATTCATCTCTGAAAATAAGATGAGAGCAGTGCATAGATATACCCTATACAGCACTTATTACACTGTACTGATGCCTAAACTACATCTTATCTTGCAGAGTGCACAGGAAGAAATCCGAAAATAAAACACCAATTGTCATTTTGATCTTTATTTCAAAACCACTTTATTTTTTCTCTTTAGTTCCTTTAATGCAAAACTAGTTTCTTCTGGGCTGCAAACCTTCTTCCTATTAAGAACCCGCTGGTAAACAGAGACGCGCCAATGAAAACGAGCCCTAGAACGGGAAGTCCCTTCTGTTTCTGTTCTGGCTGCTCTGCAGCCTTTTTCTCTGAAATCTTTTTATCGATGCTTTGCACTAGATAGAGCAGCTCCTGTCTGTGGACTTCTTCTTCCATGGCGTGCTTCTTGCCTACAGTTATAACGGACTTAAGCGCATCTCGTAGCTCAAGAATGTGCGCGCTCTGGAAGTTCACTGATTTTTTTATGTAGAACACATTGTCTGCTACAGGCTTGCTTTGCGGCTCTCCAAGCACCACGCGTAAGTACTTTGTAAGATGCTCTATGCCTGATATTGTGTGCTGTATCTCCTCCTCTGGATGAGGCACCTCATGTGCTAGTCTGGGAACTATATCGTGCACCTCTGTGTGGTATGCATCTGCCATGTACTTCTCGCTTTCCTCTCTTTCGAATAGGGCGAGGTCTTTCAGCTTGAAGCTTGTCTCGTGTTTTGCGCTCACATAGTCAGTTGAGAGCCCAAAGTATTTCCCTGACAGTCTTGTTCCTATTTCTGTCATAGACGTGTACCTTACTCTGTCGTACAGAAGAGCCATGTCTTTATCGTATATTTCAATCTTAAAATTTTTAGCTGTTGAAATTATCTTAAGAGTCATGTCAGTGTGGTTTTTGAAGATGTTTGGGTCTGGAGAGTCCTTCAGCTCGCTGTCTTCTGGCTTTATTCCCGTGTAGTCCGCCTCTCCATGGTTCACAGATATGACTATGTCCACAGACTTGCCTACAAACTCCAGCCCTGCCATCACTCCGCTGAACTTTCCATTCGCGCCTTTGAATCCTCCATGTTTGATAGGGTCATCGGTGTACCAGAAGTACAGCCCTGCAAACTCCGGGTACTTCAGGGAGGGCATTTTGAACGCAATTTCAAAGCTCCACTCGTCATGGTCCACATTCTTTGTTTTGAGGTTTAGAATCGATCCTGAATTTCCATTTTTAAGTACCCAGTACTTCTCTTCTTTTATTCCGTTGTACAACCGCGCTGAGTCATTGGTCATGCTCACTAGGTCCAGCTTCTTCTCCGTGTAATCAGCTAGCACAGCGTGCATCAGGCTGAATATGATTCCCACACTTGTTTTGCGCATGGGAAACACAGACTCTCTTTATTTATAGACTGTATCGCAATAGCAAACAATCAGTTTCTATTTGTTTTTTATATATTTTTATTCATTTGGTCGCACATGCATCTTGTTCGCGTTCTAATAATAGCCCATACGCTGTTGTATTTAAAATTTGCGCACTGTTTTCCCCTAGGCCTAGACTCTCTCTGCTCCTGCGTCAATCCAACAGGAGTGTGCAACCTGCTGTGTGTGCGGCCTAACTACAACAATCCTGTGCTTATAAACAGGACTCCCGCCTTCAGAATGACACGCCCCAGGATAATGCCTCCATCACTAGCAGAAAAAAGAGTTATTTATCTGCCAAGGCCAGCAGTGAACATGGAGTACAACAGCGAGGAGAAGGAAGAGCCAACCTGCAGCACAGAAACAGAAACAGTCTACTCAACCCTCTATAAAACCAAAACAAGAAACACTCTTAGAGTTTTGACACAAACAGACACAATTACAAAAAAAGTACCGGTTACAGTTGAAAAAATAAAAAAAATAACAATCACGCCCTCCACCGTGGTAGTAACCGTGTCAAACACCAGCACCATCACGGTAACCAGCACAGAAATAAGAAAAGAAACACTTCCCCCTGTCATCAGGCCAATAACCCTCAAAAGTGTCCAGATACTGACAGCGCAGCCTCGCACAGAGACTGAGCAGGTCAGAGCACCTCCATCCATTTACGTAAAAACACAGACAGTCACAACTACTCTTCCGCCAAACTCTCCTGTAATAGTTACGTACACAACCACTGCCACCAGCACTGTAACTGCCACAGTTGCGCCCACTTTGTACAAAGACTACGTAAATATAAACCCGCTGCCAGATGATGCAGGTATACTTTTGGAGTTCCATGACTCGAACAATCACGTAAAAAGTGTCAACGTAATAATGCCCACTAGAAAAGTTGCATCAAACAGTGTGCCCACAAAACTATTCTCAGACTCTCCCAAAAAAGAAACTGAGCCGATAGTTATCACCAAACAGAAGAACATAAGAAAGAATGCTCCTACCACCACAAGCACCAGCTATCTTACCAAAAGCAAGCCCGTACTCTTTACCAAGTTAAAGTACTCAACACTCGTAAGCACAATCACACAGATAAAGTATCTGACAAAAACAAAAAACAAAATTGTTACACAGACAGCACCAGAGATGGTCACAAGAACAGTTGTAATTCCAAAGCCCACCACGGTGGTAGAAGTAACTACAATCCCGCTAGTAAAACACGTGAAGATAACACAAACATCCACAAAAACCGTGAAAAAGACAGTTCCCACCACAGTCTACGAAATGCAAACAGTGACACAGGTTATGCCCGCGGAAACACAGACAGTGCAAAGCAACAAAGTATTGACAGTTGTGAAAACAATAACAGAGCATGACACAAAGACCAAATACATCACAAAGCCATCCACAATAACAGAAGTGGCTCCTCGATACATAACACAAACTAAGACAGAAACAGAAACAAAAACAACAACAAAATATGTAAGAATAACCACAGAGTCAAAACCCATGCCAACAGCAGATAGATCGAAACAATACACAGATATCATCTCTGAGCTGAGAAACAAAGTAAACGAATATAGAGACATGCTAGAAAAATCAAACAAAGCAAATGACGAGTACCATTTAGAAGTGAATAACTTAAGATCTCTCCTCAAGAACCGCTAGTTCTTCGATGGCAATGTCTCACATTTTCTTCTATCTATTATTTGTACATGCTAGACAATAGCAGAATATGCAGATGCAATTAAATAAATAATTATATCATACGTTGTCTAAAGTGGCAATCTTTTATTTCTCCTAGCATAGAGCTATTAGCTGTTGTTTTTAACTTAGCGTGTTACATCCATCGTATTTATCTCTTAGGTCCTGTAGCTCAAGTTCTCCTTTGGGCATGTGAGTAATTAATTTTTAAATTATATTTATTTTTGCACTCTCTCGACTTGTACATTTTACAGCATCTGTAGAGTATATTTTATTTTAGCACTCATCGGCTACACTTTAGAAAATGAAAAAGCAAACTATTACAGCAAAAAATAAGAACAGAAAGATGGTAGATTAGCATAGGCTGAATAACAATGAAAAACAGAAAGTAAACAAGTACAGTGTATAATTTATAAGGAGTATTGATTTATTCAAAGAAGATACATAGGCTCTACACACTTGATTGATTTGCACGCCCCACTGCATGTGCTGTTGCTGCATATGCACACTGTCATGCACGACTTCTTCCTGTCTCTTCTCTTCTGCTTTTTGAAGTAGTCAAAGATGCCTTCTAAAAAGTTAAGGTCTATTTTTTCGTTGTGGAGGGCCTGCACGTCTTTCTGGGTGGCGCTGGCTATCTCTTCTATGAGCATCTTGGTGGATATGTAGTTCTGGTCCATCATTTCCTTTGGAATTCCCTTTTTCTGGTAGAATCCTATGTCAGACAGATACCCGCTCGTTAGTATTTCATTTTTTGATCCAACTGGCTCTCCCGTGAAATATCCACTAGAGTCCACAAGCACGCCATCCTGGCCCATGGTAAACTGTATCTTCCCCCAGTAGTCGGTGTACACGCCGTTTGAAACAGGATACGCCATAATGCCTGAAATGGGAGTTATTCCACCGATTGCTCCTTTTCTCTGGACAAGAGTGTCATAGTAGTTTGAAATAACACTGGCAGCTGCTATCCCGTCTTTAATGTCTGATGAGGACATAAATGAAGAATTGCTTGATGGCCCGCTCACAGAAACAGAGCCACTGGGACCAGAAGACGACCCAGCGTAAGAACTTGCACTAGCACTGGATGAGTTATTCACTGATCCACCAGACACACCACTCATCATACTGCTGCCTTCCATTGAACCACCAGATATACTGGGCATACTACTCATACTACCCATTGGACTAGCACTCATACTACCCATTGATGGGCTACTAGGCAATGCCATTCCATACTTATTGTTCATTCCGCTTGGAGAAATAATGTTATTTATTGGCTCCATTTTATTATTGTATCCTTTGGAATAATTAGAATCATATCCACTGTTCATGCTGTTCATGCTGTTCTTTTTCTGATGAATGGGATGGTTTTCATCTTTCACCCATTTTTCGCCTCCTAGGATACTTCTCTTCAATCCGCCGAGCTTAGATGCTGCATGCCCAAATATTCCCTTTACGTGGTGCGGGACATATCCCTCTTTGTACTTCTTGGGAACATCTCCCTGCTGCTTAGGGCTGTACGGCTGGGCTTGGCTCATCATGCTTGCACTAGCTGCAGAAACTGCTAAAAGTAAAATCTGAATGCTTTTCATGTGCTATCTATCTGCTCTTCCTTATATAGTTTAAATCTATAACAAAATCAACACACTTTTGTTTCCTGATTCTTTTTAGAGCGTAAGTAAAGAGACAATTGGACAACCACACGCATTTTCAGATTGTTTTAGACATTGCATGGATATGCTAAGTGTTTTAGACTGATCAATTTTGTTTTGTTTTATGCTGTCTCATGCAAACATAAGAATACTTCAAGCCATCCCAATGAATTCAGAATACGCACTCACAAGTGAAAATAATCATAGAACAGTCTGAAGAGGCATGGTCATTTAGAAATAAAAATGAAGCTGTTAGTGCATCTCTGCCTTTCTGTACTTCTTATCTTCTTTCTACAGTAGCATTTTTACATTCATTATAATGCCACAGGAGTCTAGTCAAAAATTAAATAATTTTCAGAGTTTAGTAAGTTTTAGTAAAGACGTAGAAAGTAGATCGGATTTACAGCAATTTTTATTGGTTAAAGGTGTTTAACATGCGCATATAAACGATCTAACTATTGCGGTGTAACTAATTGTTACTTTATGTGTGTGTTTTGAGTTTTCATCTATTAATTTCTGTTTCTGTTTCTATTTCTTAATTTCTTTGCAGCGTATCTCTGCAGCTTTTTTGAGGTCCCTGTGCTGGGCTGTTTCTGTTCTTTTCCTTCTTTTTTCATGCTTCTTTGTCTGCGCATTATTTCATCAGCTGATATCTCTGGTAAGTTAAATGCATCTATTGCTGCAGGCTCTGAGGCTTTTTTTCCTGATTTTTCTGCTAATTTATCTGCGGGCTGTTCTTCAGCCTTTTCTGCTTTTTCTTCTGGCTCTATGCAGCTTCTTCGCTCTCTTCTAGCTAATCTATGGACTATTTCTGATTCATTCTTATCTATTTCGTTCTTAGATACTTCTTCATTATTGACGAGATCCTTACTAAGATCAATAACTATTTCCTCAGAAACTACAGTACTAATAGGATTATCATTTGGTGCATCAACTTCTATCTCAGCTACTTCACTAACTGTCTTATCTTCAGCTGCTACTTCAGTATTGATTAGCTCAACCACATCAATAGCTACTACTTTGGTCTCAACTACTGCTTCAGACACTTCATTAGCTACAGCATCAGCTAACACTTCACTCTTAGCTAATACATCAGTATCAACTGGTGCTTCATCAGTGCCAATAGAAACATCATCATTATTGTTTACCTTGGCATCAACAATGACAGTCTTGGTAATAACTATTTCTTCTGTGTCGTCATCCAGTCTCCTTAGCTCAGATATAGTGTGTTCTCTTATTTGGTTTAGCACGGCTGCATACAGCATTATGCCTGCCCTATTTCTCATTACATTATCATCTTTTGGCATTGACTCCATCACACTCATGCACAGAGCATCATAGCACCACCCAAACTCAATCCAGTTGTTCATCCACAGTTTTATGTAGTCGTCAGCTTCTATTGCACTCATAAGCAGTGTGTGTGATCTTGTGCTGTTTATCTGCCTTGTAGCACTGTTGTTGTCCGCATTGACTGCCTTGTGGTAGTTTTGTTCTGCCATTTTCATGTGCTCCGACATTTCTATGTTGTTGCTTTTTATTGTAAACAGGAGAACAATGGGAGCAAAGACGTCCAGAGTTCTTGGATTGGCGTGTCTTATTGCTCGCCTTACGCTCTTCAGTAAAATGCAGATATCGCTTTTCCTTGGAACAAAAACTCGAACTGTTTCTTGCTGTATTTGGACTTGTGCTCCATTTGGATGTTTTTCCATTGTTTGTTGTTCTGAGCCTTCTGCTATTTCTGCTTCTATGCGAATTTCGTCTACACTTTCAGAATGAGTTGCATCTACTGCCTTGACTGCTGGTTCTTCTGGCTGGGCTGCATCCACTAGCTCTCCTGACTGCTCTGCAGCTCTAACTTGTTCGGTCTCTGCTGGCACTATATCTGATACTTCGGTAGTTTCATTGGCTTGTAGTGCTTCACTCTGCGATGCATTCACTGCGCTCACCTCTCCTAAGCTACTGATGTTCTGTGGAATGTTCTTTTCTTCCTTGGTGTTCTGTATTTTGAAAGATTCTGGCTCATCAGATGCACATTCTGCTGATTTTTTAGTGGGCTTTCTTTTTTTCACTATTTTTTTGACTGTCTTTGAGGTCTTCCTGGCTACATACCTCACACTCTTTTTTATTCCTGTGTATGTTTTTTTGGGGATGTTTACGATGTACCTGATTGATCCCATTGTTATTGTCTTCAAAAATGATCGATCAAAGTGATGGGTCTCTTCCTGATGTCGGGATATGTCTTGCATGGCGTAAACACTGCCAATTTGTATTTATGCTCTCGTTTCGCACAGATCCACAATAAATAAACAGACTCTCTTCCATGGCAACTTCTGTTGCTAGCCTGCAGAATAAAACAAAAGTAGCAAAACGTTGCACAAAATCAGTGAATAAAGTGCTAAATCAGTAAATAAGTAGAACAGGGTGTAGAAACACTCTTATCTAATGCCACAAAAGAATACTTGATCTTTTATTAAAGTGTAAACTCTTTATAACAGAGAATATCAGACCGATTAAACTAAATGAATCGTGTTGTCAATGCTCAAATGAGAAACAGATTTAGCCATAGCAAAACCAATAACCAAGACAAAATAGAGCACAAACCAGTGCACTAACCCCTACATTGGAAATGCATCTGAATGTGATTCTATTATCTACTCTGTTTACTAAAGATGTGTACGACTATAATGACTAGCTGTACTATCCATACCGGCAGTGATCAGTCTTTTAGTCCCAAACACTTTTTAATGTTTCCTCTGGCTCTTTCTGCCTTTATCACATCCAGGCCTCCCACGAGCTCGCCTTCAACATAGAGCTGCGGGTACGTTGGCCAGTCTCCATACTCTTTTATTCCTTCTCTCACTGCAGGCGACTCCAGTATGTTTATGCTTGTGTAGTTTTCGTCTGTAAGCCCCTCCTCCTTCAGAAGAGATACGAACTCTCGCGTGAACTTGCACTCTGGCTTAGCAGGCGTGCCCTTAATAAATATAACTCTTTTATTTTTTTTTATTGTTTCAATTGCGGTTTCCAGCTCTTTTTTGCTGAACTCTGCCTCTCTCTTCTTCACTGCCTCCATATCGGAGATAGAATACACATCCCCGTACGCCAGAATGCACGGAAACTCTTCTATTTTGTATATCTTAGCCAGGGTCTCTGCCAGCTCATCTCTGTTGCTCAGGTCTAGCTCACTGAATGTGTCCATTTCGTCGGTTATCACAGCATCTCCCTTGTGCAGGATTATAATGTGTTTATCAGCTATATTTTCCAATGGGTTCTTGTTCATAAAAGTTTTCTGTTTTCTAAAATTATTTTTAGCTATGGACGGACATGTGACCCGTACGATTCTCATTACTAATTTTTCGAAAAACATTTCGCACAGCGACCTACTGCGGACTTGCAAGACATACGGAGAGGTAAAAGAGCACTTTATAATGAACAACAAACACTCCGTCTTTTTCGTATGTTTCTACGACCTGCGGTCAGCACAAAAGGCATACAGCTCATTGGTAGATGATAAAAATAAATTCACAGTGAAGTACGCAATATCGCTCAAAGAGATCCCAAAGGGCAGCGACAGCTGCTCAGAGGATAAGAACCAAGGGTCTGTCACGTACACGGCCTCAGAAGAGATAAAAGCAGAAAATGAGAACGAAGTTTCTGATGTCGTAAAAAAAGGGAAAGAAATAACGGCTAAGTTCTACGACTCACGCGAGGCACTGAAGTACTTGGAGGCAATAAAGGCATCCCATCCCAGAGCATCCCCAAAAATAGTCTGGGACAACGATCTGAGAAAAAGAATCACTCTCCTGAAAGCAGCTGAAGAAATAGTAAAGAACGCCCCACAAGGATTCTTCAAGGGAATAGTAGACGACGAAAAGCCGCAGAAAAGACACATCAATCCTGTGGTAGATACAGAGGCAAAAAAGAAGGTGAAAATATCCACTAACTGGATGATTGCTGAGTTTGACAAATTTATAATGGACAACGCTGATGAAATAGCAGCAGAACTGAACTAATTTGGAGAGCCTCCAAAGCTATCCACGCTCTAGAAGATAAACGGCTTATTATACTGCTCAACTGTAAATAAATGCACCAATGGATATACTTCTATTCTATTCTGCCTCCTTGTAACTGCATCTTGTCAACCTCTTGCAGTGTTCTGTAATCACACATTTTCAATTTCTTATATATAAATGTTTCGATTAAATTTTAAACTATACAGCAAAGAAAGTGTTAGTGTTTCTGTTTCTTATAATAATTTTAGTTTTACCTAAAATTTTATTTTACTTGGTGACGGTGTCTCTTTATTGTCCTAGCAGATGAAAAACTTGTAATTGTTCGATCATTAGTGCAGTGATAAGAAGGATAATGGTCTACTCTGTACTTCTCTATTATTACATCTCATCATTTACTTGGCTTTTCTGAGAGATAAAAGAAGTGAACAGGTGGTTAAATCTAGAGATACAATGATGCTATCTAAACAGACAAGACAAACTGCCGCTGAAAGACCATTACCACCAACAACATATCTCAATACACAGCTAAAATGTCAGAATATCCTTTATTTATTTATTCGTCTGGGCCCATAATAATCGCATGACTTTTGTTTAGCTTTCTGAGGGCATTTGCTATCTTATCATACTCAGTGCCTCCACACCAGTGCAAGCAAGCCTATTCCTATCTCCACACAGATCAGAAGAATAATAATCTTCTCCAGTCTTTCTCCGCTGATCGTATTTATGTGCGTGGAAAGTAGGCTCAGTATTTCATGAATTACATCGCACTTTTGGTTTACAATGTCTGTTCTGCTCTTTAGCTCCAGGTAGAGCTTGAAGCTTTCATAGAGTGAGGTGTAGTTCGGATAGTACCACAGTATTTCCGGAGTGTCAAGAATGTTCGTGGACAAGTTCAGATTGAACTTCAGTCTGTGCAATATTCCTATCATTTTAACGACTTCCTCTCTCTTTCTCGTGGTAAATCCTTTTGCAACTATCTCATCAGGCAGGCCCCTGATGCTTTCAATCGTTCTCTCTGCGTGTCCTTCGAATACGTCCAACTTTGTGCTTTGTGCGAGCGCATTGGATATGATCATTTTGTTGTACAATGACTCAGTGTCTAGATAGATCACATCATTGACAATCGATGCTCCTTCTTTGACTATTCCGTATCTGAAGTCTTCTCTCTCTACTATCTCCTTTGGATAGCTTTTCTCTTCGAAGAACTGCTGCTGTGCCAGTATCCTGTCTCGTGTCTCCTCGCTCACGCCCCAGAACACAACCACCCCGTATCTGAATATGAATATGTCGCCCTGTCTCTTCTCGTGCACGATAATGTGTATGCAGTCTCTGAAGTAGATGTTTATGTCGTTGTAGGTCCCTCTTTCTTTGAAGAATCCAAATAATTTCGTAATATTAATTTTCTCAGAAGTGCACAGGACGAGGATGTCTCGCAGCTCTATGGATTTATCAATGTCATTTGGGAGCTTTTCTTCCAGCTGTATCGTTTTCAGCTCCAGAGCCTCCTTTGACACTCTTCTGTTTTCTATTCTGGACTTTTTATTGTCCGTTGGTTCTGCAAAACTTCTTGCCTCTGTTTTCATTGTTTTTTTATTAATTGAAACTAAAACCACATTATAAACTATTATTGGTCCAGAATGTCGCAAAAAAAGAGACAATTGGTTTATTTGAAATTATTTATTTGTCTAGGAGAGCGCAAGCACTGGCAGTCTATACGACCAAAGATACAGGACAAAACAGAAGAATAGACTAAACAATGAGCATCATAGATGATCACTAATTGTACTTCTAAATCACATTCCCAAATTACAGTCATCACAAGTAGCAGAGTAAGTCTAGAACAGATCGTAGCACTTAGTTAAGTATACGTACAGCTATAGCAGAGCATAGACCAATCATAGCTGGTATCTTAAGCCGGCTTATACTTGAATGGTTGCATACCACTTCAATGATTGATGATTAGAATAAGTTTCTGATTGGTTTGGTGTGAACTATGCGTAAGTTGACATAAACTAGATCTTCTGCAGTATTGTACAATGTTTATTTATATAGCCATTGAATGAAAGATAATTACAAGCTGCAGATGGTGGAACAAAAGAGAGTAGCAGTTGTGCTCTCTGATCTTTCAGTAAGATACATGAGTTTATTGATTGTTTTTATCAGAGGCAGTGAGCATGGAAAATAATACTAGTTGCTTAGCTAGTGGCATATATCTATGAATCTATTGATGAACCGAAACTTGTGCTTTCTTTCTTTTTTGTATGCTACACTGTTAAATTTGTCTCTTATGTAGTACGCAGATGGACCAAAGTTGGTAAATTTAAACGTAAATATCTTCTGCTTCAATAGGACATACGGCATTACGTGCAATTTAGCTCTTTTTCTTTCTTCTTTTCTGTGCTGTTTAATGTATGCTTCAATGTCAAAGTCAGATGGAAGAGGCATCTTAAACATCACTCCTATCTCTCTCAGCGTGCTATTTATCACTCTTTTGAAGTGTTCTAGTAGCATTCGATCTTTTTCATCCCATTTTCTGAAAAAGTAGTACAGTCTCTCTCTGTAGACAAATGTTCTGACTACTCCATGCTTTTTTACCTTGTCCTCCAGCAGACTCGGAGATTCAAAGTATGCATCTACCTTCTTTGAGTCGCTTCTGTAGTTTGGGAACACAAAGTTGTACGCGTCCATGCGCAGCGACTCTACAAAATTGTTTATGATCTCCAAGATGGTGTCTTGAAAAACCCTGTATCTCTTCAGAATCCAGAGACAGTTTTGCTTTTCTTCTGAATAAGTAGAGTAAAACGAAAAAATGTACTTGATTAGACACTTTTCCACGTCGTCCAGCAAAGAGATTCTAGCAACTTCCTGGATATACGACACTCCGTCTTCTGATTCTTTCGTGAAAAGGTCTGCAGGCGTGTTTAGTATCTCATCCGGCCTTACAATGGGAAGATGCACCATGCTTATCTCAAGCAAAAGAAGCTTTATCTTTGTCTGATAGACATATATGCACATTATCTCATCGTACTCTTTTTTGCACAGATTGTAGCTTTCCTCAGACGACCCAGAGTGCATGAAGAATTTGTGCCAGAGCGTCATGTGGCACTTCAGCTCCTTCGATACTACAAGGTGTATGACCTCACATACTAAACGAAGAGCTCTCTTCTGCTTCTGCAGCTCTAAAGAGGATGGATCAAACGCAAATATCTTTTCGATCAGCAGTTTTCCCTGCACCAGGTTATCAAACGCCATTAAAAAATCAAAACAGTTGACTTTCTTTATGCACGCCTTCTCAGTGTCCAGAATAGACATGATGTTTGTCTTCTGGTCTTTTGGAAATAAAGAGGAGATAGCATTCAGCAGAGAAACAAACCAAACGTTACTGTTCTTATGAGATTCGTAGTTTTCTCTGTACTCTATCCAGGCCTCCCTGCATATTTTCTTCATTTTCAGCGAAACTTTGAAATCCTCTGTTTTTTCTATGTAAACGTACTCTTGTATTTCTTTTATAAAATTATCAATCATCCTACAGCTCTTTCTGATTTTCTGTAAATTTTTTGTCGCACAAAAAACAAACTTAATTAATTCTCAGAGTGCAATTCCACTCATACCAGAGACTAATCACACTCCAACAATACACTTTTACTGTCAGAAAGAACTAGCTGTCATCATGATCAACTTAGATAATTTCAACACTTTCTACCACTCGCTACAAATTGAGAGTATAACTAGCTGTCTATGCATTCATTTTTCTGCAGTATGACAATACATATGAGCTGCAAAGATAGAAAAGCAACCATGTAGCAGTCTAAGCTATACTAGAGAATACTTTGCGAATATTGTGCAAGACTTGTGCCCATTTGATCAGAGTCATTCACGGCTATTTTTCAAATACAGTAGAGGAAATAAACAGTAGTCATAATTAATTTATTAGTAGCTGTTGCTTGCTATGGATTTCTTCTGGTTAATTTTGATGTACTTTCTCAAATGTCTCATTCTTCCGGTTCCCTGGGTCTTTCTGCTCACAGCCTTTGGTGATCCTGGGTTTCTCCATCTTCTCTCTGGGTATGCACAGCTAGAGCACTTGTTCTTCTGCTTGTGGTATGACTCGTTGCCGCATCTAAGACACTGAATGTGATTTCTCTTATTTCTCTTACCAAAACTTGTTGTTCCCTTTGTCATTCTATACTAACTACAGGGAAGTAAAAAAATAAAATGAAAACCGAAAAAACCAAAGAGAGAAAACAGCTGTTTTCAGAAGATAGCAGGCAAAGTACCCCGATCCACAGCAAAACAAACTAGCTATCTAACCAGCTGGAGCAATGCAAGCCAGATATTGACTAATAAAAAGACAGCCAACCAGAAGAGATCTGCTAACCAACTGAATAAATAACTGAATGACCAACTAAGCGAACAGTTGAATGAATAGCTGTAAACACTCCACTTTTCAATTGGATGGCTAAGTGGCTAGATGATTAGCTGCAGCTTAGTGCAAGATGTAGACAACAGAAGACTAGACAGCTCTCTGCTGGACACATATTTTTGCAAAATGAAAGCACGACCGGTAGAATATAATTAATTTTTTTTGTAGCTCCTCCCAGAATGACAAGAGAAGAAAATAGCAGATATAAATACTTAGAAAGCAGATCAAAAGCAGGAGAGCTACTGTACCCATACGACTTCAAAGAGACAATGTCCATCAAGGAAGTACTGAGCTTTGTGGAGAACAACAAAATAGTTCCAGAAACACCGCTCAACGAAGGAGTCCTGAAGGATTTGGTAGTAAAAACGGCTGGAAGAGTGCTGGCTATCCGGTCCATTGGAAAAATAACTTTCATAAAAATAGAATCGGCAGGGCTTTCTTTGCAAATAATTTTTAAATCAAAATCAAAGGAAATATTCAGAGGAGACATAATTGGCGTAGAGGGCACAATAGGATTCAGCATGAAGGGAGAGCTGAGCATTGTGTCTACATGCGTGCGAGTGCTCGCTCCGTGTCTGCACATCTACCCAACAGAGCACTACGGCCTGAAAGAAACAGAGCTGCGATACAGACAGAGATATCTGGATCTGGTGCTAAACAAAACAAGCTTGAACAGATTTGTTACTCGGTCAAAGGTCATTAGCTTTGTAAAGAGATATCTGGACAGCAAAGACTTCATGGAGGTGGAGACCCCCATGATGCACATCATCCCAGGAGGAGCAGCAGCCAAGCCCTTTAAAACAGTGCTGAATGAGATGGACATGGAGCTGAGTCTGAGAATATCCCCAGAGCTGCACCTCAAGACTCTTTTGATCGGAGGCATACCAAGAGTGTACGAAATGGGAAGACAGTTCAGAAACGAAGGGATAGATGCCACACACAACCCAGAGTTTACAACGTGCGAGTTCTACATGTCCTATGCCGACTACAATGACGTCCTGGAAATAACAGAAGACATGATCAGCAGCATGGTTCAGGAAATATTTGGCACAAAACTCATCGAGTACCGAGTGGAGGGAAATGATGGAACAGTTAAGGACGTGAGCATAGACTTCAATACACCGTTCAAGAAAATAGACATACTGAGCGAGCTGTCAAAGAAGGTGAACATAGAAATAACAGGAGAAATGCTGGAAACAGATGCGGGCAGAGACCTACTGGACAAACTCTGCAAAGAAAACAACATCAGGTGCAACAACCCAAGAACAACCACGAGACTGCTGGATAAGCTGGTAGGAGAGTATTTAGAGAGCGACTGCAACAACCCCACCTTCCTCATGAACCATCCTAAGATTATGTCGCCTCTGGCTAAAGAGCACAGAACACAGAAGAACATAACGGAAAGATTCGAGCTGTTCATCCTTGGGAAGGAAGTGTGCAATGCATACACAGAGCTAAATGACCCATTCGACCAGAGGAGAAGATTTGAACAGCAGGCAAAGGACAAGACAGCAGGAGACGACGAAGCACAGGAAATTGACGAAGATTTCTGCACTGCGATGGAGTACGCTCTGCCGCCTGCAGGAGGATGGGGCCTGGGAATAGACAGACTGGTGATGATGCTGACAGGAGCACAGAATATCAGAGACGTTCTCTTCTTCCCTACCATGAGACCTAAGAAAACAACCGAATAAATTGCAATTATCCTACCGACTAAAAGATTAAAATAATTGCTAAAGTTAAAATAAAAACGGAATTATTACAAATGTAACTCATGCAGCGATGAAAGACACTTTATGCAACACATTATTGATCGTTTGTAGCTATACTTCATTTATTTATAGAACAATCCATCTAAGAGTGTTATTGTGGCAGTACTTTTTATTAGCTAGTCAGCGAACAGTAAGAGTATTCAGCAGAAATTTTTACTTATTCATGCCTAACAAGGAAAAAGACGATCTATTCTTATTCTACTAATGGCAGAAATGTGAATACAGAATATCACTCTTTGCAAAACATAGAAAATGCTTTGAGCCATTTTACTTGGATTTTCATTTGAACAAATAGTGTACAGTATGCGAACAAGTGCGGATGAACATCCAAATGAAAAACAGTATGGTTTTATTTCTGGTTGATTTTCGCATAAATTACTATGCTATACCGCTGAATTGAACCTTTACATTCAACTCACTCACTACTATTTTGATTAGATAACACAAAGTTAGATTATATTTCAGGAAAATCATCTGCTAGGGAGTCAAAGAACACAGCGCTGTCTATCTCTGTGCAGTGTTTCTGGTTTTTGTGGTGCTCGCTTACCTTTGATATGGCCTTTGTAATGGCTTGTTTGCTTTTCTCGGCTAGTTTGACACGGCACGGAACTCTGTACGATATTCCATCTCGCAGGCCACTCTCATGCTCTGATGATCTTTCGTCTTTTAGTGGCGGGTGCTCTAGCAGGTGTATTCGAGGGCCTTTCAGCTCTGACAGCCCCTCCACCAGCCATCTAAACTCGATTGTCTCTGGGTAGTTCAGGGATGCAACTAAATCCAGAAACTGCAAGGCTGCGTATGCAACGGATATTTCATCGTTCGTGTTCAGGCCACTTGACAGCGCGCTTATTGCCTCACTGATGGTGATCGGCCACATGTTGATCAGCGTGTTGACAGGCATTTTAATGCAGAGAGCTCGGCACAGTGCGTATGCCTCGCTTAGTAGACATACGGAGGTATTTGATGAGCTTGAAAATATCTCCGAGATAAGACTGAATATACCGGGCGCATTCTGCACATACTCTGCAAATGGCGCACAGAGTATCATGTACCTAAGTCTCTTGATCAGCGAGGCCTTTAGTAGAATGTCCGACTCTCTAACGAAGAATCCTGCAGTGGTATTGGCTCTGGATATCAGATCAAGAATCCTGTCAGAGTCAACCAAAAATGAGCCTATCTCTATCTTGTATCTGATGTTCTGTGCATTGTCTTTGAAGAATCTGTCGCTCAGCAAGTATTCGTAGAAGTCTTTCTTCCATTGCCTATTGTTCTCTGGCATCTGCACGAGCTCTTTTGCTGTTTCCAACGCGTTTTTGTACAACGCATGGTCGGGCGGCAGCTTAAAGCACGGAAAGACAAGAGAACTCCACACGGATGATAGGTCCAGCAGATAGTTCTTTTTTATCGCGGATGATATGATGGATTTGACTATTCTCAGCAGCTCAGAGAGCTCCTGGCATTTTTCATTTATTTCTGCTATGTCCAAAATCTTTTTTGTTCCCAGCCTGAATCCAAATATAACACATGCATCAAGAGCTTTTACGCTCAGGTCTATCCCCTCCTGGGAGAACACCTTTTTAAAGAACACAGTGAAGAACCAAAGCAGGTCTGTGTCTTTTGGCTTTGTTTTTGCCTGCACAATAATCATTGAAATGGCTCCGAATATATGCGCTGATTCAAAGACAGATCGGTTGGGAGAGACCTCAATCCATCTTTTGAGCATTTTGTACTTGTCTTGCGAGAGGGTAGAGGTCACTCTCACGACCGATGCGAACACTTCTGATTCTATTTTACCGTCAATTGCGTTTATGAATGAAATATTACTGCATTCGGAGTATTTGCCTATCAGCCCCTCTGATAGCAGCTGAGTGAACAGTTTCTGAATACTTGTGAAGTACTTCCTGAGGGTTTTCAGGTTCTGGCTGTCTTTCTGCAGCATCCCCACTGCTCGGTTGGCTTTTTTATTTGTTTGCTCATTTATATGTGTGAATAAGTCTAGCAGATAGCTTATCAAAAGTGTAACTGCCCCTTCGTTCTCCACTTTCATGTTCTCCAGACCGCATGAGCATTTATTGTCCTGTTTTTGCCTCCAATGCGAGCCATCTGCCTCTCTGCTTTTATCCAGCACATTGAATAACTTTGCTGGCTGTCCTGCTGCTATTTTCTGTTCATCCATGTGCCCATGGCCTCTTTTGCATATACTTCTGTATCCTTTCAGGTTGAAAGAGTGCTGCAGGATGTACTCCAGCTGGTGCATTTCATTCTGTTCATCTTCTGCCACCAGATCGCAAATGGCTTTCACTAAAATCAAAAGCAAATTGATTTGGTTTTTAGATATGCAATATTTTATCAGCGGATATCTTATCTCCTCAGTCTCCCTGTATATCTCGCTGATGCAGTCGTAGTACGCATCTAGCCCTGCCATTGCTGCGATGGTCATCGTGCTGGTGATGGCCTGCTCTGTTTTTGATCTCTGCAGCAGTTTGCACACAAAGTCCTCCCTGAATGTAATGGGCTGTCTGAGGAAGTTCACAAAACAGAAAAAATACTTCAATATTTTTACAGACATTTCCTCTATTTCCTGGATGTACTTCTGCTCCTTTCCACGAACCTCTGCATGCTCACTTGTTGCATACATCAGAACAAGAAAGAAAACCCCCATGCCAGGCCGAGACGCTTCTGAAACTCCAACAAACTGCTCGGATAAGTCTGTGACATTGAACACATCACTTTCTTCTGGGAAGGTTTCTTCATTTTTCAGGTAGTACTGGAAACTGTCGGAGTACTTGACCATGCTAGCCAATATCTGCAGCCCAAATAGAATTCTGTGGTAATCGCACTCCAGTAGAATAACTTTTTCTTTAATTTCTCTTTCTATTGGGTTGTTCAGATGCGCGTATATGTTGGTAAGTATGCCAGCATGTGCTCTTATGCGTCTGCAGAAAGACTGTGCCTTCTGTCTAACCATGTAACTGTGTGACTCGCAGAACGAGATCAGAAAACAGATGAAGTTGCTATCTAGTTTTGCATTTTCACAATTTTCAACCAAATAGAATGCCAGTCTCAGCTCTTCTGCTTCTTCTAAAACATGCCTTACTGTGCTGTCATTGTACACAATGCGATTTATCAGTATTTTCTGCAGATTGCCCGCTGTCCATGAGTCGTACAGCCAGAACACCTCGGGACACACCACTGCACTGTCGTATAAAGCAGCGCACTCTTCATGGGACATTTTATACTCTACAGTTATTCTTCGCAGCGACTTAATGATCATGTAGTGAACAGCTTTACTGTGTGCAATTTGCTCCCAGTACTTCATGAATGTTGCCATGATCACTTCAACTGATTTTTTGTACATTTCCAAGGATTCTTCGCTTATATTAATCGACAAGAAAAAGTCAATTAGCAGGAGTGCATCGTCAGATGGCGCGCTAATCTTCTTTTCAACTGCCTCCCATATCGATCTATACGCATCGGGTGAAGGGCTTAGGAGCTCTGCCCAATGGTACGGATATATTTCTGCTTCGATGCACTTGGCTGCAATCAGAGGCAGCTCGTGCGCTTGGCTGTGCTCATCTAGCAGAGAGTGCGATATGGCCTTGTCTATGAGCCCAGTGTCCAATAGATCTTCTGAAAATACCTCCCACACAATTCTTTTATCGAGGACTTTGAAGAACGCTGTTATATCCGCGCTGTTCCTTGTGTCTATTATCGAGATTGTCCAAACCAAAGACCTTTTTAAGATGGCGGATGCTTCTTCTATGTTCTGCCGGATGGCCATCAGTATTTTAAAGTACGCAGATGGCGAGCCGTGGAATATCCTGCACAGCGCTGTGTATATTTCATCCACTCCTGTTTCTTTTTTCATCATCTCTGTAATCCACATCTGTATTCTTTTTACTAACGATATTTCCTTAACTAGAAATAGGTTTAAAATTGCCACTGCTACATCTATCTCGTTGTTCTTTAGATCTAGCCCTTCTACTTTGTACGAATAGAAAAGATCAAAGCTCTTTCGTATGGTGACTATCTCTTTTGCCTTCAGGGCCGACACAAATCCTCGGCTCAGGAGACACTCTTCGCCCTCCATTGCCCTGCAGCCTCCCTCTGCCTTCAGAATGTACACAAGGCACCCGGGCACGAGGTCAGTGCACTGCCCCATTACTTCCCAGACATTCTTCAGAATCACGCCCCTGCCCAGCCGCAGCTCAAGAATGTTCAGTATCTGCTGTGTCATGATGTACTGCTCGCTGTTCTCCTCCTCGAGGCCCATTATTATCCCAAAGATAAGCTTTTTGCATATTTTTATTGTTTTGTCGCCGAGGGTTTCTATTATCTTCTTGACCACCTCCATGTAGTTCGGAATGCTTGTCAGGTTGGAGTGCGAATAGAACGTAAAGAGGCCCAGCGACAAAACGTCGATTTCATTTAAAAGATTTTCACTTGATATTTTTGATATGACAATTTTGTACACCCCAAGAGCCTTCATGTGCACGCCCGCAGGGAGCGCTGGGTTTAGACATTGGTTCAGTCTTTTGTAGAGAAGGTACGGCTTTGGTATTCGCGAGTACTTGTTTATTTTCAATATTCCCTCGAGCCCCGTAAGATATGCCACTAAATCAGACCACTCGCCTGCTGTTCTGAATAGCTCCAGCTGTTTTTCCAGTGCGATTTCAAACTTCTTCTCGCTCATCTAAGAATTATTTCTATTTACAAATAGAAAATTTATATAAGTATACACGAATTAAAAATATTCAAAAATAACCAATGAGCTCATCTATATAAGAGCAATGAGTCAACAGAAAATAAATGATAAAAGACATAATTATCAACTTGCACAGAGAGAATCTCCCGTACACGCCCGTGCTCTTTAACAACATAAAAAGATCTCTGCAGCTTCTGAGGAGGCTGCTGCACCGATATCCGCAGGGCAGCATATTTACAAGCAGTGTAATAAGAAAGATGATGAGCAGCCAAAAGAGAGCCACATCAGAGGAGGTCACCGACTGGCTGGACTTTCTATCGCAGAAATATCTGTTCGAGGTAAGAGAGAAGTACGGGAGCAATACAAAGAGACAGTACCGAACGAGCGGATATGCCATGAAAGTAAAGAGTGGGCTCCTATGAGAATAAGAAAAAATAAACACTTCACTGCAAATCATTTATGTCCCTATTGTCTGTATTATGCACTCAGCTATTTCCTTTTTCAGACAGTTTGTGTATTGCTTATTCTTGGGCCGTGTTCTCTAGAATTCTCCAGAGGTGCTGAAATAACAATCCATTCGCTCTAGTCTGCACTTTTATTGGCAATGGAAAATTCAGAATAAAAACACACTCTCATTTGCACACAATTAAGCTAATGTTCTTAGAGTATGAGATAAGAGACAAAAAGTATAGTTAACTATTCATTTATTAGCTATAGCTGTCGTACTGCATGATCGTTCTTTTTAATTTTCATTCGTTCTTTTTTCTTGTCTATTGAGTCGCTTACACCAGCTATAACACAGTAATTGTCTATTGATAGTTATTTCTTCTAGATGGTGCTTTATTATTTCCGTTGTATCACTATGCAATGCACACGAGGTTGGACACTTTGCTGAAGTTGCATTTGTACTTCTTCTCTTCTGTCTCTTCCACCTCCACTTTCTTTCTGCGATCATTTCTCAGACAGTCTGCAAAGTCCTTAACTATTGTGCTGTTGTATTTCTTGCCGTCTTCTTTTCTGCTGATGATTCTAACACACAGGGAGAACCATGCTCTGATGCAAATTTTTATGTTTTGTTCTCTTTCCAGGCTGTCGTCGTCCTGGGTTATTCTGTGCGGTCTGAGTATAACAACACCGTCTTTTACTTCCATGAACGGCTGTAGGAATAAAAGATCTTTTTTCGTCAAATGGCTAACATACTCGCATCTTTTGTATATGTACCACATGGGGTGCGTGTAGGACATATCAAAGTGCAGGTCTCCAACTATCTCGTTCTCATACACTGTTGTGTGTCTTTCCACGTCATACATCCACTTAGCAGATATAAAGCTGTTCTGTATACCTGTGAGATTTAAGAAATCAATCCCATTGTCCTCGCAGAAGGAGTTGATGTTCATGTATTCATACTGGATGGGAGACGTGCAGCAGTCGCTCCATATAATCTTCAGAGCATTGAGTATCTCATCCTGTTTCTCCACTTTTTTTATTTTTGTTCTTTTGTAAATATTGGTGTTATTCTCCTTTGGTTTGCACACTTTCTCTACTACCCTTCCCAGAGCAAAGAACAGATCGTTCTTTCGGTGGTCCAGAAGGCGTCCGTTTAGCAGACATTCTATTATTATTATCTTTACAACCTGGCCAGGTGTGATGTTTCTGTGCTTCTTTATCTCTTTTTCTGAAAGGTCTTTTCCTAGTAGAGTAAAGTAGATGTCTACCGTTCTTGCATCCATCACAGAGTTTACGGCAGCGTATCTATCGCATAAAAGATGGAGATGTCTGTCCGCTGATACGAGCGGGGATATATCTTTTTCCAAATCGTGTTTTACCATATTCATAAACATGGACACATTTCCATACGGAACATGGGGCAGGACATTCATGTGCATTCTTTCTACCGCGCTTTTCATGTCTTTTAGCTTGGACAGATTCATGTTAATGAAAGAGAAGACTATGCTGGCAGCAACTATCTTTTTCTCTTTTGCTAGCTTAAAAAGAGAGAGGTCTTCCACTCTGCCGTCTCTTATATACACAATGTTGCACTTCTGTATCACTCTCAGAATGTGCTGGTCGTATTTGCTTATCTTCTGAACTATCAATGTGCTCTCTTTAAAGGCCGCCAGAAGCAGATTTTCTAAATCGTATCTGTTCTGTTCATTTATAGAAATTTGCATATCTCTTTCTCTAAAAGTCAGATCTTTTTTATCCATAGCTCTCTGGGTGTATTCTAGAAAGTTTGCATAAAATAATATCATGTCGTTCTTTTTCTTCAGCTCTTCCAGAGAAGTCTCTACGCCAGACAGGTTTATTTTTCCTATCTCCAGCTGATCAGTTAGCTCTCTGAAGCTGCGAATGTCTTCCCACTTCAGTCTATCGCTAAAGTTGTCAAGAGTTTTAAGAAGGTTGCGGCGTGTCCTAATTTCTCTCTTTATGGTGTCTATTCTCTCACGCCAGTATGTTTTTATGGCCTCTGTGTCCTCCACTGACACTTTGCAGCCAGCTCTCTGCAAAAAAGCCAGGGCAAGCGCCCCAAAAACCAGAACCTTTTTCACTGTTCGTTGCAAGATCATAAAATTAAAATATTTTCATTATTTCTACTTTTGCACAAATCGACGTATTATTTTCCTTTACTGCGCCAACAAAAGCCCTGCTAAAATAGCCATAGCACACAAATAGCAGAAAAATAACTATACACCAGCTGCTCTTCTAATTCCATGTGTGACTCTAATAATATAGATGCAGCCTGGCTATTCGTTCTCAGCCATAAGTATTACAGTATTCAGCTTCTGTTCTTCTTCAACTATATTTTGCCTCTTTTTTGGACTGTCTACAATATTTAGCACAGGATGAAATAAATAACCCGTGAATTCAAGTATATCTCTAACTTTTCTTACTAAGAGCATGCAACACTCTGTCTATGCAACCTATTTACACTAGCATTCATCTATAGATGGCTAAATGGTGTTTTATTTCCCCTTCTAGCCTGTCCGTGCTTTGTTTATCTTTTTCTGCAGAGCCGAGCATTTAAGCCCGAAAATATTTTTGTTTTCATGTTTGAGTATAAGAAAAGGCTGCCAGAAGGAGTTTCCAAAAAAGAGCTTGACAGAGCTGGGGTGATAAAGTGCTCAAATGGCGATGACCTGTATGCCGACAACTCAGGAACCAGTCTATCAATAGTCGGAGCAGATTTCTGCATTGTGGCATCCGACACAAGACACTCTGCTAGCTTTAGCATAAACACAAGACAGGCAACAAAGTCGTTCTGCATTGACGGGAGATTCATTCTCAGCACCACAGGATTCTACGCCGACTCTCGGCACATTTTCAAGGAGCTCGCGTATGAAATAGACAAATACCAGTTCAAGTTCGACAAAAAGATGGGAATAGAGCAGGCTGCAGCCATTCTCCACATTCTGCTGTACAACCACAGATTCTTCCCAAAGTACACGTACTGCTGTCTTGTTGGATTCAATGAGAAGGGCGAGCCCAAAGTGTTCTCGTACGATCCTGTAGGGAGCTATCAGGAAACACCGTGCAGATGCAATGGGTCAGGAACAGCGATGCTGCAGCCTATGCTTGACTCTTGGATAACCAGGAAGAACTGGTACTGCGAAGAGGGAAAGGACCATGTGTGCAGCGAGGAGGAAGTCACTGCGCTGGTCAGAGATGTGTTTAATAGCGTAGCTGAAACTGATGTAAAAACAGGAGATGGCCTAGAAGTATACATAATTAAGAAAGATGGGATAAGCAGAAGTGAATATCCGCTGAGATCCGACTAAAGACAAAAATAAACACCTTACCCTCTTTTCTTCCATCCTATCATTAAGTACCACTAATTGGCATCTCTCTGCTATTTATGTATTCTTCTGCTGTTATATCACTCTATTCTCTGCTAGCTATCTGATAAGACACAATGATCATTTTATCTAAAGAATTCTGGCGATCTCTATGAGGTAGAGAGAATTAGTCTTATCTATTGAGATATTAGAATAGCTGATTATTAGGCATCTAGTAAATAGATATAGATAGTTTAGAACATAAGACATAGATGATAACAATGCAATGGTTTTATTGTTCATTTATTCTGAGTGTCTGAATGCGCACTAGATAGGAAGTATACTCTCGCCCGTGTATGGAAAAGTGTGGAGGATGTACGGCTTCGTTGTTTCTGATGTCATGATAAACGAGATAGTTTCTTCTCTTCTTTTGAACATAATGGAGCTCGGGTGTATGAAAATGTTTTTACCGGTGTACATGTGCAGATACGCGCCATTCCCATGGCTTGATGCAACTTTAGTCAGAAACCCTGCACTGGCTGCTGCGTGCAGTCTGTCTGCTGTTTTCTGCTTCAGCGGGATGTAGTTTGTCTTTTCGTCTGCCTCTTCTGTTTCGTTTTTTATTTCGTGTTTTTCTTTGAGCAACTGCAGCAGCTGAAAGTATATTCTTTCGCTTGTTTTTATTTCCTGCGGAGAGATCCCCAGAGATCTGCAGAAGTCACCGCGGAGCCTAGGCTCGTACGAAATATAGGTAAAGAATAAACTGGCATACAGCGTTAGATCTGAACCCTTACTTTGCGATTTATGTACGCTTTCAATACTGGAAATATTTGCGTCCTTGGAGAATAAGGATATTCTCTCACCAGAGAGCAGAGAGCACACAGCAGCAGCAGAGCATCCTGCACCCATTGACTTTGCAACAAGGAGAAACTTTCCCTGGCATGGAGAGACTGGGAGCGCGCTTACTTTTTTTCCCAGCTCGGTTATTTCTCCGTCTTTATCTATCAGCCCAAGTATGAATAGCTCGGATAGCGATGAAGAAATGGAGTTAGCCCCAGGAGACTCTAGAAAGTCAAAAGACCTTGGGTCTATTTTCATGTTTATCAAAGACAAAGAGACCGATGAAATGTCAGATCGGATTATTTCGGGAATGTTGTTCTCCTCCATTGACAAGTACGCTGATTCAGTGTAGAGTCTGTAGCACACACCGGGGCCCACTCGCCCTGCTCTTCCTGCCCTCTGCTTTGCTGATGACTTAGATATCTTGACTATTCCCAGCGTGTCTATTCCATCTTTTGTTATATTTACCTTCTGCACTCCTGAATCAATGACCCATTTTACATCTGAGATGGTAATGCTTGTTTCTGCTATGTTTGTGGACAGAATGACTCGAATGGGCTTTGTGCGCCGGCTGAATATCAGTCTCTGCTCGGCATCCGGCAGTGAAGAGTGCAGCTTGAGCAGCTCAATGCTTGAGTGTATTTCCAGCATTCTATACAAGTCATCAATGTCCTCCAGCCCAGAGAGAAACACAAGAACAGTACCAGCACTGAAATCCTCACTTACTGAGTTTTTCATACTGCTGTTATTTTCCAGTTTCGAAATATCGCTATTTCCATTACTATTGCTCTTGTTGTTTTTTACAGCTGTATATTTCCTATTTGTTTTACAATTATTCCCAAAGATTTCATCTACTTCATCCATTTCTATTTTTACATTTTCTTTTTCTTTCTTTCCGTCTTCTCTTGTGCCAGCTTCATTTGCTTTTCTTGTTTCCTTTATTATCTTTTTTATTGTATCGCATGCTAGCTGTATGTAGTCTGATGACCTCCTGGGCATATACTTTATGCTCACTGGATACTTCTTCCCTGGTATTTCGCAATACTCCACAGGTATCCCGTCCTTTGCAAAGTATTCTCTGAGCATCTTTGTGTCTGCTGTTGCACTCATTAGGATCAGCCTAATTGAGTCTATTTTCTTTTTCAGTAGACCAAGCAGAATATCTGTTCGTATTGATCTTTCATGCACTTCGTCGAGAATAATCGTAGTTGTTTTTGTGCTCTTTCTGTTCTCCTCCATCATTTTCAGCAGTATCCCGTCTGTTACATAGTGCAGCCTTGTCTTTCTTGTGGTTGTGTCTTTAAACCTGACCTTGTAACCTATCATGTCGGTGTCCTCGTTCTCTGTTATCTTTTTCACATAGCTGCACAGAGAGATAGCTGCGACTCTTCTGGGCTGTGTGACTATAATGGTGTCTGCAGTCTCCGCAAGCAGAGCTCGTGGTATTCCTGTTGACTTCCCCGATCCTGTTTCCCCCACCACAATCAGCACTTTGCCTGGGCCGTACTTGCTAATTACTTCGCTCGCATTTTTATTCACCAATTCAGTTGGCATTTTTTAGTAAATTTTTTATTCCCCTGTAAATATGAAAAAAGTCACCACTAATTACGCCTATACTCCAAAGAACGAAGACAAGGCAGTAAGAGCAGCAATGAAGAATGCAAAGATAAGTTTCAAGAACACGCACCAGACCGTAACCATCCTCAGAGGAATGTGGCTGGTCTCTGCCATAAAATACTTGGACGACGTTCTTGCCCACAAAAGGTGTGTGCCCATGAAGAGATTCAACGGGGGAGTGCCCAGAGTAGCACAAGCCAAAGAGTTTGGAGCGCTCCAGGGAAGATGGCCAGAGAAGAGCGTCATCCAGGCAAAGTGCATGCTGAAGAACATGCAGAACATCGCTGTAGGAAAGGGCCTAGACATCTCCAAAGTGAAGGTTACCCACGCACAGGTGAACAGAGCTCCTATCATCCACAACAGAACATACAGAGCACACGGAAGAGTCACCGCATGGAACAAGTCGCCTTGCCACATTGAAATCATAGCTGAGGAGCAGCTGGGAGAGATACCAGCAGAAACCGCAGTTAAGACAATCGCACAGAAGAGAGCAGAGAGAAAGTTCAGAGCACTTGTTATCAGCGGAAAGTTAAGAGGAGAGCATAGGAAACAGATGTTAAAAGATTAATTAAGAGAATAAACCGTTTACATTCTGATACATTGTGCTTATTTAGCAGCAATTTCTACTATTTATTCTACTTCTTTTATTCCTGTGGCTTCTTTTGTAGAATGGCAATAATCTGTGTATTATTTGTGTGTCATTAGAAGCCTTGTATAAAATTGTTTTACTAATTTCATTTGCGAATTTGGCTTGTGATATTGTTATTGTTTATGCTGAGATATAATGCACTTAGCAGTGGTTTAAGAGTAAATATCTGTCAGCTGCTTAGTAGAACAGTTGACTGATCTCGGTTTTTCTTTTCCTTTTGGGTAATTTTAGCAACGTTCTTTTTAAGTTGGATAGTCTCAGAAATAGAGGCAATGCTGTCTAAATAAATAGATAGGTGAGATAAAGGGCTTTCTCTGTTTAATTTCAGCTGTTGGTGATGTTTTAGCCACCTTTTTGTGTTTGTGCATATTCATTTTTATTTTATTTTTCTCTCAGTTTCTGTTTTTGTGTTTTTATGTTCATTCGTGTCAATGGAATCCGAGCTTCGTATAATTGGAAATGGAAAGTGTCAGAGGGCATCTGCGGGATATGCCAGCAGCCTTTTGAGCAGATGTGCTCCGAGTGCGAGCACCCCATAGAGTGCATTCCTTCATTCGGGGCATGCAAGCACTGCTACCACAAACACTGCATAAAGAACTGGATAGCAACCAGCGCGCTCTGTCCCATATGCAGAGCAGAGTGGAAAGAAAAAACAGATACAGAAGAGTAGAAAGCGCGCCTTTTATCCTAATGCCTCATAGAGTAATAGATAAAGACATACCCTGAAAATTAATCTTAAAAACAAAGACCTCCATAAAATATCAAATAAACCAGCACACATTATAGTAATCTACATACCAGAAGAGAACATAGAAGAATGCCTTTTTTCTGTTTTTATCAAGGAAAGTGCAGTATGTACACGATACCAACTCATTTCGTAAGCCATAACCCATCAACTGCTTTCATATTGCAGCTAGCTGATACCAGCAAGTTATTCGACAGGTAACTGCTTAACTGCATCAACTTAGCACGGTTGTTACAAATAAAATAAATAATAATTTATTAATAGCAGCATATTTAGGACATTGTGCACTCTGATCACTACATATTCATCTGCACAGGAAGGCCTAGAATGCAGTTGAAGTCGCTTTCGTTTATTATGTATAGCCCCAGCAGCGCATATGCCGTGTGGTAAATGTCTGGGCGAGATTCTGGGATGTTTTTTACTCCTCCGTTTTCATCCTGGCAGTTGGAGAGAGTGTACCGGACAAGGCCTTCATCCGAGTAGATCGGAAGACCAATCATCTTAAAACACGCGCCCACCCAGAAGTTGTAGCACGAGTCTACGCCTTTGTTTGTTCTTCCATTGAAGCCGTGTGTTATCGCATCCTGTCTGTCTAGCAGCCATTTTTTCAGAAGATTTTCATTCGGTATTTCGCTTTCTAGTATTTTCAGTGCAGCTATGGCGCAGTAAGTGTACCCTCCGTGTGCTTCTTCTCCCGGACTGGCTGCAAATCCTCCTTCATATGTCTGCAGATTGCCCACTATCTCGGGAAGCTCTGAGAATATTTCTTTTCCCTCTTCTGTTTGCAGAGGATTAAATTGCGACTTTGTTTTTATCTCTTCTGAGAACAGGATAGAGTACGAGGCCACTGCACAGTATATCGACCTAGGGTCCACTTCCCCGTCTTTGTACATTGTAAACCCGGCTTCCACCTTCATTTCTTTGATAAAACTGATGACTCCTTTTTTGTCTATTTCATCCAGCCTATTGAGTGTGCGCAGTAGGACTAGTGCAGCGTATGTATTTCCTAGATTAGGCAGCTGTCCCTCTCCTCCGCTGACTCCTGTGCCTTTACCCTGCAGGTTTATTATCTGATTTGCTATTTTGTGCAGTTTATGTATCTCTCCAGAGGCCAAGCTTGAGTAGAATGCCTCTCTGCCCAGTATAACGTACAGACCGTTTGACATCCACGCGCCAACCCAGGGAATAAGCATGCTGTAGTCAATGGGAAGCACTTTGTTCATTTGTTTGATAATGTACTTCAAATGGGACTCCTTGTTTAGCAAAGTGTTGCACTTGTTTTTAATGGTGGAGTTCAAGTGGAGAGCATCTATCGAGGTTTTTGTGGGCTTACCTTCGTCACTGTACATTATAAATTGGAAAAAATAAAAAGCATACTGCCATAAAAATAAATTGAAAAAGCTACGGATAAAAGTTTGTGCATAGAAGAATGCTAGTGCGAATTTATTGGATTGGTTTATTTTTTTACTCTTTTACTAGTAGTGGATAATAGTAGATGGGCTACTTCTTTTAACAATCCAGTGCTATTATGGTGCACTAGCATATACCACACATACAATTCTAAACATGAAATCCACAACACCTTGAGATGATACAAATACAGCTAAATCACACCAAACAAGAGAATGTCAAACAAGAAAATCAAAAATATGCGGTGCTATCTATTACCAGGCGTAACTATCTCAGTAATAGCTCCAATTAATTCTAAGGCTTCTTCTGTTAATGAAGCCAATATTAGTCAATAAAGAAATTATTTTATTCGGTGATAAATTCAGCATGTATAAAGACGCAATAGTTGAATTTAGAATACACTTACTAGGACAATCCGAGAATAAAAATAAAAACAGATTAGCTGCAAACTTTATTAGAGAGACCGTTTCAAAATGAAGCTTTCGTCAAGGATAGACGTGGTGTCTGCTGGCATTGTTTCGATCTCTGGTTCCTTACTTTCCTTGGCGGTGGCTGTCTCGACAGATGCTGGCTTGGTGCTGCTTTCTGTTTCATCGCTCTTATCTTTAGCTGTCTCTTTTCCACTACTGCTGCTGTTGTCCACTTGAGCATCGCCTGCTGCCTCGGCTTCTTCTGCTTTAGCTTCCTTGCCCGCTTCAGCTTCTCCTTCTGGCTTAGCCTCTTCTTCTGCTTTCTTTGCTTCTTCTTCCTGTTTTTTCTTTAGGACCTCTTCCTGCAGCTTCTTCACAATGTTTTCATTGTGCTCTTCCGTTATTAAGTGCACTCTGTATTGAATACCGTCTATTATATTCTTTATCTCTCTCTTATACTTCAGTTTCGTGTTGTAGTCTGTCTCTGCAGTGTACTCTACCGTTGTAATCGGATGTTTATTCTCCTTTGTTTTCTGCGCAATAAACTTCATGAATGCCTCTGTGCTCTCTAGTCCTTCTTTTTCGTATTTTTTATGGAGTTTTAGGCCTTTCTTAATCAGCTTGGGGATTTCTGATAGAATGTCGTTTATGCTTTTATCCAAGCCCTTGTCTATTGCCTGGTCTTTCACTGCCTGTGTGTATGCCTGGGCTACTTCCAAGTATCCATCGCTCTTTGCAAGCTCTTCTGCTCCCATTGTTCCCATTATCTGGCTGATTTTCTCTTCTAAGCTGCTCAGTAGCTGTTTACTTCCCTTGAACACTTCTGCTATTTTTTTATACTCTGCGCTCTGCTTGTCTCCAGAGATGAGAGCTGAAATGGGCTCTTTTATTTTCATTTCATTGTTGAAGTTCTGGGTAAAATACAACCAGTCATCTGTTTCTTTTCTGTTCAAATCGTACACTTTGCTTCGTATTCCGTTATCACTTGGGCTGTACTTCACTTTATATTTGTAGGAGGGTTTCTTTCCATCATTTGCTGGTCTTTCATCTAAAACGGCTATGTTGTACTTCATGATGTGTGTTGATGCGCCTGATAGAGATGCCTTGCTGGGCTTAGCCATTTTGCGAATTCCTGTGCCGTAGAGTATGCTCTCCAGCTGATCAGCATGGATTACATCGCTGTATATCGAACTTCTGTAGACTACCGGCAGTTCTTTATCGTTTTTGTCGTTTTCTTTTAGCTCTTCTTTTGCCTTTTCAATCTCTGACAGCTTTTCTTTTGTTTCCACAATGAGATGTTTTATTTCCCTCCTTGAGTTTGCAATGTACTGCAATATTTCATTCTGCACGGGCACCATGTTCAGATTCAGGTCCTTCACAGAATCGCTTATAGGCGCTACAAACAGGTTGTTGGCTGTGCAGGGTGCTGCTGTATTCACTAGCTCTATCAGCAATGGGTGGATGGATGACTTTTCGTTTTGGTTGGCTATTCTGATGGTGTATGCATCTTCTGCATCTTTCTCTTCCACAGAGTCATCTACTATCGCAGAAGAGTCCTTCTTTTCTGCGCTAAATATAAGCTCTTGCAGATTCACCAGAGCACTGTTCAGCAGCGGCAGTATATCAACTGTATACTCTACCACTGGCTTGTCGATGTTCTTCAGCGTGTTTGCTGCTTCTGTGTTTGTTTTCTCTGAGTTTGTGTTTTGGCCTTTCTCTTTTTTATCGCTTTTTGAGCTGGACGTAAACTGCAAATCAGGCACACCCTTCAGATCTATCGCTATATTCGGGTATCTTTCGCTTGCCATGTTTTTTATCTCGCTTAGCAGGTGGTTGTACAGCATTCTTATGATGTCGTACTCAGAGTATACGGAGTCTATCTTCTGGTGCAGCAGGCTTACTTTTTTATTTTTATTCTGCAGTTCGTATGAGAAGATCTCTGAGACCACAGAGCCTCCTCTGAAGCTGTGTGTAGTAATGTACCCTCTTTCATCGCTGTTCACTCCAACGATTGAGTCTACAGCCTGTGCCATGCCGTCTGTCAGAATTTGGATGTGGGAGATAGAGGCTGTCAGCTCTTTCATTGCACACTCAATTGTTTTTATGGTGCTGGGCTCAAAGTATCCTCGAACAGTTACGCCAAGGCACTTTACATCTTCGTTTTCCTTTTTTTTCTTGTTTATTGCCTCCTCCAAGTACTTCAGGTACAGCTGTACGTCCGGTATGTCTGAATATACTCCGTGCACATTTATTGTTCTGGACCCATGTGCCTTGTTTTCTTTTATTCGCACGTTCTTATTAATACTTCTTACCAAATCTACTGGCTCAGTGGCCAACAGCTGCGGCATGTATACGCTATATGCCACTTTATTTTGTGCATTCTTCTCTTTTCCTGCTGATGCGCTTCCTTTCGTGCTGTTCGAAGGGTCGTATTCGTAGATTGTTTTTTTCTTCGTTTCAAGCTTTGTTCCCTGCGCGGATCCTGCTGTGGTTACTATCCCGTTGAAAACCGATAGAGTTGGCGCAAACATCGAGCTGTCCACTCCAATGTAAACGTATGCTTCCTGATTACTACTAGCAGATACATATCCCTTTAACAGAGTAAAACATAGTACAAGTAGGAATGTAATCTCCATAAAAATAAAATAAAAAATATTTAAATAGTAAATTAATTAGCAATTGACTGTGCTCGTATATCACTAACAATGTGATCTCTGCTTAGATGTTCCTCTTTTCATGCGCAATCCAATAGCACTCCGCTGCCATAGCATCTACATCTCTTACTTCAACAACTCTACCTTTGCACTCGTTTATGCACCGAATGAAGTATAACAAGTGAAGAAAATTAACGGCAGTGCAGAGCTGAATAACCTAGGAAAAGCCACAGGAACAGATCTTGTATCCACTGGGGACAGAGAATATAACAATGCTACTCTGACCATTGGCAAAATACATTCATTCATATAAACAATTTTAATGAGAAAATGTTAGAGCCAGCTTAGCATTATCCTACCGCTCCAACAGCAATATAAACCTGGCACAGAGCTATACTAGTCTGCAACTAGTCAATAATTCTTGAATATGGCTATTTTTGCAGTAATTGTCAATTGTTTGTATAAACAATCTGTGGCATTGCAGTGCTGTGCTAAAAATGGATAGCATATTTTCTAAATAGAGTAATTTCTATATACAGTAATAAGTAACTAGAGCGATAGACTGTTGATACCTTATCTTGAATGTTTCATGCTTTTATTTATGATTTTGACTTCTTAAACTTCTTCTTTGGTCTTAAGTTTGTTGAATTGCCACATGGCCCACTCTTTCTGCAGTGTGTTGCTCTGATGTTGTTTCTTGAGTAGCATCCTCTGCAGATAAGCACTTTGGTTCTCTTCATTGTCACAAACACTCTGTCTGTGTCAGTGATGACTCCTCCTCTCAGTCTCAGCACGAGATGGATTGTGCTCTCTTTCTGGATGTTGTAGTCTGAAAGAGTTCTTCCGTCCTCGAGCTGCTTACCTGCGAAGATAAGTCTCTGCTGGTCGGGGGGTATTCCTTCCTTGTCCTGGATCTTTGCTTTTACATTCTCTATTGTGTCACTGTTCTCTACGTCCAGGGTAATTGTCTTTCCCGTGAGCGTCTTTACGAATATCTGCATCAAGGGTATTGAAAAATTAAAAATAAAAAAGCAATAAAAAATACAAATAGCAGATAAAACATCGCACAAACAGCAAATAGCCCATGAGAGCACGGGGAAAATAGCACACGCTATGAGCACGCCCTTATATACACACAGAGTAAATGGGAGAGGATGGCGCACTATATGCCATATAGCATGTGCAGTGGCAGATGGAGTTTGGACAAAATAGAAGTAAAAGACACAAGTAGAGGCAAATAAGATAGTAGACTATGTAGATGTTTTTCTTTAATTATTCTCTCACCGCACCACATTGCACTGGATAATTAGCTCCATTCTGTCATGCAACTGGCCTGCTCTCTACTCCATTCTGTACGGTATTCGCAGAGATGTTTGTATGGGCTGCAGTATTATGTTCTCTAAGTACGAGACAAACTTGCTCGAGTAGTTCGATGGAATGCTGGATGATTCTATCTTCAGTGCTGTGCCCTGGCCTCTGTCCTGCAGAGCCATTTGCACACTGAACTTTTTACCGTCCATTTCAACTGCAAACACTTTCACTATGTCTTTTGTCTCTTTTTTCTCTTCTGCTATGTTTTCTGTCAGAGTTATTGCCGTGTGTTTTATGGTAAGAGGGTTCTGTGACAGGGAGACCGACCCATTGCATGCTTGAATCATGTTCGACTGGAAGAGTATGTTATTTATATGGTCTCTTGGGCTTGTAAAGTGCACTGTTTTTTTCAATGTTTCCGTTTTCACTTTTTTTTCTGTTGCTGGAATGTTTATTGCCTTTGTTTCTATTATTTCCTCCTTCTTTTTTTCTTCCACTCTTTCTTTCACGAGCTCTTCCTCCATTCTTTTTACTGCTGCGATGAACGGCTTTTTCAAGGGCGACTCATGGATGTCTTCTTCACTTGACACTCCCGAGTATCCTGTGACAGAAAGCACGTTGTCGTCCTTGGACATGGTTATTGTTACTTCGTACCTAGTGTGTTTCTTTCCCATTCTCTGTGTAAGGTAGATGCTTGAGCCTTCATCCGCCAGTGTAATGCCTTCTTTCTGTAGTGATTTGGCCATAATTTCAAGTCCTTCTTTTGTGTAGTCGTCCTGTGTCCAGTGGTAATTATCTTTATTAAACATAAAAAATATTTATCCAATAGTATTAATAGCAACAGCCAAGATGTATCCTCCACTGCCACTATAAAAGAGCACTTAACTGCTGCACATAGCTATTTCTCCTTTCTTATCTTTTTATTGTAAAATTAAAACCGTGCAAAAAGTAGATAAGCCACTGAAAATAAACTCAACTCGTACAGATACATTTTATGCTATAGACTACTGTATAATAAATGAAAATAAAAAGATCTTAATGTGCGCCACTAGACTGCTACACTTATCTACTCTTCTATAAACCCGCTAGACCATTTATTCATTTCACTACTATCGATTTGGAAGTCAGATATCTGCAACTATCTGATATATCTTTTCAGCTATCTCCTCTGGAGTAAATCCAAAATGGGCGTACACTTCATCTGGTGGCCCGCTCTTCCCAAATGTATCTATTCCTATGTTGTATCTGGCATATTTACTCCATCCAAATGTTGAGAGTGCTTCTATGCTGACTTTTATGCTACGTGAATCTAGAATCTCTTTTTTATACTCTACATCTTGTGCTTCAAACAGCTCAAATGATACCATAGAGACAAGACGCACCATGCATCCCACATTACAGAGAAGTTCTTTCACTTTGAGACATAGAGATACCTCTGATCCTGTGGCTATCAATGTTACATAAGGACATTTTACTCCCCTTTTTACCACTGGCCCGCCAATCTCATAGTCACAGACTATATACGCGCCTTTTAAGACATCATCCACTGTTCCCACTGAAAATCCATCTAGCTTCTGTCTGGATAAGACTATGGCACACGGCCCTTTCGATTGGTACATCGAGTATGCAATCGCTGTAGCTGTTTCCAGCCTATTCGCAGGCCTGAATGTAATGAGATTTGGAGTAGCCCGCAGGAGTGCAAGTGTTTCTATTGGCTGGTGTGTGGGCCCGTCACCGCCCAGAGCAATTGAGTCGTGTGTTCCCAAAATAGCTACTCTATACGAAGAAATTGCGGCTATTCTTATGGCTGGGAATCCATACGTTAGAAAATTGAGAAATGTGCTGCCATACACCCTGTGGTATCCATATGCTGCTATACCGTTCATTATCCCGCACATTGCATGCTCTCTTATTCCGTAGCAAATGTATCTACCACTGTAGTCAGAGGAACTGAGGACCTTAGCGCCCTCCCATTTTGTGCATGTAGACTCTGACAGATCAGCGGATCCTCCCAGTATTCTCTCGTCTTTTGATAGATCAGATAAAATCTGCCCTGAGAGTTCACGTGTTGAAAATGTATCATTTTTAACGCTCATATTTTTGATCATGTGGCCCTGCACTATTTCATGAATCGAACTTGGTGTGCACAGGTCTGTAAGCTCTGCGTGCTCTTCGGGATAAAACATTTTGTACTTCTCCAGTCCCTTCTGCCAGTCGTAGTACTTGTTATTTATCTTATAGTCGCATTCTCTGTATATTTCTTTGGTCTTTTCGGAAATATAGTAGCTCTGTGCTGGATCCATTGAGTATTTCCTTTTTAGCAGCTCTATCTCTTCTTTTCCCAGTGGAGAGCCGTGCACTGCACTTGTGCCTTTCTTTGTTGTGTCGTATCCTATCGTTGTGTGGACTATCACGAACATTGGCCTGTCCATCTTTTTGCTGAGTATTTCTTCCACCACTTCGTCATCCTCTGGGTCTTTTATCTCCACGATAGCAAACCCCATGGCTCGCATCTTTTTTCCTGCGTCTTCGCTGTTTGACAGAGATAGCGGGCCATCAATCGTAATTTTGTTGTAGTCGTAGATCACTATGAGGTTGTTCAGCTTCAAATGCCCTGCAACTGAAAATGCCTCCTGCGCCACTCCCTCCTGCATGCATCCATCCCCCACCATGCAGTACACTCTGTTGCTGAATATGTTCATGAGGGCTGGCTTATTGTACCTATCGCTATTTTTCTTCAGTGCTATTGCATATCCCACAGCCTGTGCCACGCCCTGTCCAAGCGGCCCTGCAGTTGCTTCTATAAATCTGCCAAACTCTGGGTGCCCTGGCGTTTTGCTGTCGATCTTTCTCAGGTGCAGTAGATCTTCCATTGACAAAAAGCCTTTGAGATGCAGGAACACGTAGAGGCCTGCACAGCAATGGCCGTTAGAAAGAACGAATATGTCTCTGTTTATCCATTTGCTGTCTATTTTTGTTATGGATAATACTCTGGAGAAAAGAATGTGCATCACATTGGCCATGCCCATGGGTCCTCCCGGATGCCCGCTCTTTGCATTCTCCACTATCTCTGCAATCAGCACCCTAATCTCTTCCACTGCAGAATGCATACTCCAAAACAAAATAATTTGCAATTTATTCAATTCTCTTCCACTGGCACATTCCAACACCAATTAGCAAATACTCTGCAGGACTTACCACACTGTGGAGAGAATAGCCAGTGAATAACCATCAGCTGCATCTTCTGTACCCACAGAGATGTAAATGAATTTTACTAGTAATTTCTCAATGAACAGCTCCTAAATCTGAATGTATTCATAGAAGAGTACACATGCACTGGATGAGCAAGCTAGCCAGTAATCAATGAATAGTCAAAACTTGCACAAATACAGAGAAATAACCGATCATTAGTTATCGCACCAATTCTTTTGCTGATATGTTCTACTCTGTCAGCTGTCATCTACATTGGCTAAATAATTTAAATATTCTCTCAGCCAAGTAGTATATAAATTATTTTTAAGTAATTTCACACTCTACTAATCTCTTTATTTACTCGACTTATAGCCCGTTCTCTGTACACACTACATACAACATCTCTTTTTCTCTTACTACCCTTTGTCTTTTCTGTTTGCATCACTGCTTTCTCTTTGTGTGTGTTTTCTTCTTTTATTTTTGTTTTGGTGCTCTTCTTATCTTTTTTGTTTGGTTTTTCCTCTTTTTTACTTTTCTTGTTTTATTTTTTTATTTTCAATGGTTATGGAACAAGAGACTAGTGCAGACCCAATTTTGAGCTTGATTTATCCTCTGGGTATTGTTTGCCTCCTCGCTCCTGCCTTTGCGGGAGTGAGCATAGGGATGGCAAAGGCTTCACACGGCATCTGCCAGGCAGCAGCTGTTAAAAATGATATTATTCTAACTATCGTTCCTTCTGCCTTCATTGGTGTGTCTATTTTATACGCTGCGCTGATTTTCTTCCTGGGGCGTGTTTCTGGGCCTGCAGCAGACTTCCACAAGCCGCTTACGTGGCTGGCAGGGCAGATAATCGCAGGCGCAGGGCTCTTTTGGGGCTCCATTGGGCTCGGAGACATCACCGCAGTGGCTGCAATAACCGCAGCGCAGCAGAAAAGATTCAAGATGGCGTTTTTCCTTCTTTTGATCTTTGGAGAGTTTTCGGGCTTGTTCTCACTGATCATTGGGGTGATCCTGACATCAGAGAATAAATGGTAGAGAAATAAAAAAGTACACTTTTATTTATTTGTTGTTGATCCTGGATCTTGAGGCGTATTTGTTATTTTGTCCCTCAGAGTGCATGCAAATAAAGAAGCAATTCGCAGCAGGAATAGTTGCGATGTACTGTGTTACGGCGCATCTAAAGATATTCCAGGAGAATGGATTATTCCACAGGATAATAGGCGGCGAGTTAGTGCAGAAATCAAACGCAGCACCTCCCGGAGGGCCAGCAGGAGCAAAACCGCAGGATAAGCAGGCTGCACCAGACGCAGCAAAAGACGCAAAGCCCAGCGCCTCTGCAGAAGACAAGAAGCCTGATGACTCGAAGAATAAGCCAGATAACCCAAAAGATGCAACAAGCAAAGGAACAAGCACTCCTCCAAAGGACAGCTCAAAAGATACGAGCAATAAAGGAGGTTTATTGGGACTATTTGGGAGCTCTAACACAAGCAGCAAGGGAGGAAACAGCAAAACCTCTGCAAAAAAGCCAAAAGCAACAGACGGCTCAAAAGACAAGCCAGCAGGCGGAGGGGGAATATTCGGGCTATTTGGAGCATCAAATTCAAAGGCAACAGATGGCACAAAGTCAAAGTCATCAGATGGGACGAAGTCAAAGTCAAAATCAGCTGGCACTAAGTCAAAATCTGCAGATACGAAGTCAAAATCAAAATCAGCTGACTTAAAATCAAAATCATCGGTCAATACGAAGTCAAAAGCATCTACAGCAGGCAAACAGTCCGCAAGCAAATCAGTTGGCAGCATAAAATCAAAATCATCAGCCCTATCAGGAACAAAGAGTAAATCTGCCTCCATTGCAGCCACTGGCAGTAAAAGCAAAGACATGTCTAAGTCCGTCAGTGTTTCATCCATGCCTGCAAAATCCTCTGCTATCAGCAAGACAGCCTCTACATCCATTGCAGCCACCGGATCTATCACAAATATTACAGATATTACCAAATATAGTAAAGCAGATATACAAAAGGCCATGACAGCAACTAACTCAACTTCTATTACAAACATTGCTGTGTACTTCTCCGTTGACTGCAACTGCTACAGAGACGCAGAGAACAAAATTACAATGAAAAAAGTGAATAGCGAAATAATCGACGAGACAGGAATGTTCAAGGGAGAAGAGTGCGGATGCACATCAGCAGAGGAAGTAAAACAAAAGGCAACTCTAACAGAAACAGGATTCTACCAGATAAATATATCCGCAGAGCAATCAAGACAGCAAGCGCAATCTTTCTCCAAGGTCGCAGATCAGCTGAGCATACAGGGCTCACAGCTATCATCTGTCTCATCCCTCTCAATATCAGCTACTACTTCAGCTGGTGCATCATCTGGCTCATCATCTGGTGCAGTAGCTGGCTCAATTGCTGGTTCTAGCTCATCTGCTGGTTCATCATCTGGCTCATCAGCTAATTCATCTGCTGGTTCATCATCTGGTGCATCCGCTGGTGCATCATCTGGTGCATCATCCGGTGCATCTGCTGATAGTTCAGCCAATTCTGGTGCAGTGGCTAATTCATCCTCTGGCTCAGCTACTGATAGCTCAGCTAATTCATCTGCTGGGGCATCGGCTAATTCTGATGCATCCGCTGGTTCATCGGCTAATTCATCTGCTGGCTCTGATGCATCCGCTAATTCTGGTGCATCATCTGCTCCTGCACCATCCCCTTCAGATACCTCTGCAGCTCCTTCATCTGCTGATGGCAGTGGGGCTGTGCCTCCAGCTATCTGCAGCTCTCCTGTCTCTTCTATGGACAGTGTGCCTATGCCCACATCAGCTGCACCTATTCCTGCCACAGTTCCCACTCCTATGCCTTCTAGCTCTATTTCTGTGCCGGTGTCACAGACGGGTGTACTTCCCACCGCGCAAAATAACCCTCTTACAGGCTGTGTGGGCTCTCCGTGCCACGATGTTGTGCGATACTTCAAGATAAAACTCCCACAACCTGTTACACACGTCGTAACATTTACCACAGTTGAAACAGTCATACGCCCTACTACAGTGGTGCAGCCTACAACTGTAGTGCAATCTACAACTGTTGAAAAGCCTGTGACAGTAGTACAGCCCACAACTGTAGTGCAGTCTACCACAGTAGTGCAGTCAACTACTGTTGAAAAGCCTGTGACAGTTGAAAAGCCTACAACGATAAGCGTTACTAAGACAGTGCAGCAGTCGATCACAGTGAATGTTGTTAAAACTGTGTCGCAAATAGTTCCAACTACAGTATCTCAGATGGTGCCTACAACGGTGATAAAGACAGAAGTGCAGCCTAAGACAGTGGTGCAGCCCACAACTGTAGTGCAGCCTACAACCATACAGCAGACTATTACGATATCAAAGACAGTTACATCGATAGATACAGTGCGAGGCGCAGAAGTGACAAAAACAATCGCAGCATCATTGCCAACTACCAGTGTAGCACCCGTTCCTGTGGCACCACCTGCAGCTCCCGTGGTGAACACCTATGGGAACATGAATGCCTGCCAACTGAGTCAGGGATGCTCTGTGGAGCAGCTTGTGGAGTACAAAACTATTCCGATTTCCATTGATGCCACATCATTTGCTGAGGAGCTGTGTCCCTGCGAAAACTCGTTCTGTCTGAATCCTTGTGTTCCGATGGTTGACACAGCTGCGAAGAATAGCCACGTCCTCTTCAACGGACAAATTCCAACACGGGCACACCACGAATAGAGTCACTTATATTCAATAAAAGCTCCTGTTGAAATGTTTTTGTACTATTTGCACTTTTTCTGCTGTTTGTAGAGACAGAAATATTCATTGTTTCTAAGTGAGCAATTTTTTATTATTGTGGGAGACTGTGTAAGTAATCTGGTAAATTTTATCTTGGATTTTAATTTAGCTGTAGCATTAAATATTCACAGTTCATGTGAGAGTAAATTAACTGAGAGTTAAATATGTTTGTGCGGTAATTTCAGCTGATTGTGGGGCCGTTGTGCTGTTTATTTGTGATTTTGTGATTGGATAGCGCTCTATGCACAATTGGTTAAATCTGTGCAGGAGGCTAGCTGCGGCAAAGGCGCCAATGAAACGGGTGGCTAGTATTTAATAAATAAAAAGATGTGCACGTCTAAGCTGAAAGATGGAAAGGCTCCAGAGTTTTTACACGTTTAGACAGAATGAGCTAAAAGAAGAGGTAAAAAAGCAGATAGACAGGTATGTGAACAACCTGCTTAACGGAAAGATCTCAAAGCCGTCCAAGTCCTTCATTAAAAAAACAGTCATTGACAAAATAGTGGAAAAGTGTTTCGCATGGAACAGCGAAATAGACCCGCAGCCTGACGTAGATGCAGCCATACACGAAATCGTGCAGTACAACATGCGCGCAACAGACGTACTTTCAGCCACCTTCTGCAACATGCAGATGCTCACAAAAGAAAGATGCATTGAGAGCGTTGTGGAAGAAATAAAAATGTCTCTGGAAAAAGAGATGAAAGAGTTCTTGCAAATCCTTGTGATTCTGGCAAACAACTACGTACTGCGAATAAAAAGAAGAGCAAAGAACAGAAACAAAACAAGACAGGAGATCGCACAAGAGATAGAGCTGATCTGCAAAGTGGAAAGCATAAAGCTGAAAATAAAGGAAATTAGCAGAGAAAAAGAGGCGTCTGACGATCTAAAAGTGCTTCTGGAAAAGTACAAGAAAGAGCAGAAAATTAAAAGAATTGAGGTGTCTGATAGTCTGAACACCTACAGCCTGATTGAGTTCATGATCAAAAACTACACCATTGTAATTGGAGAAATAGAGCTGTATAAAAGCGCAACCGATCTCCTGAAAGGCTATAGGATAGACGGAACAGGAATGCAGTGCCTGGAGTACATCCAAGACAACTATGCAGAGGTACTAGAGCTGCTAGACAGCAAGCCCAGCAAGAGCAATGCGATATTTGTGGTCACAAAGAAAACCGTTGAAAAAACAGAAGAACTCAGAAAACAAAGCAAAGACATAAAAAAGTTTATTCTGTTCAAAAGATGTATTATCATTGGGCTTATTGTCTCGCTTGTTCTTGCAGGAGTGGGGGCTATCCTACACGTGAAAAAAATAAAGTTTTTTTAGAAAGAAAGCGTAGCCAGAGAAATAAAAATAAAATGAGTTTATTTTAAACAGCAGAACTACTTATTCTATAAACACATTCACTAATTTTAATTTTGTACTTACACTAATACAAATAGAAAAAGAACAGAGAGAACAGGTGATATAATATTCCTATTTATTGATGGGCAGCTGAAAGAAGAGAAGTGATGTATCCCCAGAAAGCAAGGACTTTCTCTCCTGGCTTTGCGTTGCCTGTGGCTGTTTCTAGCGAAGTCTTGAACAGGCTCTGTGCCTTTGCAATGCTTTCTTTGTTGTTTGTTATGGGAGAGCCGCTTACAACCAGATGGCCATTTGTGAAGTTCTGTGCAAAGGGTGGAACTGGCAGCCTTGGGCTGTTGGCACTGGAGCTTGGAGTTAGGGGGTTGTTTCCTGTCTGCTGGGGCATTTGTGTGGGCATGGTATTCTGCTGGTTTGGCAGGTCTGATAGAAAGAGCCCTCTTCTCTGTATTCCAGATGCGTTGGACTTCTTTGAAAGAAGATTTTCATTCTCTTTTAATTCTTTGATCAGCTCATCCTCTTTTTCTTTTTCGCTCTTTATTTCTTTTTTGTCCTCTTTTATTTTTTCATTGTCCTTCTGCTCTTTTTTCTTCTCTTTCTCTAGGCTCTTCTGCTCTTTGTTAGCCACTGATGTTTCGTTTTTCAAGCTCTTTTGTGTTTCCTTGTTTTCTTTCTTCAGGTCTTTTATGATGTCAGTCGTATTTTCATTCACAACTCCTGCAACGGTTTTTTCTGTTTTGTCAAGATGCTCTGTTTGCTTCTTTGCTATGTCTATGTCGCTCTGCAGATCTATTTTCTTGTTTTTGTTGCTTTCTATCTTCTTTTCGTCTTTTTCTATGTTGCTTTCAAGAGACTTTATCTTCTTCTGGGCCTCTTTCTGTTTGTTTTTGAAGGCTTTCTGTTCAGCTGTCAGAGCCGACTTGTTTTCCTGCACAGACTCTTGCTGCAGACTCTTTTGCTTTTCTGTGACTGCAATGACCTGGTCTATCTCTGCCAGGTCTTTCTCCAATGAAGCGAGTTTTTTGGTTGCTTCTTCCTTCTGTTTCTTCAGATTATCAAGCGTTTTCTGGTTGTTTTTCATCACTTTTTCGGTTATCTTTTCATTTGTCTCCAGACTGCTGGTGTTTGTGCTGGTGTTGGAGGCTTTGGCCACCTTCACCAGCTTCTTTGGCCCTGACAGCAGAGAGCTTTCTTCCTTGGGCGCAGAAGTTGCGCGTGGTGAAAGAGGCTTGTAGATGGTGATCACTCTTAGCTCAGTGATTGTCACTGTCTTTGTTTTCACAGAAGTTGGTTTTTCTGCTGATGACGACTTTACCACTGAAGTGCTCTTTGGATCTTTGCTCGATGTCTTGGTTGATGGCCTAGTAGATGATTTTATGGATAGTTTAGTGGTTGATGTTTTCTTGTACTTGGATGACTTGGATAGTTTTTCTTCTTTCTCCTTTTCTTCTTCTTCCTTTTCCTTTTCTTTCTCTTTCTCTTTTTCTTCTTTTTCATCCTCTTTTTCAGTGGTATCATTGCTTGTTTTCACGCTCTTTGTGCTTTCATTTTTGGAGCTTTCTGAGCTCGTGGCGTCTATCTTTGTGGCTGACGTGTTGTTTGTCGATGACCTGTTGAAAATGTTCAAAAACGCAAATCGAGAAGACGGCTTTGGATTGTCTTCCGGCTTCTTTTTATCTTTGTCCACGCCGTCTTTCTTTTTATCGGATGCTGCCACCTCTTTGGAGTGTGCTGCGATGGAAGCATCGTCAAAGTTTATGTTCTCCTTGGCAAATAGCTCGGTCGCCAAAACTACACTGCATAGCGTACCTAATAGCAAGTATTTGTTCATACATCACAAAGCAACCCTCATTAAATATCCGTCCTTAAGACACTGTTTCACAATCGCTAGGAGACCACTGCAAAACAAGCCAATATAAAACAAAAATAAACTCTGAAACAAAGTCCACGAGCAATGGAATGGCCAGCTGCACCATGCCATAGCATCATCAAGCACTTCCTACTCTCTTCCACTGCACTTTGGCCACATTTTGTTTCTTCTTCTTTAATTTAATCTCACAGCTCAAACAAAAATAAAAAGATAATGGAGGAGAATGGGTCACACCACGCAAATGCTTCGTAAGCACACGTACAAACAGACATAGAGATAGCGTATGGCGATATATACACATACTTAGTCTCTTTTTGTCCTATGCTAGATGCTATGGTACTTAAGTCCTTTGTGCGCTGATTTTAATAGCTAAGAGAAAGGCCCTTGTAAAGGAGCCTCTATCTGCACAGAGAGCGTAGACCTCTTTTATCCATTAACCTCCTGTGTGCACATCCTATCCGTCTGAAATACTGAGCTAGATAGTGTGAAAATTGATTTGCATCAGTTCAGTGATTTTTAATGATTAATTAAATGTTAAGTCAAAATGTTTTTATTGAAAATACCCCCTGCACAAGCTTTTGCGAAATAAAAGAAAAAGTTTTATTTAAACTAAAGTGCGCCAAAAACGAGCCCAAAAAATTTTAAATTCTTCATGTTTTTCCAGGAATTTTCTGTCCGTTTTTGGAACATTAAGGAAATTCGAGGAAAAAATAAAGTATAAATAAATCTTTTTTTTGCACAGAACATGACGATTACAAAACAACCAGAAACCGCTCCTATTATACTAGAAGAAAACACCACACAGCTTCAGGACCAGCAGAAAAGCTTTACACAGAAGGTGATACAATCAATACATGATTTTATAAACGGCTCTAATTTATCAATATTATATGCAGCTCTTTTAATCCTTGCCAACGGCTTTTTATTCTCCTTTTTGCTTGAGTCTATTGATCTAACTCTCAGAAACATCCTCAGAATACTAGCCATCAACCAGCTGAAAGACAGCTCGAGATTCACTTGGTTTGTGAATGTCATAACCTACGGAATGTACTTTGTGATAAACATCCCAGCAATGCTCTACGTGAGAAGACAGGTCAAACTTCCAAAGATACTCGACGGAAAAATAACCCTAGACTCGCTCAGAACAATCGAGCTGCTGACGTATGGTCTCATATTCATCAGTGTTCCTCTGATAAAAGAGTTTGCACTGGGCGCTACTTTGGAGTACTTCTCCAGCTTCTACTACTACAAGCAAGCAGTGAAGGTGGCAAGCATAGTCAGCTGGATAGTGCTCGCCTTTGAAGGATGGGGAATACTAAGAAACACCGAAAGATACACTTTCTACCAGACAAAGAACGAAAGTCTTCTTGTGTTCTCTGCCAATGTGGCATATGCTCTGCTGCTGCTCGTAATACTAGCAGGATTTGTCTACATTAAGCTGATGAACTATGCAACAGGCAACATTATGGTGGGGCTATAAGATGGTCCAACTGATGTGTTTATTGCAACTTATGAAGTTAATATTGCGAATGAAATGATCACCGGCTGCACTATAAAATAGGCAGCACGAAAACGAACATTGCAGTGTTACACTGGCTGTTCATACTAAAAATTAATAAATTATTAACATTCAACTTATTTATTATTGACTTCTATATTATATACTCACCATCTGCTGCTATGATGTTTGAAGAGTTTTTCCATTTAGTCTGACTTGTAGTCAAGCTAAGCTCTGAGATGTCTGGTGTGTATTGTAACAGCTGCATGAATCATTTTTAAGATGGCTCAAACTAGAGAAAGCATAACATCTCTGCAGAGCAAACTAATATTTGGCTAATAGTATTCTGATTTTTGTAAAAAATCTTTTGCTAGCTGCAAATATGGAAAGCGTAGAAGTAGATAGCTATAATAAGGACAAAAGCGCATCCGTCTGGCAGCTAGAGCAGCTGGGGTTTACTAAATCTACGATTACTCGCATAAACAAAGAGTTGTATGATATCCCTGACTCAAATGGTATAAAGACACTAGTCATCTTTTTAATATTTTCTAATATATTTTTTACTAGCCTTTTGAGTGCTCTCAGACTGGGTCTTATCGACTTTACACTGCATCTGTCAACTGCAGAATTCTTCAGGTCTGATGTTCTGAACTCTTCGTTAGTTAAGTGGATTTTTGTGCTCGTGTCATTTGTTATTTATGCGGGAATGAACATACAAAGCTTTGTCTACATAAAGAAAAGTGTATGTTTTAATGATGGAGTCAAAAGTTTACCATACAGCATGGGCAAGACCAACGAGGTACTTCTTTTCCTTTTTTTGATGGCTTTTATTCCTCTGCTAAAAACATTTGCTGTAACACCATTTCTATCGGACATCGAGAAGACTGCTTCTTTTAAAAAGTACATGCCAGTTGCATGGATATACATATACATTCTGCTGATTCTCGAGACCAGCAGCATATGCAGTGGCACCTATGAGTATTTTAGAGTTCAGAGAGATTGGAGAAGCATACTTGCATTCGCAGCCAAGTCAGTATACGCAGTGACCATCATTGGAATAACACTGTACAACACGTGTTTTGCTGTAATGACCAGTCTCTCTTTTGTTGGCTATCCGCTAAAATTCACCACATAGTTGACTAGACTTAGTAAGAACAGCTACAGATAGGTTATCTCTCATGTTTCTATACTTTTCTATAGTGTTGTATTCTCTAGACTCCTATACCGTCAAAAGAGCAATCAATAAATAAATGTTTGGTTTTTGCTTTTAATTTGTTTACTGCAGCATGTATTTGTCAACAAACAAAAAATAGTTAAGCTGAAATAGGAAAAATAAATGCAAATGCACACAAAAACTGATGCTCTGCTCTATATTAATCTTCTGGTTTGTAGAATTATGGAAATATTTGTGTATCTGAGGCAGAAATAATGGGGGTAATTAAGTAAAATTTTTGTGCTTTTATACTTAAAATTTTGAATTTCTTTTAATGATTGAGACGAATAAATATTTTAGACTAACGCATCTGCAAGAAGAGCAGAAAAAAGTGTACAACCGGATAGTAAGCCTGCTAAACCATTGGAGCAGCAAAAACACATCGGGTACGTACGAAGAAGTGGCTAAAACATACTTCACCAATATTCTCTATGTTGTGTTCATAGTCTCCTCGTTTGAGTTTCTTCTGAAGTTTATTGTAGGACTGCTGTACAAAACAAAGTGCAAAATACAAAAGAATAGAATCGTGTACGAAAAAAAAGTCACTGCTATTCAGATCCTGCTTGGGCTGGTTATTCAGCTGCTAGTAAATGGCCTTATGACTTTGGGCTTGTTTGCGAACATATATTTCCCTCTATACAAAGAGCTGTCCGAATCCTCCAATAATTACAGCTTTTTCTCGACATGTTTTTTGATCCTCTGCGGCCTTTCTCCTCTTCTTGTCTTTCTAGCCAACAAAATAGTAAACTTTTTACTGCTCCCGCTAACTACGATAGTATGGTCAGTTGCTGTTCTGTACTTCTTGGCGCTCGCCACGGTGCTCTATACGGCAATAATCGAAATTCCAAGTGTATGTATGTGTCTATTAGACAGCTTTAATTTTTGGAGAAGCACATCTGCCCAAGGGTATGAGCCCATTCTTATCCTAAACGGGATATACTGCATGGTAATGCTAGTGTTGTCTTCACTTCTGATAACTCACGCATTGATTTTCATACCTTCATCTATAAAAAAGTACAGAATAAAAAAGCGCCCCATAGAAAATAGAAAAGTCCAGTTAGTCCAACCATAAACAGATCTTCTAGACAAAACTATACATATAAACAATAATGAGGCTTTGTGTTTTAGAAAAACGTTAAATTCAATAAAAGTACCACTTCTTTACTTCTTTCTATGTTCGCTGTTCAGCCATAGATACATTTTTTTTCATATTCCTATCTTGTCCTGTCATTACATATTTTCTTCTAGTCTTAGAAATTTGAGCTGTTCTTCTCTTTTAATTTTGTTGTAAGTTAACTCTTTGTTTGTAAATAAAGTGTAGAATTTTTACTCATTTTTATTTTTATTCTCTTCACCAAACATTTCTAGTAGACTTTAATAAACTAATTCGAGGATAATTCAAGGATATTTTTATTAGCACACATGGTAAAATTAGAATAGCTTATATTTTAGGATGAGAAGATAAGGATTACATCAATATATCTATGCAATTACTTACCATATGGTGTAGAATAGGTTATAAATAAACTTAATTTATATTGCACGAGAATGTTAGACTCATGCTAATCACTGTTCTGTTTCGCAGCTGGCTGTTCTGCTTTTCTGTTGCTAGAAAGAGATCTTTGTGCAACTAGACTGCGAGCTGAGAGAGAATTACAGCACAAGATAAGTTTTTATATACTGTTGCTGTCACAGAAATTAAATAATTTTTATTTAGTTAGCGTATGGAAAATAAAGAAGATAGGAAACTGTTGAAATCTACGTATATACAACAAGCCCAAAGAGGCTATGTGAAAGAGCTGATTTATGATTTTAGCAGCTCTTTGGGCCATTCTTCTAGTGATTTTTCAGCTTATACCTATACAGCTTATGTGGTTGGTAAGCTTGTAGGCAATGTTCTCTATCTTTCCATTATTCTTTTTTCTGTTGAGTTTATTCTACGCCATCAGAGCGCGTTTTTATTCAGTAAGTACAATCTAGAGCACATTGAGGCCTTTGCACTAGCTGCAGGGATATTAGCAAACTCTGTGCTGCCTCTGGGAATGACAGTTAGAGCAATGGAATATTGTCTCAAGTTCTACACAAAATATGAATTTATACCATATGTCTACGAGCACACATTCACCACCCTATGCCTATCCTCTTTCATACTTTCAAGTGTGCTTAACAAAACAATTCTAAGTTACATTGCGTCTTCTATGCTCTCTAATGTGTATACAATGCCTATAGTGCTCGCTATTTCCTGTTTTTCATTAACACATTTACTGGTAAAAGAAGGAAGCGGGATGTATAGGCAGATAGACAAATATTTTATATACAGCTCAGAGAAACAGAACATATACATCTTCGCTGTACAGTGGATGTATTTTGCACTTATATTCTCAATAGGGGCATTTATCATTACCACCTCATCCATATACATACTGGATGCTCTTATAAAAATGTTTGAAAAAGCAATGCTGTGGATAATGTAGTTTACCTCTTGCAAATCTGTGTAAAGTAGTAGACCTACACTGCAGCATCACTACTACTGCTCATCTTCTGTAAACACAGGATATCAGACAGTTGGAAAAACTATATAGCTTGAAAAATAAAGAAAAATATTTATTTACTAGAACCAAGCCAAGCCCCATGCTCATTTATATTCTAATACACAGCTCATAGATACACGGAAAATTAAAAACACTTTTTTAGCTTGAAGCCCTCTACATCGCCTACTGCCAGTATTTTTGCAACTACTCTATTTGGGCTCTTGGAGAAGCCGTTGAAAACCGAAAACTCATCATTCAAAAGAAGGAATATGTCGTCTGTTATCTGCCGCGGGAGCATATACAGCCTTAGCGGTGCTCTGGTACTGTATATGGCCTCTAGCTCAAGCACCCTGCACTTCATAAACAGCTCTAGAGCGGTGTCCTGTTTGTAGTCCAGGCCGCCCCAGGGCGGGCTAGCCATTATAACATCGTACTCCTCCTTTAGATGCAGGAGCAGCTGCGGATTGTAAACGTCAAAGTAGAAGATCCTGTGCTCTCTGTTCTCTGTGCACACTTTCACATTATTGCGAAGACATTTTATCTTCTTGTAGTCAAACTCCACCGAATCTACGACATTGCTGAACTCCATGAACGAGACAGTGTTTCCCCCCACCCCGGCAAAAAGATCCAAAATGCTAACAGCACTTTGGTACTTATTTTTTATGCTTTGGGAAATGCCTTTGGCCAAGTCAACGGGAGTAATCGAGTACCACGACTCGACGTCCAGCAAAAAGTTGTTGTGTTTTGTCTTTGGAATGAGCGTGTCTATGTTTTTCACATACCGCATAAGCTCCGGGTGTCTCAGCACCGTGTAGTCGTACACCTTCCACCGCCCCACTTCTCTTTTTATGATCCAGTGCGCGTCGTCTTTTTTTTTCATTACTTTCATGAATACAAAATTTTTATTTAGTAAATACGGGGGACTAGCTCAGAGGTAGAGCGCTCGCTTAGCATGCGAGAGGTGCCGGGATCGATACCCGGGTTCTCCATTTTATCTTTCGCACTTCCTGCCAAGCACAGAAGACAATTTTTGCCAATTTGCCTGCCATGTCTGCTCTGCGCTGCAGTGCTGCTTGTTTGTCTAAATGCTGAGTTTAATCTAATTTAATCAAAGGTAATTTAAAATTTTTATTGGTTTGTTTTATCTTTTTTTATCTGGCAAGCTTCTTTCTTCCTGTTCAATAAGAAGCTTGCAGTATCTCATCAATTCGAGCCTCTGTATTTCGCTTTCCTCAAGGCTCTTCTGCAGAGACTCGATCACCTGCATCAGCATTTTTTTTCTTTTTCTCTGGTAGTCCAGCTCTGCCTGTATTTTTATCCTCTCCAGAATCCCGAGCTCGGTTTTCTCCTGGTCTTTTTCTCTCTCTTTCTGTCTTATTTCATCCTTTAGCGCAATGATCTTTTTTAGCCTGTTTATTTCATCGCGCGATACGCTGTCTTCGCTGAGAATATTTTTTGTTTCTGTTTTGTTTTCTATTTTGAGCATATTGTGCGAGTCTTCTTCCTCCACTGAGACGGAGAGCCTGCTCAAGTCCTTTTCAAACTCTTCCTCTTCGTCTAGCAGAAAGCTTTCGTTCTCTTCTTTCTCCTGGCTCGGTGTTATTTCCTCAATCTCCACTTCTTCGTGCTCTTTCTCTCCAGCCTCTTCTTTTTTTGTCTTGAACAAGCCGCTTATGTTTCCGATTGACGTGTTCAGCATTTGTATTAAGCTTGTTTTCTCCTTTCTTGACATTAAATAAAATAAAAAGTAATGCAATTAAATATGTGATGCTCTCGCTTGGACATCACGGGAAAAAGATAGATAGACAAATAGAGCCATGCAGTCTGTAAAAGTATGCAAAAACACGCGCTTCCTGATTTGATTTATTTTCAAAATTACATTTTTAAAAATTAACTTACTTTTTTCTCTTTCCCATTGGCTAGCTCAAAACGGCTTCTGTTTCTGTCTTTTTTCTATTGGTTCCTAGAGCCGTTCCAATCACTGCGATTCCAATTGGTTGCTTTTTCTCTATCTCTTATCGGGTTGTTTTCTTTCATGTGATATTTTAGCTTCTTACTATTGGCAGTCCTCACACTATCTCCTTGCCGGATCCACTAGAACAGCTCAGTACCTGTAGAAAGCTTCCTTATTCATCTGCTATTTTCCGTTGTGGTGCTCTAAAGTTGTGTTTTTGTACTACAAGATACATTCTCGGGCTTAGATACAGTAAAAAGAGCCAATAATAAAATTGCAAATAAGCTCTATCGATAAGAGCCGAATGAGGTAGTCTCTAAAATTTTTAGAAATGGCTGCCACTGTATTTTTTGAGTTCAGAGATAAGCGCAAATATTTATTGCTGGCTACAGATCTTCTCTTTCTTCAAACTGCTGGACGTCTTCTCTTTCCTCAACTTCCTGAATGTCTTCTCTTTCTTCAAACTGCTGGAGGTCTCCCTGCGTTATTACCGCCTCTGGATATAGCTGCAAAAAAGCCTGCTCTGGAAGCTCTTCGGACTCCAGGACTATCTGCGGCCCATCCGCGTCTCCTATCCTTATGCGAGTTCTGCAGCTCTTCCCATCGCACACATGGCTTATGTTTTCCTCAATCAGACTGTTTTCTGAAACTGCTTCTTCTTCTTTCCCTTTGCTGTCTGTCACTTTTAGAACCGTGTACTTTTCCACGCTTCCCAGGTCTTTTCCCTTGACTATCAGCTTATAGTTGCACGTTGAGCTCTCCACAGGCCCGGACAGCTCTAAGTCTCCTGCGTCCACCATATAGTGGATAGTTCCAGACCATCTTTTGCTCTTGCAGATATCGCACCTGTCTCCTCCCGTGTACTCCTGGACTATTTTGTCCTTCCTTATGTAGCTGTTTTTGTAGCTTCCTACGTTTATTTCTCCGTCGTCATTCACCAGCTTTATGCTTTTAAATGGAGCCAAAACAATCTTGTTGTTGTTGTCTGTGTGCACAAGCTCTTTTGTGGACAGACCAATCAGCCTTTCTATCTTCTCAATGAGGGGGATGCTTTTCGCCAGCTCTTCTTTTATTTCCACTTGAATAAAGCCAATGTTCACTGCGCTCTCTGACTTATCTGAATCTTTGCTGTTCGACAGATTCTGTGTGTTTGGGTAGTTTTCTGGCAGGTTTTTCGTTTTGTTCGTTATCATGTAGTACTCTCTGTCTAAATTCTCTATGTCAAAAGACCACACCCTCGTTATGCATATTATTAAGAAAAACACAGGATGCATCGTAGTCTAAAAAATAAAAATGAGAATAAATAATAAATAAACAATGTCTCATTAATTAATTCAAACACTCGCCACTCAGCCTGTGCTCTCTACCGCTCCTCTTGCCTTCACTAAAAAAGAACAGTCTCTCTGTAAGTGGAAAAGCGGCAGTTATTGTGTTTTTGCAAGACACTTCAGCTAAGAGGGTTTGTTGCAGCGCTGATGGAAAAACTCTTCAATAAAACCCGAGGTAAAATTTATTTAATTTATGTCTTTCGTCTGCAAATCAGTGAAATTTGCACGAAAAGAAGCAAAATATGCAGAAAATGCAAATAAAAACCTAATTTGGAAAAGGCTTCTATTCTAGTATATATTTAATTTTTATTTTAATTATCATGACCTTGTCAGGAAGAAAGATCACTTACACCACGCTGATTTGTCTTGTGCTTTTTGCAACCAGGATGCTCAGCGCTTTTCCGTCAATGAAGCGAAGATCTGAGAAGTACAACAGCTCTTTTCTAGCTAGCGCTGCCGACTCTTCGCAAGGGAGAAAAAGAGCCAACTCCAGTGCACAGCAAGAAGATCCAAACTATATGCTGTGGGACTCTCAGTTCAAGTTTGTTGAAAAGCATTCAGACACGACTATCCCTCTGATAAACGAAAAATATCAGGCCAAGCAGATACTCTGTGTGAACAGCAACCTTGATGATATTTTGAAATCAGGGCACTATTTGGCAGACTACAAAACAGTGGTGATTGTAGAGATAAAAAAGCTGACTGATACTGTTCCCAGCAACTCAGCCAAATTGATGGAAGTCATAGACCACATTCTGAACTCTGGCATAAGAGTGGAAAAGTTTGTGTTTTTCAACATATACGATGAAAATATTTGCAAGCAAACAGAGTACAACTATTTGAAAAGAGTGGCAATCGATGTTGATTTTGTGGACAGTGGTGCCAGAGTCAGTGAGTTTCTGTACGCACATTTTTTGGGAAGGTTTAAAACTGTTAATGTCACTGCATCGTATTCTAGGAACCTTGGGACGATCAATGAGCTGGAATCTGAATTTGTCAAAGGCATAAACACTCTGAAGATGGACATAGAAAACTTCCTGAATATCTCACATGCAAAAATACACCAGATGAAAACTCTAGAGTCGCTGTGGATCTTTGCAGACTCTACGCCTTCTATTTCATCTGACGTAGAAAAAGAAGCCTCAATACTTGTCAAGAACCTGTACATTGAAACGAACCTGCTTAGGCCCTATCTAGACACAAACAGCATTTTGTGGAACAGGATACAGGCAACTGAAAGCATCACTGTTCTCATGGGGCACAAAAAGGCTGATCCGTTCCTTGAGAAAGACATGAAAACTCTGGAAAATTTTGTCTTTGACTTTGCAAGAGTAAAAAACAGCGTGGCAATATCTTTTGGTATTTGCAGCGGAAACACGCTGACGCCTGTCATAATGGATAGCATACTGAACTTGGTGTGTGCATGGAATATCAACACACACAATATACGCGTTGACAATATCGTAAAAGAAGGTGATGTAGTAGGCATAACTCAAATGCCTCTGTACTACCAGACAAGAACACAGGAGCAGCACGATAAGCTGAAAGAGTGCTCTATAATAGTAAGCAACGGAGGCGAAAGCTCAGATGTAAAGCTAGCTATGATGCGTGATTTGGAAACTTTGAAAGTTTCTGAGATGGATACTCTGATACAGAACTGCACTATTATCATGGACTCAATCACGTTCAATGAGTTCAGCAAACTGCCGCATCTATCTTCTAAAATAACACCGCCAAAGTGTTTGAAGCTTCTGAGGGAAAATAAAATAGACAAAACGGAAGACTGCAGATACTGCGATAAGAGTCTAGGTGTGGTTGAGTTTAACTACAAAGAGATATCGCCAAAACTTATTATGATTTTCACATGCGGCCATGCATGCTGTGCGCCCTGTGGATATGAGCACGTGTCAAAAGGGTTTAAAAGTCTTCCCGTGTGCAGAGAGTGCAGCACTCCCATTGCAGAAACAATGATGTATGTGACGTACAATGAGCTGCTCAAAAAGTTTTCCAAGAGCGAGCTTCTGGAAAGCGACATAAAAAGCGCCTTCAACAGCTCCAAGCACGGGTTTGTGTTTTCCTACGGCTCCAGCGACTCTCTTATCCTGCGCGAGCTTGCGAATACAATTAAAATATCAGAGGAGGAAGATTTTAAGTGGGAAAAGCAGAACTTTGAGTCTAGCTATTCGTACGAGCTATCGAGCAGAGACAATGCGTGCAAATGCGTTATTTCCAACATACCGATAAAACAGATGCTTGAGATATCTCTGACCGTTCCTCTGGGGCCTTCTACCGTTAAAAAAGCGGTTATATACATCATCAGTAAAAAGAAGTTCTTGGAAAAGTACAAATCGCCCATCTATTTGGAAGCTGCCAGGATCAAGTACGGGCAGATTCTTTTGAAAAGCGAGAGGTTTTTATTTTTGTACAAGTACCAGTATATAAGCATCTCAAACGGTGCGATCTTGGAGAAAATCACAAAGAACATGGGAGATAAAATTGACAGCATAAACGATCTTTGTGGCAGGTTCTGGGATCTAAACGAATGGATGTGAAGAAGAGTGCCAGAGCATTAGCAGAAACATCGCATACACTACGCCATACAATATAAAAAAATCACCAAATGACCACAAAGTATTATTTCATCTTTTCAACAGCGCTAGAGTCTATTCTTGGTATGAGATAGAATATTAATAAACAGCTATTTTTACTTTTTTCGTTAAAATTGATCTTTCAAACCCTAATGCAATCAAAATATGAAAATAATTGAAG